GAGCGACAAAGTCATAATCAATTCATGAAACAGTTCAATTGTCAGAGAGAAAAACTTCGCTTGTTCGAATACTCGAAATTATCCAACTGTTTGACTCACAATAGATTTCCTTGAAACTGTTCAAACAAATTTCCCTTTTTTGTATTTGAATAAAACGAGTTGAGGAAAGAATGGTGACATTTACTCTCTAAGAGGAAATTCCTCCGCTTTTTTTTTAGGGGGCAAATGACTGGTTGGGAATAAGAACATACCAGTTAGCTAGTAAGCATTTGTGTCGATTATGCAATGATATCTGTCAATTTAGATTTATGTATATGTCAATTTTGTTTTTCTTTCAGATTAGAAAGAAGAGAAAAAACAAATTTGTTAGAAGAAAAAGAATTGCTTCGAACAGTTTCTCTTTTCGTTCAACAAATCGTTTTTCACACCGATTGCGTGCAAGTGTCGTAAGTGGATATGTACACATCCATTCCTTAGCCTTGAATATCATAATAGAAAGTGGTACTCATAGAGGTTAAAAATGAAAGAAAATTTGTTTGAACAGTTTCAAGGAAATCTATTGTGAGTCAAACAGTTGGATAATTTCGAGTATTCGAACAAGCGAAGTTTTTCTCTCTGACAATTGAACTGTTTCATGAATTGATTATGACTTTGTCGCTCGTTTGGTTTTGTTTAGTGCTCTTTTTATGATATGCATTGCTTAGATCGACAAAGAAGAAAAAAGGCACGATGAGATAAGCCACTGTCAATCGAGTGATCGATCTGCTAGCACTATGTTCCCTTTTTTTCTCCCTCTCTCTCTCTCTTCAACGCTTTCTTTTTTATAGCTGTCTGTGTTCAACCATACGTACGGAAGCAACAACGATTGTAGAGCGAGTGAACGATTTTTTTCTTCTTGTGTCCTCTTCTTTCCTTCGTCATTTCTGTCAGGACATCGTCAAAACAGGTCAATGCACATACATCAAGAGACGCGAAGGACTTGATCATCATCTCCCTTCACTTTCTTCATCTTCTTGTTCGTCGTCTTTTGCCATCTGTACCGTAGGCTGCCTGTCGATTTCAATAAAACCATCAACGTGTCCACTCAATTGGGTAGGATGCAATTCTCCCTTTCTCTCTCGTTTACTCTCCTCTCGTCTAATGGCTACCTTCTGTTCACATCGATTGAAGGCGGTGGTCAACAACAACGAAGTGGTTATGATTGCGACATACAAATAGTCATCATCGACGGCGTAGGACTAACTAGAAGAAGAAGAAAAACGCAGTAGTGTATTGAATATACGTCTAGCGTTCAATCGATCGCGTAATTTGCTCATGATTATGCATCATCGTGATCATTATTATTACTATCATCACCGTATTGGAAAAAAAACATATGTTCTATTTCTAAAGATAAAAATCTTCTCAATCTAAAATACAATTTCAACAAGCGAAGAGAGTGAGTATCTATCGTTCTATCTATCTGTGAGCTATAAACAACGTCCTATTACTATTCATCGATGTTGTTGATTAGACTCTTCCATTTATCTATCGAAGTTTGCTTCATGTATATAATGTTCACACTCGCATATCGAATAAGGCTATTGGAGAAGTATAGGAAAAGTAAGTGATGATCTTATTGATAACATGAAGGTCACTAACCATTATCTTTTAACGAGCGGATGTGCGTGTGTTTAGGCTTAGAAAAAGTTTATCAAATTGGATATAACAGATTTATTCTTATCCGTACTGAAATGGACTGGTTAGAAAAAAAAAGAAAAATTAGTTTGATTTCGACAGTTCGTTTTATTGAAAAGAAAACATCACACCGTTTGCTTTGTTTTGTTTCTTGCGGATTTCTTTTTATCCTACATTGAGATCGCGAACATATTTCTTTTATTGATTGACTATATCGCACATCTGATTTCCTTTTCATTTTCTTTTTATTTCTTGAATATAGATGAACTGTTCAATTGCATGTCGATTGATAGTGATCTACGCATATATCCATTCTCGTCTATAAATACGTTTTATTTGAAGCGCAAGAAATGATCGCATCTTTTCTTCAGTCATCGCCTATTTTTTTTTTGTTTCTGTATTTCTATGGGATATATTGTGTACAAAGAGATGAAGATCGTTGGCGGCAACGATGATTTATTTGCCTTGAAAGTTCATCTATCTGAGGTGTTTACTATGGCGACTTTTATGTATCTACTCAAGAAAAGTTTATTTGTCCATCGTATTTAGAGATGAAGGGAAGAAAAATAATAAAACGAAGAAAAGATGTGTGAAAACATTTCTTTTTTCAGCTCTCTAATTTTATTGATCATTGAAACATTCCGTTTTTCCTCTCTCTCTTCGTCTTCTCCTTAGGCTTGTGCTTATTTATTTATGAGGCATATTCATTTGAGACATTGACACGTAATTCCCCTTTGACGTTTTCCTTGTGTCGTCTTTTCCTTCTTTTTTTTTTCTCTTCGCATATGTGTCGTATACGTCTTGAAATGATCCAAATGATGATGATGATGTGCTTCTGTTGTGACGATAAAGATGAAGCTTCTATTTTTGTTCACCTTTGCATGTTCGCGACCAGAATGAGACGAGTAAGAAACAGAGTAGAAGCGGAAATGCTAAAACAAATTGTACGAAAGAAAGGAAAGGAGAAGTTGGCTGACAGATGAACAGTCTTTGAAGAGTAAAAACGAGAGAAAGAGAGAACAAAAATGAGAGAATGAATGTATAGCTAAGAAAAATGATGATGACTTGTTGAATTCTTTCTCTCTCTCTCTGTCCCTATACCCTTCTTTCGTTTGCTCTTGCTTTTCTCTTTCTGTCTTCCTTGTGTTTTATGTTTGAACAATGTTCAGAGTAGCCACCTTCCCTCTATCGGCTTGTCTTCAATCCTCTTTTTTACTTAAACACGTTTCCATCCTGATTGTGTGCATCATCATCGTTGTCTACTACTCTTGTTCTTATAATTACACACGAAAAGATGCCCCGACCATCAACAATAACACCGTTGATCTTCTTTTACACGCTGTCTGTGTCGTTTGCTTCCCTGTAAATACATATTCGGATTGAATGAATGAATGAACAGCTGACGGTAGGCGGTCAATATTCGCTCAACCTGATCTCATTAAAGCGACGGCTAGAATTGGTATTGTTATTGTTCTTACTGTTTGGACGCTCATTTGGATGAACAATTGATGCGTCGAAGTGCATTAATGAAGAATTCTCTTCTTCTGCTTCTTTTTTATTTCTTCTTCTTTTTCATGCATTACATAATACGGTTTCATTAATTGTAGATGTCTTTGTTTTTGTTTGATTTCTTTATAATGTAATATGCACAATGAAATCGATCGATATACTCGTCTTATTCTTCTACTTCTACACAATTGGTATGTAAACGACTTTTCACTGACGATTTATTCAATTGAAACTCGCGCTTGATTCTCTTCTAGATGGCTTACCGCAAGTACGTGTGCGACCTCAAACAGCGGTTATTCCATCATCATCTGAAGCACATTTAATATGTGAAAGTAACGATACACCGTTTCTTTCGGTTGCCTATTGGACTCATGTTGGCCAACGTATTGAATTGAATCCATCGATAATTGAAATGCATGATAATGAATTACGTATATTTCAATTCGGCGATACTGCTTATACACAACCAGGCGCTTACGCTTGTGTTGTTTCAACCGAATACGGCTTACTTGAAAGTGAACCATCCATGTTAAGTTTACCAAGTAAGTCTTTTATGTTTAGTCATTGTCTTAATCTAACTAGCCGACAACTTGTCGCATCACTGTCAAGATACAGGCATGTACATACGTATAGACACACATGTCTAACTAAGACTTGTCACAATAGCTCATTAAAAGATATGAAGGTGATGTCTTCTTTTTTCGTTTGCCGCCTTTCTTAATTGTCCCAATCGAAGAATAATCTTCGTAGTGTCCAGACAAATGGTACCCGACTGAATAGTCTATTGGCGTTTTCTTTTTTCTTATCGTCTTTTGATATAATTTTAAACGCTTCATTAAATGTTCGGAAAGAAGGTGTGAAACTTTTTCTCTCATTGTTTCATTAGGATTTTTATACCCAAATAATGATGATCAATAACATTACTAGCATTGTTATTCATCATCTATTCAAGCGACCTCAAAGGTCCATCATTTTATTTTTCGTTCAGGAGAGTATCGACTACTACAGTTAATTTGATTCCATTGCCTCCGTCTTTATATTTATATATACATCGTTGTTCAATTGTCTGCGCTCCATGCAAACGATGAAACAAAAGAGACGGGGGCCGATGACCTGGCCAGTAGGAATAGTAAATTTCTAGTTCGATTATTAATATCAAATAGCCCGAATGTATGTTAGACGCTTTGATGCTGTCAAGTGTATAATCGGAGACGATTCGATGCGATCGAAGAATTCTCTATTTACTTTTTTCGAGTCTTAAACACACACACACACACACACACACACACACATACACATGAGACATTGAAACTGATTGAATCACATTGAAAAGAAGTCGCCTTGAGACGATAGCGTTTTGCCTTTCGAGTAACTTGTCGAGATAATGAAGAACATGAGCAATCGTCTAAATAGACTCTTATTCTGTTTGAGTAAAAGTGAATAAATTCAATAAGAAATACTCGTATGATGTATGAATGTGTAAACAGCTCAACGTTGAGAATATATGCACATGTCTTTTCTTCTACTTCTTCCTTGCAATTAGAGAACATCCCTCGTTTGTTGATTTCTATTGCACATTCTTATGCAACTTATTGCTCGGACATCGGAAGTTCATTCTTGACTTGTATCGCATACACAATAGATCATCATCATCACGAGCTTTGCTCACAAATAATATATGTTAAACAGATAGGTTATGTATCAACAATCCAGCAAAATGTCACCCTTTCTCTTTACATATAGCTTGCTTAAGGGATGACTATGACCAGAAGAAGAAATCGGATTTCCCATGAGTAGATATTCTGTCATCATTGTTTTGGTTTGATGAAATCATAGCTCGGATGAAAAAAGAGCGAGAGAGCAAGAAAAAGAAAGGAAAGGTCAAAATCAGCCGTAAGCAATTTCGATCAAAATGATGGAACGACATCAAGAATACGAGTAACAGCGAAGAAGAAGATAAGTGACCAGTCGGAAGATTGTATTCTATCTTCAATGATGATCATTAATTTTATGTATGTACACACATATATATATATTGATGGATATATGTGTAGGTCTTCTCATCATGTACATCCATTCATCGTATGATTAAAAGAAGAGGCGGAGGGAAAGACTATGTAGACAACTAAATAGTCGATCAGTCTCTATAATTATCGAGAAAAAAAACAAGATTTATGCTTTAATATGAATCTGTCGGCGTCTGTTCATATACTAATATCATCAAGCTAATTTTCTCCCATGTCGGCAACATAAGTTATTCGATCGTATGTGTTGATTGAATATCTTGACATATAATCATTCTTGCAGACGGTATTGTTACGACATAAAGATGATAAATATCCTTTCGTTTATTATTTAATGAACATTGTTCAAAATCCGAATGACTAATGAGCGACTCTTGTTCATGTTTCATTCTGCGCGAGATGGACATACAATCATCAGTCATGCACACAGTACAGCTTAAGCCGGATATTATTTTATCTGTAATTCACTTAGCACAAGAAGGAAAGGTTTCTCTTCCTTTTTAATGTTCATCCTTTCCGTGTATATCTTCTTCTTTCTCGGAAATTGAAGTTCATACATTGATGATGATGACCGGCGCCTCTCGCTCGCAAACATCCGAGTTAGTTATGGGCGTCACATCTTCGCTGCAGGAGGCAATTGAAAACTAGGAAAGATGTGCATACGCCTTCTTCTATTTGCTCAATAGCTAATCAATGATGAACATCAGTCCTAATGTACTTAGTCATAGATTGAACTGGTTAATTGTGAATCTACAGATGTTTTTTTTTGAAAAGACAAAAGGGTCAAGTGTCCATTTTCTCTTTACTCTCAGCTTGATAGACATGAGAAGCAAAACGAGAAAGATCAGTTGAAATATTTCTCAATTGAATTTACTTAAATGTTGACATGTGGAGTATGCGTGCATACGGATATATCTTGCTTTTGAATAATCCATCTGTTCAGTGACTAAAATGATGTTTGTCAGTTGAAAGAATTCACTGATTCAATTATGATCTCTTATTGTTTCGTCTTTCTTTATAGCATTGGATCCCTTTAAAACAGTATCTAATGAAAATAATATATTGAATTTAACGGAAGGAAATATCGCTGTTATCCCATGTGAATTACCCAATGGCAATCCTCGGCCAATTCCTATATTTACATTGGATAATAATCAAATAGAAATCGACTCGAATTCAAGTATGAAAACTCATACAAAACAAAACGATTGTATACTGAAAAACTCCTTTTCTCGTAGATCGATACAAAGTTTTACCAAGTGGAAATTTACATATCATTGATGTTCAACAATCCGACGCCGGCAAATATCAATGTTCAGCAATGAATTCTGTGACCGGACAAATCGTCAATAATAGTCAAATAACGACTTTACATATTACAAAGAAACCTTCGAATAATAAAGATCGCTTACCATTAACAACTGTATATAAACCACCTGTTGCATCAAGGTAGATGACATTTGCTAATCTTTCTTTTGAATAAATGATTATGTTTAATAGAGTACTCGTTGGAAATAATTTTTCAATTGAGTGTGTCATTGACGGATGGCCACAACCGACTGTCGAATGGGAGAAATACGGCGATGTTCTACCGGAAAAACGAAATGAAGTTTTGCATGGAACTTTATATTTGTATGATATACGTTTGGATGATCGCGGAACTTACATATGTCGAGCTTCGAGTTCGAACGGACAATCAGATATTGCTTATACGGCTTTGTTGGAAGTTTTGGGTAAGTCGAAGGAAGGATGAAATGTAGAAGAGATGACGATTTGTTCTGATTTAGAACCTCCGAAAATTATCCAACGTCCGGATTCAGTCATACGAATTAATCAAGGAGAGAGTGTCTCAATTAAATGCGGATTTCGTGGTCGACCTGAACCTCTGATTAGTTGGTTATATAATGGAGAAGAAATTATCATTAATGGATCGCCTGTAACAGGTAAATAGAGATGTTTCATTTAACGGAAGGATAGATCGCCGGACGTTTACTATTACATAAGATAAAAATCAAAGAACTAGGTAGTTTACTTAATTAAATCTGAAAGTCGATCATTTTCACGATGTTCTATCAAAAGAAAAACATTCCGTTTTCATCTTTCTCTTAGGAGGAATCTTATCATTGAATCAACCGAAGGAAGGAATCTACCAATGTATCGGTCGCAATGCTTATGGAATCGCACAGGCTAATACCGTACTCATTCAACCGAATAACACCCAAGTAGAAAGTAAGGTTCTACTCGGAAGTTTCTTTTCTCAAAGTATACTTTTGTCAATAGAAAAACTTGATGAAAATATTCCAGCAAAAACATCCCTTATCGTCATTGGCCCGAATAACATCACTGTCTATGAAGGTGAAACTATTCAATTGCATTGTCTAACTCAAACAGGTTCTACTGTTCAATGGTTACATAATAACGAAATGATCCAACCGAATTTAATGCGTCGATATGAAATGCTTCCCTCCGGTGGATTACGTATTGTTTCCGCACAAAAGTCTGATAGCGGCATTTACGAATGTGTGGCGTCGAAAATCGGATTCGGCACAAGTACATCGAAATGCTTTGTTCATATACAAGGTTTGGATATGAATGTTCCTGGTTAGTCTTGTCTTGTTCTTGTCAAATATTAGCTTATTTCACAAATGAGAATCTTCGCTAAACTAAATGTTTTATTTTTGTGTGTTTAGACAAACCGAACGCCGTCTTTCCACCTGCTCGCATCGGTAAGATAATACTTTTTTCGTTGAATAGGTTTTTATTTTCGTTTGAATATCCAGGAGGAAAACTTGAAATAATCGATATCAATCAAATTAACAACAATGCCGTTGAAATACAGTGGAAAATGATTGAAAGATTTGATATCAGCGTTCAAATTCAGTACCGTTTAATCTATCCTAAAACTGCCTGGACTACAGATGATCAAGTATACAATCAATCCACTACTCGTGGTACAATTTCCAATCTTGAAAACGATCAAGTGTATAAATTTCGTTTGATTGCTTTCGATTCCAATGGAAGACAATTGATGTTAAGTGCAGCTAAACGATTTATTATCAAACCTTTCGGTCAATTGAACCTGCCAATTCCACAAATCATGGATGCGGGAATCACATCCGATGGACAAATCAGTCTTAAATGGCATGTCAATGAATCGGAGAGTGATACAATCGACGGTTTCATTATTTATTATCGTTTAATCAATGGAAAGAATGAGAACTATACGACGAAAACGATTCCTAATTTACGTTTTCCGTTGATTGATACTTATACGATTTCATCAGCCATTGAACCCAATGAAAAATATGAATTACGTATGGCTACTTATTCCAATCGTGGTTTGAGTGCGATGAGCAATTCAATTGAAATTACCACTCCAGCATGTAAATAAATTTATTTAAATGAAGTCGTTCGATTGCTTTTTGTTTGATGTTTTTTCAGCTATCACAGAACGTCGTTCACATGCAAATGCCAAAGATTCGATGAAGAATCTCGATGAAATTCTGGAAAATATTACTAAAACGCAAAATCCCACACGAGTCTTATATGATTTAGCAACACCTGAAGCACCAACGGCAACATCTGGACATAAAAACTCCGATATGCTCTATTTAACAATCGGGATTATATCTGGCATTTTACTCATTTTAGTCGTTATTCTCATTGTCATGTGTTTACTACGAATATTTCAGCGAAAGAAATTTCTCGGTAAGGGTCTATATCGTTCATCTATCAAAATAATCTCGTCTCAATATCTTAGCACACATGAAATCTGTCAATGGATCAGAATTCTATTGTGATGGCCTACACAAAACTTTAAATCCTGATTATGCAACTACACCTTGTCTCCAACATGGTGTTGTCGCTGTTGATGGTAAACTAATTCCATTTGCATATCCAACCAACTCCAAACCAACTATGCTTTGGAATGGTCAACCACCGCTACCACATAGCTCAACAACAACGACAACCGATAATGGAACTATGCGACTAAATCCCAATCCAATGAATCGCTTAGACAATACTAATAATACGAATGATCCACCGGACAACTTTTATCATACTCTAACACCCTATAGCACCCACAGTCCATATGAAGAACATTCGTGTACATTTAATCAACCGAGTAAGTTCGATGAATACGACAGATAGCTTTTATTGACCTATCTGATGTAGCTGTATTCGGTTATACAACTGAACGTACAAATCTTACGACATGTCCAATTCATCATCGTATTGTAAACTATCCATCGGATACATTTCCAATGAAAGGTACAATCAACAAATCGGAGAATTCCACGAATAAGAAAGTCAATGGAATTGTTTTATCATCACCCACAAACGGCACACCTTATCATCATTTTCACCATCATCACCTCCATGGCACATGTCAGCGACATACAAAACCCAAACAGTTAATCACACCCACACTGAATGAAAGTACGTCATTTCCGTTTTGCGTTTCAAATATCTCTCAATAACGAAATTTTTCTTTCGAATAGATGATCAACAACATGACTTATGTGATCGAAGTTTTTCATCATCATCAGCTGGGGGCGGTGGTAGCAGCGCACACTATTGTACACATTCGTCCAATGATTCGACACGACCATTGATTCATTCAATAGATCATCAACAAGCGAATGATCATTCAGCACCAGGAAGTACAGGTTCATCCTCTCATTCATCAAGCGGTCTAGGCTCGTCGATCGAATCTCCGTATAATCATTGGAAATATCTCACACCTTTATCTGTAACAACAAACAATGATTCAACAAACTTCATGTCAGATAATAAACTACCTCCAACATCGAACGAACATTCATCTCTGACAAAACCTTTCGAGCCAGTATCCATGTCATCGACGTAATTTATCCTTACAGCCATAATTCTATTTTTCTATGTCTTTCTTTTCTATATTTTTGTCTCATCTCGATCTGTAATCTTTCTCGTTTTCTTGTTTTGTCGTTCCCGTTTGCCTTTGCTCTTCTATTCGAATCGAATGTATCAACTGATTAGCTTTTTGATATGTCTGGAAGCGTTAAAACACATTCGCACATTTCCTTCTCTTGCGTGTTACAACAAAATCATTGATTCGTTTTCTGCACAAACAAATATATTTGGAAAATTTCTTTCTAAAACGAAATTCTATATCGATGTTTCAAAAAGCGACGTAACGAGTGATTATAGAGATAGAGACTTCCAATCACAATCGAAATACTCAAAATCGAAAGCAGATAGAGAACTTCATAGACTAAAGGCAAAGTTAAAATATCAATAGATGCTAAATAAGCGACGATATAAATCGGTGCCCATCCACTAATTGAAACAATTAACATGAAGAACATACGTTTCAACAAGTGATTATTTCGTTTCTTCAGTCGAGAATGACATGTGAGAATATTGGATTGTACTCGGTTTGATGAACGATGAGCATGGGAGAAAATAAGTCCATCAAGAATAGCCACGAATGTTGTCGGGAGAATGACAATCAAGCATAAATTATAAATCCAGATCCATTTGGGAAATATTGATTGGGAAGATGGCTACAAATCAAAATAAGCAAAGAAATCATTGATGTTAATGAAATTCGACATTCAAACTTTGACTTTTAGGTACAAAATCGGTACTGGTAAGAGAAAACACATGATCCACTGAGAAATGACAGATAGAATCATCGATCGACGTTTATTGAACCAACGTTTATGTCCGTAAACAATTGTACAAAACCGATAAATCGATAGGACACATAAGGAAAAGGCTGCCTGGCAATTAACAGTCGTTCGAATGTAGGTGATAGAGACAGTCCATTTATAGTTTGAATTGCACTTAAAAAAGAGTTCGTATGAAAAATAACCTGCCCAATAGAGGATACATAAGGTCATTGTCAAGCAGACGTTCACTGTTATTAGATTATTCGTTGTACGGAGATGTCGAACACTGATGATTGGAATACAATAGATGCAGATAGATAGAAGATTTAAGACAAGTAGTATTAACGAGAGAGTTGCAACGCAATGAAAAATAGAGCAGCGGGCAACTTCCATCTTGTTTATTCGAAGAAAACGTTTTTTGTGTACTCTTTATACATATTCGAGAATGAGATAAAATCTTTGAGGAGGATCTAAATTTATCGGACTTCATTGTAATTGAAAGATCACATCTATACTGTTACAGAAGCTAGTAAAAATATTATAATCATCAGATCAAAGATATCTTTGGCTGCACTTCTAGGTCGAATATCGAAGAATTCCATTTTCAATTAGTTGTTGTCTACGGACACAGTTCAAAGTCGTTTGTTTTTTTTCCACTGCTATTCATACATATATATAAAGCCTTTATTTTGTTTGACAAAAAGAACGTTTACAAAGCGATTTCATGTTTGGGAAAACGATAAGCAACAAGATTGAACATCTTCTAAAGATCAAATAACTTCAAAGAAATATACATGCAATAATACGAACGCTGTTTTTTATGTTTAGAGTCTAGTGGATCAGATCGTCTCAGGCGAGAATATCAATAAATAAAATGAAAATGAAAAAAAAAGAAAAGAAATACAAAGTTCAGATCTTCACGTTGGTTTATTGAAGTTTTGGCGCGCCCGCAACGATGCCGCTTTCAATACCACACTCGTTTTTACCACGAAGAATTTTGAAGAAACCATTATCACCCCAATCTTGATTCCATGCTAAACACAAACAGAACTTGGCTCAGAATATTGTCCGAAAATGAATCAGACACTTACAGTTAGCAATAAGCCAATACGGTGTGCCATTTTCAACACCCCATCCAAGGATTTTAATAGCTAAAAGACAGAGATTATCAGTAACAATTATGTAACTGAGAATGAAAAGTGACACGTACCATGACCGCCAAGTGTGGTGCCGGATGTACGTTTGTAAACACCTGAACTGTATAGAAGAAAATCCGAGTAGACAGTGAATGCACCTTCGACGGGTCCATTCTTCATGATTTCAGTTTGAATTTGTTGTTCATTTGATTTAATCGAGTAAACACTATCACCATGATGTTTATCATCAGTATATGGCACCGTATAACTCTCAATACAGGCTTTTGTACATTTAGGTGTTTTACCTTCACCTTGACACTACCGAATCGAGATGAAAACAACAATAGAAAATAAGAAAATAAATTATTTTTAGCTTACAGGTGGTAATGTCTTATTAACACTGAAATAATAGCAGACAAAATGAAAGTAAGTCATTAGAAAAAGGTAGCTTTACACATACTGATGATCACATGCTTCGATTGTATATGGTCGGCAGCCTTCGTTGGAATCGTAATTACCACCGGTAACTAGACCTGTTCCTTTGAAAAATGACCAAGCTGCTTGAGGAAAACCGCCATTGCAACCAAAACCACATGTTTTGCAGCATGCTAAGAAAAATCCGATGGTACGGCTCATCAATGGCGCACAACAACTTACAAACGAGATCTTCGGCAGAAATATGTGCATTTTGAGCACCATTCGAAGCAATACAAATACGATCGGACATAGCTTCAACAGCACCGAACGCCCAACAGCTACCGCAACTACAAATAAGTATAGATACATGCTAAGATCGAATCTAGTTCATTTAAAAAACTACTCACCTTCCTTGATCGCGCACTTCTTTCAATGTTGGACAATTGGGCCATTGTTCACGTGCATCGAAATTTTCCGGAATGTCATTGGGAACGTCGTGTTCAAGTACTGGTAGCTCTTCATGTTGTTTATAATAATCTGGATCAACGCCCATCAAACGTCGGATCGATTCTTCTGACCAGGACATGAATTTGGATGGTGCTGCCTTCCATGTTGTTTTCGCGCTATTAATTTCATGAACGAGACTCGAGGAAAGTAATAATTGACCGTCTTGCAAACGGCTACCATTGACAACAATGATAGTTAAATAAATACAAAGACTTAAGCGAAGAAACATTATCTACAAGTCGAAAATGAAGTGAAACTATGTTTGTAAACATGAAGGTTATTTTCGCACAGTTACGCAGATGTGTGTGCTTTTTCTTCAGTGACAGTGATGTCGATTCTATTACGTATGACAATGATTATTTTTTGTTGATACCGAAGAAAACATCATTAAAAATATTTTCTTCTCTAATCGAAATTTGATCAACGTGAATGATAAAAAACGAAATGGTTCGAAAACAATATTTGAATATTGAGAAAAATGATAGGTGTTATGCATATTATCTTTTGATAAATACATTCACCTAGGTTATTCTTCTCTCAAAGTTTTTATACAATATTATATTTGCTTTTCTCGATAATGATCACTATCAGGCAAAAGGTAAAACGTAGGTGAGTCGATAGATAAATATATATATGTATATATGAAATAAAATTAACATAACCGAGTCTTACAAATAAACTTACGTTTTTCGTGGTATTTTATGTCTAGCTACACTCAAACGATACAATGATGGCTAATTCAAGACTAATGATTGGAACTGTCAAGTCAATGAACAATTCATGGCCAAAGAGTTGAGTATAAGAGAAAAACGACATGCTATTTGTCACGAAATGCTGATAGACATTGCACGGATCAATGTATATTCGACGTCGACGTGTACTTTCTATAGCTTTATCGCATTTTACGCAACTGTCTTCATTAAAGAAAGCTCTATACGATTTCTCTTCATGTTTGTAACAACTGTTTTAATGGGCTCTCTAATCATTTAGAAACTGTTGCGGAGATGTTGATTGAACAACAGGTTTTTGCAAACAACAGATGCTACACATGCGGTGCACTGGTGTACGATGTCGAAAAGAAGAAAACTTCGAATCATGTGAGTTTGCTGACAGTTGTGTATTTCAATCATGAAAGTTTTTTCTAGATCTACCACACTCGATGTTTTCGTTGTCGTATCTGTAAACGGAGTCTTAATGCGTCGTCGCTTAATGAAGAGGGCGATGATATCTACTGTGAAAGTACGCTTTTAATGAAATTTACCGATTCATGATTTATAATTTCTCTCATTAGATTGCTATCGGAAAAAACAACGAGGCGAATGTAGTGGGTTGGACTTTCAACGGGCAGCACATGAGCGCGCTCAATTCATTTATAATAATCGGCACCCTGATCAAGCGCCAATCCAAAGTAAACCTCGACGACCTATTCAACATGATTTATCTCAACATCCATCATGGACATTGCGGCAATTAGAATTGCAATTTCTCTCGAATCCGAAACCGAAACCAAAACCGAAAGAAACTGCTCCCGAGCTGATAAATACGTACCAACTCAAAAAATCTAGTTCATTTCCTCAACCGCAACGTTCGAAAGTGACTTTTGTCAGCCCACCTTCCATTAGAAAACTCGCTAGTATACCAGAAGAATCCCCGCCAACATCTAACAAGAGCGTTTCATCACTACCAATATTGTATTCTGATCTAAAACCGACTGTCAAACCCTTACATGAAACTAATACTTCAAATCTACAAAAGACACCACCAGCTAATAAATTTGACAAAATCAAATCTCGATTAAATTTCACCTATGACGAATTATCTAACGATATGTCAGTATTAGGTCGACGTCATAGTTTGGCTGGACTCGATGTCAAGGAAAATTCTACTCTCACTTCGTCTAAACCATCCCGTCAACGAGTTGCACGTACTAGTCCAGTACATCGTCGAAATTTTAGCACTAGTAGTATTCCTTATCGACGCACACTAAAATAAGTTTAACGAACTGTATGTAGACGATGCTTGTCTTTGTAATGTAAACTATAACAATAAAACAGTGATGTTTGAATCGACAAAAAGAAGAAAGAAATAAACAAATAATTAATCATTGCAAGTCTTGTGATACATGATCACACAGAAAAACGAAGAACACAGGCAGTCCTGTCGTTTGCCGAAATAGGATTGGTGGAAATTACTTCTAACTGATCATAATATCTCGACATAGTTCTGGATGGGCAATATGAATTAATTCATCTTATCAGAAAGATGTTTAGCTACAATTGATTATGAACTTTTAATTCATCATCACTTGAATAGTAGTGACATCTGTGTTCTGAGGACATTTTTACTATATGAGATAAAAAATTGTATTAGTCTACACCCGGCATCTATCTGACCTCAATCGTGAATGAAGAAGTCCATTCCGTCGATTTTGATTGGAAAGTTCGAATATCTATTGAAAGTATTTCTTTCGATTTATTTCTTTATTTATCCTGAAGAAAATTGAGTATATAATCATACGTTGTTCTTTAGATTTTCGTGATCATGACTAAAACCAGCAAGCGCAAAGCTTCCACGTCAGTGTCCCGAAATCGTCCAGAAAAAAAAGCAAAAAAAATTCGGCGACAAGAACAAGCCGCTGACAACGATAATGATGAATCGTTGAATATTCATCGTTTAGGTCCAGCACCTATTTCGACTTCGTCATTAGTTCAACGTTTACCATCAACACGAACGTCGGATGCCATTCAGTCAATGAAAACTGTTTGGGTCAATAAACAACGTGTTCTGATATTTTCATCACGTGGAATATCTTATTTGGCACGCCATGTTATGAAAAATCTTCGTTCATTAATGGCACACGCAAAAAGTGAACCAAAAGCTGAATTACGTAAAAATTTCTCTGTTCTCAATGAAATAGCTGAACTACGTAATTGTAACAAGGTTATGTTTTTCGATATGAAAAAGAAACGTGATCTCTACCTATGGATTGCAGCAGTGCCCGATGGACCAACGGTGAAATTTTTGGTCGAGAATTTACACACAATGGAAGGATTGAAACTAACTGGTAATTGTTTACGTGGTTCCAGACCATTGTTGTCATTTGATAAGAAATTCGACGAAGAACCACATTGGAAATTGATTAAAGAGTTGTTCACACAAGTGTTTGGTACACCGAAATCGCATCCGAAATCTCAACCATTTATTGATCATGTGTTAACATTCACAATCATCGATAATAAAATCTGGTTGAGAAATTATCAGATAGTGGAAGAAAATGGGTCTTTAGCTGAAATTGGTCCAAGGTAGAGAGATTTTCTTTTCTTTGAATATTCATTGTGATGCCTTGCATTTAGATTTGTTCTTAATTTACATTGTATTTTCGAGAAAAGCTTTTCCGGAATGTTAATCTATGAAAATCCAACATACGTCGCGCCAAATTTGAAACGCCATATCGCGAAAGCAGAAGCATCTGAGAAATATCGACAACGTGTTCAGCAGAAATTGTCGTACGAACAAAAGAAGCCAAAAGAAAGCTTTCCATACGACAAGACCGATGAAATTTTTCAAACACCAGCTCCACCATCGCAAAACAACGATGATGATGATGATGACGATGATGATGACGATGACGATTCGGAATAGAGCTTTGTTTTCCTTATTGTTGTTAGTATGATTGAAATCGAATAAAATCATATTGATTGTTTGTTAGAAGAAGAAAAACTAAGCTTGAGGGTGGAAATTGTTTTGTTTTCTGTGTTTCAGATGGCAATACGAATTTTAGTCGGTGTGAAACGAGCGATTGACTATGCAGTTAAAATTCAAGTCAAATCGGATAAATCGGGAGTGGTAACCGAAGGAGTGAAACATTCGATGAATCCATTCGATGAAATCGCAGTGGAAGAAGCAATTCGCTTAAAAGAAAAGAAAGTTGCTCAAGAAGTTATTGCCATTTCATGCGGACCGCCTCAATGTCAAGTAGGATTCGTGACAAACGAGAATGATATGAATGCTTTTCTTTTGTGAAGGAAACTCTACGAACAGCTTTGGCATTAGGTGCTGATCGAGCAATACATGTGGAAGTTGCAGGCAAGGATTATGAAACGTTACAACCGTTAGCCATCTCGAAACTGATAGCAGCCGTCGCCAAGAAGGAAAATGTTGACTTAGTTCTTCTAGGAAAGCTGGTACGTCTGAACTTTGCAAAGAGTTATAAGAGAAATCATCAATGTCAATCCGATTGAGCTTCAATGAATAATCCGTGGAGAGAAAAAGCCATATACGACATGTGTTTTTCTTCTCTTCTAATCATGTTAATTCGTTTCGAATGATCATCAACATGTGGACTGAGTCACACTCATTCGTTCGATCTTTCCATTGAAAGCGAACATCATTTTCCTTTTCTTCCAGCACCTAATTCTAGTGAAGAAACGCTCGGAGTACACGCAACTGTCGCAAGTAGACAGATTATGCAAAACTATGCAAATTTTATTCTGCATGTCAAAAAGAAATTGTTTTCAGTTTTCATATGTGGATCAAACTAATAGTGACATTTGTATTAGTTCAAACGATCATTTTGAATGAGTATAATATACTCGAACGTGATACTGACATACTGCACATTCTCCCTTCAAAACATGAGTTTTATTATCATGAACTGCGGAAAACATAGGGCATCGAGTAAAAGGTTTTTTTTTCTATATTTAGGCTATTGATGACGATTCGAATCAAACAGGTCAAATGGTTGCTGGTCTTCTCTCCTGGCCCCAGGTATTTCCTATTCCTTCTTATTCAAAAAACAACAGATGTAAAGTTATCATTGGTGATTTGTTTCTCTAGGCTGTGTTCGCCTCTAAAGTTGATATAAAAGATAAGAAAGCTGAGGTCATGCGTGAAATTGATGGTGGTTCAGAAACAATTCGTGTGAAATTACCTGCTGTAATTACTGCTGATCTTCGTCTTAATCAACCACGTTTTGCAAATCTTCCATCAATCCAGGTGAGTTTTTCGGATTAGAAACATCTCTCGATTAGTGATCTGAATTTTTATTTATAGAAAGCCAAGAAGAAACCAATGGCAAAAATGTCACCAAAAGATTTAGGTGTTGATATAAAGCCGCACCAAGAATATCTTTCGTATGAAGAACCACCTAAACGACAAGGCGGTGGTCGTGTAGCAAGTGTTGATGAATTAATTAGCAAACTGAAAGAAAAAGGGCTGATTTAAAGAAGATTCTCCCTCATCCCAGTTCACTTCCTCTTCTTTCTTTTTTTTTTATAAAATTGATCACTCTACCAATATCATCCGGTTTTTCTGTCGCTTTTAAATAACCAAAATTTCTTCTTTCAAAGTATAGATTAACATTCTAAACAGTTTTCTTTTTCAGATTTATTCAACGGTTAGAATGGCAACTGATGACGGTGGAAATTCCGTGCGAAAGTTTAAATTAGTCTTTCTAGGAGAACAGAGTGGTAAGATTTCACTGAGAGTGATTCTTTGCGCACTAAGTCATTTCGGTTTTAGTTGGCAAAACAGCTCTGATCACTCGATTTATGTACGATAGTTTTGATAATACGTACCAGGTAAGACTCAGCAGTTTTCTCTCGAAGACAAGGATGAACATACCAGTACTATTTAGGCTACAATTGGGATTGATTTTCTCTCGAAGACAATGTATCTCGATGATCGAACGATTCGTTTACAGTTGTGGTTAGTGCAATTCATTACGAAACTAACATACTCATAGTAACGATTTTAGGGATACGGCGGGACAAGAAAGATTTCGGTAAGGAAAAAAATTCATTTTCATAATAGAATGTTATCAGATTTGTTTGGATTTTTGTAGAAGTCTTATTCCAAGCTATATTCGTGATTCATCTGCTGCAGTTGTTGTCTATGATGTCGCAAGTATGAATAACTTTGAAAGGAAATTGCGTTGTACGATTTACCATCCATTTAGATTCTCATTCATTTCAACAAACATCCAAATGGATCGATGAAGTCCGTGCGGAACGTGGCACCGATGTTATTATAATACTGGGTAAATATTTATTCAAGGATACATATTTGTTCGCAGTCAACATATTGTTTTAGTGGGAAATAAAACTGACTTAGTCGATCGTAGACAAGTATCCACCGAAGATGGAGAGCTCAAAGCTAAAGAATTAAATGTCCTGTTCATTGAGACCAGTGCAAAAGCAGGTTTTAATGTTAAACAAGTACGATCGAATCGAGTAGAAACATTGATAGAAATTGTCGTTTTTTTTCTTGCAGTTATTTCGACGAATAGCTTCAGCTTTACCTGGCATTGGTCCTGATGAACCCGTAAAAGGACCAGGTAAGTTTTCGATAAACTTTTTTAATGTTGACTTCTGTTCGTATTTTAGTAAATTTCGTGAATATCGAATCGCCCAGCAAAACTGACAAACCAGCTGATAATAACGAAAGTTTCTGTCGTTGTTGAGTGATAATCAAACCGAGCGATTTGTACTTCAAATTAGCTCCGTCTATTTTTGCCTCTAGGGTCTTAGATATAATCAAAGAGAACACTGCCTTTTGATAATCAATAATCAATTGTTATTTTTTAATACTACATGTGTCTCAATGTACATCTGATTTTCGATGCGATCTTTCATTTGTTTTCTTTTATTTCTCAAAAATAAAATATCAATATTTATACTGGATATACCGGTATTATTTTGTATCGGACCATATTCAAGCCACTTAAGCTTCGAGAATACACGTGAATTAATAGGTCAGATTTCTGATAAATTCGCGCGTTTTTACCGATATGTGGCAGACAATTCGAAAAACAGCGGAAAAAAATGTCGTCGATCTTTGCATATTTCGTGATCATGTGCAGTGTTTTGATTCTTGGTAGGAAGGACGTTTTTCTTTCATACATAATCGTTTTTTGATGATGGTGTTTTAGGAGTGAGTTCCGCAAATAAAGGATCGGTTAGAGTATGTAATCGAGGTGCTTACGTTGCTAAATGTGGTCTCGAGACCCGAACGAGTGATGGTCGTACTCGTAACTATGAAACAGGTCAATTTCCCGTCGGACAATGTTCAACTCTTGAACTTCCTTACGAATCCGTCTGGGGCCGTGCTTGGTGCGACAATTACGTCTTCATTGCTGTCACTAAAAATATCTTTCGAGAAGAATTCGACGCACCAGCTACTCGTTGCTATGACATTGGCGGCACAACGTTTCACCCTTCAATGAGTCGAACATGTTAAAATAGAAACGCATTGGTGCACTTATTTGTTCGTATTTTTTCTCTCTATGTATTGTGTTTTTTTTCTTGAAATACAAAAATAAATGGACGGAGACAATATTAACAAACATACAAATCAATGAAAACGAGCAAAGAGTTGTTCAACACGAGTTTTCAACCGTTGAAATATACTGAAACGAATTTGACTTTCACTATATTCTGAATTGGATCGGCCCGTTGTTGCTGATGATGATGTTAAACGACTCCACCGTCTTGGATGATGGAAGCTAAATTCAATACCCGCAATCGAATCTTGTCGTTGATCTAACGACCATTTACCACTGAGAACAAGTTCGAATGTTTCATTATTTCCAAAATCTGGTAGAAACGTTTCTCGATCACTGTTATTCGTATAGTGCTGTGGCAATGGCATATAGAAGTATTTCATACAGAAACAGCATAGTAAATGTGTTAATTCTCGACGAAAGCGCTTGCCGAAAAATATATACAGGTAACATTGCGATGCGGAATTGAATATCATCAAAAATTTGGCAAATTCATCCAGATGTTGAAAGATTCGATAACGATACGATATAGTGACGTATGTATCGGGGTTATAGGCAAAGAAGGCAGCGAATGGAATCGATGGTGTAATACATACTAAATAAATCGAGATGACAATGACCAGCATATGTGTAACATCATTTCGTTTTTGTTCATAGGGGTTAATCTGTCGATGGCGTCGTTTAGTACTTGCGAGTGTATGAATTAAATGTAAATTCAATTTGAAGACGATTAGAAATGGGATGATACGAACGAGAAAACAATTAACAAACAGTGTGATAACCGAACGATAGGCAACCGATTTACCGAATTCACTTAAACCGGATACCCAAAAAGCCCAGGCATTTAGTTCAGTACGATTAGTTGCATGTGTTGAAATATTCAAATATGTATTTGTTCTATTTATAGGATTTCCACTGAGCATGGCATGACATGAATTGGCCAACATTTGCGGTACTAAATAAGCCAAGGCGAAAAGTAAACATGCACTTAACACAAACAATGCATTTCGTCGAGTGCACATTTTCTCGCCGGTGAACGGATAACAAATCATAATGTAACGATCAACAGTAAAACCAACAGTTATCCTAGAAAATCCAAATTATTTTTACATCGTGTTCAAGGACAAAATCATGAGCATACATACCATGTTGACAGCGCGAATGTGCTGGATGCAACACCTTTGGCAGATGCGACGAGTATACAATTGAACCGGCTCGGTGCAAGAAAAACTTCGAGTTCAAAAACAATCACAGCTGATAGTGTAATTGCATTTGATAAACATAAAGCTGTTAAATAAGCATAGGTAGATAAAGTACGCATCCGACGTCGAAGTAATGTGCAAACAGCCAAAACATTACCTGTGAGAAATAAATATGCATAAATTGAAGAGAAAAATCAATGCGAACAGCTTACCGATGATACCAATGAGACAAACAGTGATGTTTAACCAACGAAATGATGAACGAGTTAACCATGTTGCTAGTCCACCATCGTAAATAATATCATTCCATGATAGATCAAACGATTCCTCAATATGATGAGGAATATTTTCCGGTAAAGAATCGGATTTCGTTAGATTGGTTAGATTCGCAAAGTTATTTATAGGCATGACGTCTGCAACTATACTTTGGCCTAGTAAAAGGAAAGTAAAAACCACTCGATTTCTAGTTCGAATCAGCAAAGAAGACAGCTGTTACCAAGAAGGAACGAATGGGTAACAGATTGTTCGAGTTTCTAGAATAAATTAATAAAGTTAGAGTTGACTTTTGAATCGTCATTCTGCTGAACGTCGCTCAGCATATACAAATGAGTAGAAAAAGAAATGATGCCAAGTTCTCTTGTTCATCTTTTCGCTCATAATTAATAATTAGTGTCCTGATGAGCAAGAAGATATTTCAATCTTCACTGCAGACAGATCCCTTTGCTTAATTCTCTTCTGTGTTCTTGTTTTTTCTTTTCTTTTTATTAACTATCTAGCATAAGATTAATGAAGACGGATAAGAATAACAGGACATTGCTAACAAAGAAAAATCATTTATTTATTCATTCATTCATTTGATTGTCGTAGTCGAAAACATTTTTGCTTGTTAATTCCTATTACTTTCTTGCATTTGATCTATATTTTCTTTCGATAATTCTGATTAATTAAAAAAAGATCAAACTGCGGAATTTCACTACACAACATTTTCTCTTTATTTTTATAAATAGAAAAGAAAGTTAATCTAGCGAGTACAGAACTTCTTCAGATCTAGTTCCTTCTTTCAAAAGCATTCGAGGTTTCTTTTCCATTGAATTCTAATTGAACTACGTTGGATTATTTTTATCTTGCTCTTTTCTTTTCTCGCAATATCTATCTTAGAGAAACAAAAAAATGGCGTTTCTAAAAAAAGATGAACTCGTGTTTGTTAGTAAAAGTATTTCCCCTTTTCTCTCAGTTCAAATGACAACGCATTATTAGGAGAAAACCATGTAAAAATCTTCGCATTTTCTCCCTTTCCTCGTCTTTTCAGCACACTATTTTTAGAAACTCATCTACAAGTTACCTATAAAAAGTTTTCAGATCTTTTCTACTAGATAATCGCATCTTCAAGACGGAAATTCTTCCTCTTCGTCTTCAGTCTTTTTCATTATCTGTCTGTTCGAGTGATCGCTTATGAAAAGAAACAAGATGCACAAAAGAAGTCGATTTGCAAGGAAAAACAAAAGAAGAAAACTCATAACTATTAACTCATTGAGATTTTTCTAGAAGAGTATTTTCAATTCGCAATTGTTCTCGAAATCATCATCGCAGCGCATATCGACATACACGCCGATATATCTGTGTACATAGCACTCAGCCGGAACGCGTATAATACTACCTGCTTCGCATTTCAATTTAGCGTGACTGATGAAAGTATATGCTTACGAAAAATGTCTTGTTATTATTGTCGTTGACGAGAGGGTTATTTATAGAACATTCTATCCTAAGAAAATGATTAGAATTGAGAAATAAGATCTTCTTAATGAGACGCCTAAGCATACACACAAAAGAGATGAATGACATAAGAGAGTTGCCTGTTCTCATGCTTTTACCTGTAGCAAATAGTCTCTTTTTCTCTTTCTCTTTTATATGGCCTCTCGTTTTTTTTTTCTTCTCAATGTTTCTTCCGGTCGGCGGGCGATACCGCCGATCTTTTAGCGATATTTTTAGACAACCCTTAATTTTTTTCCATCCATTATTATTTTCCCTCTGAAAAATATGGCCATTTGAAAAAAAGAGAAAAAAAAGGAAAAGGGTCATCAAAAAAACCTTTTTTTAGAAGAAACCAACTAATGATTCTGAGGAATAACTACTCCACACAAGTATTCCTTTATAACAGAATCGAAAATAACCGTTAAATCAGATACTCCACGAAATCAAATGATCTGTGTCATACCCAACTACACTAATCATACGAAAAACTATCAATGAACAGCAGAACTACTAGAAGACCTACTTTTTTTTATTTGATTCCTGACAAATAAATGTAACCTTGCTAACACAGATGTATTCATCAACTAAAGTAATTTCTAATACGAACCATTTTGGTTATTTTTGCTTCTGAGCACTTGTGACCATATGTTACAATTATTTTTGTCCTCTATTAGCTATTCTCGTCGCTATTAGGCAGATGAAATAGATTTCTTTGTCAATCTTGACTCCAGCCTGTTAGTTTAATTGAAACTTGTTCTCTACACTGTGATACTCATCTAAGCAAATAATTTTCGACAAATTCAGGATAACACTTACTAAGCAACACACGGAGCTTGTTGTGATATTAGTTGGTGTAATCACATATACCTTATCGAAGAAAATAACACATTCGGTTCGCATCGATAATTAGAGGATGTATATTATATTTATTCATCGAGGAAAAAACAAGAAGAAACGTGCATGTCATTCATAAAAAAAGCATCTTTGTTTACGCTCGAAAGAATCTCCCAAAGAATCTCATCTGAGAATCAAACTTGAATACGCACGTCTATTTAAAAACTAGCATCAGGAGTCTTTAGTCATAATAATGCATATACTTTTTGTATGATTTACTTATGAATAAAAGAAAATGACAGTTTGTATTCAACTCAGAGATATTTTTATCGTTTGGACTAAGTGCGAAGTAGTGCGTGTAGGCAAGACAAAATTAAGTATATCTAGTTATTTCGCTTGATTGACCTGACCATTTTTTCGCGTTATTTTTAGACGTATTTTGACTAGATTATGATTAATGGTAGAGGTTACGTAAAGGATTCAGTGCTTTTTTTTGTACAGAATCCGAGGTAGTATATTTAATCAACAAATGCATGTTTATATAGTTTTCACTTCACGTAAGTAGAGCATCGAAACAGTAATTAAGAATCTAATCACGAAGATTTATTCAGATGAAAGATGACTTTGTCAGATGAGAAGAATGTATGCCTATGTTCTATGATGGAATCAAGTCTAAGATTACTAAAGGTAAGAAACATCTGTCAGATCATATTTAACCAGATCTCATATTATCTAATCAACGGTTTCTGTCGACCAAGCGAGCTACCTACAGAATCATTAGAAGAGAATTGATTAGTTTTTATGGATAAAAGTACCATCATTGGAAGCGGCACCCTCAAGGGAAAACTTATTTTTTCATTAGATGGTCTATTGTTAGTTCTTCATATCCGTTACGGTGAAGAAGAAGAAAATGGGCAATATTTAAAGACAAATATCAGCAAATGAAATATACTTGCTTTCAACGAGTTCTTATCATTCGACTTTGTTCTTTTTTATCATTCCAATGCATTAAATTAATTCATTAGTATGCATGACTGAAATAGATCTTTCTTCAACATCAAAGCATTAACCTCTACCGATAAGAATTTGATCCAGCATCAAGCTTCTGCTTATTTTTATTGACTGACAACGTCAATACTTCTGTCAATATTAAATTCAGAAATGTTTCCTGTTATTAAAACGTTGCAGTCAGGCAAAACCGACCCTGTCGACATGAGAAGTTCTGTGAAATAATCTTTTTATAACCTGACAAATAATCTACTAATTAAATCCTAAACTTGCTAAGTTAATGCATCGAAACGTGATACACACCATTGCAAATAAAATTATCCCAAGCAAGCTGTTTGCACTCATTTCAGATAAACTCTGTCATTTACATAAAAAAGGTCATTAAGCTAAACACGGATAGAAAGTATATTCTTTTCTAATTGGAAAAGATATAAATGAGTCGTTATTAAAGATTAGATATGACAAATATTAGATTTCATGAAACCGTACATGCAAGAAACTTTTTACTCTCGATGACTTTTACAAAAAAAGACTATTTTCATCACGAGTGCCAATGGCGACGAAGATGAAGCTTATTTGCCAAATTTCCTTGTCAGGAACACAAGATCTCTTTCATTATGGCATTGCGACATCTGAGTGAAGAGAAAAAGAGAAAATGAATGTTATTGAATACATTAATATCACATGTCTTTATTCAGTTAAGTCGGCTGATTTTATTAATAGATAAGGAAAGTTAGTCAATAGGGGAGATCAAATATTGCGATTTGGTATGCCTATAAGGGAATATGGAAGAGGTGAATGTCAAAAAAACATTCAGTAGACTGATCAAAATGTTTGGGAAGTCAAGAGTTTTCACAAGAATAATTTCAAATAAAAGAGACCGATGAATCTTCTTTGTTTTTCGAGGCATTCAGACGAACTTTTTTTGTCAGAAATCATATATGTTCTTAGTTTATTAGCTTTGTCTAAGCTAAAAAAAGCTATATTGACATGTCAAACGACATAAAAATAGGTCCTGTGACGTTTGAGAATCATGATATGCAGTCAAACAAGTTTATTTTTACTTTAATTACATGAGAAAATTCCGTTTGCTATGAAATCAGCGAGAATGTATTCGCGAGATCTAATCTATTTTTACATGCTATTAAACATAAGATGGCATAGATGTTGGAAGGAGTGCTAAAGAATTTCTTATGTAAGGATAGGTGCCATTGTTACAGAATGCGCCATTGAAATCATCCATGTCAACTAAAGATTTCAAAGAAGATAATGCAATGCAATGTTAAACATCGGTGTACGTACGAGACCAAACAAACATTCCGCCTAAATTCTTCGCTACGACATATGCGGCGCGTTTGCGAATGTTGTCCAATGTTTCATATGAAATCCATTCACGATCTTTGAACATGTATTCCGATTCCGATCCATCGGTTACTGTACGTTTTTGCCACTTGGAGTCAGTTTGTAATAGACAAACCTTGAACGAAGACAAGACTCGAGGAAAGATTCATCGAGAAAAGTTTTACTTCGAAATAGGAAAGAAAACCAGGAGTGCGGGTAAAGAGTCCTGCACTACCATTGCCTACAGTTGGCGAATGAAGATCATTCTGATCGGATCGTGCTAAAAGAAAACTACGAGCGAACAGAGGTAGGCCAAGAACAAGCTTATGTGCCGCAGCACCATTTTGTAACCAAATTGTAACACCAAAGTCCTATGAAGAAATGATTTCTAATAAAAGTGAAAGTTTAGTTGTCAATACTTGATTGAGCAGTCCATCTCTATCAAGTTCGTCGTAACGTCTATACAGTGGAGCGTTTACACCCGTATAGTTTTGCCATGCACCATGGAAATCACTGAAAATCCAATGAGAACTGATGAGTATCGGTGAGTTCAATTGACTTACTAAGTCATTATGTTGATAAAGTCTAAAATTCTGAAAGAAAATCGTTGATAGATTCGTTCTATTCAAAACAATTTTACTTCGCAATCTTCTCGATTTCATAAGCATGCGCAACAATTTCTTGATTGGCAGCAACAGCAGCAGCTAAAATCAGCCGAGATTGACCTGTCACTATGGCTTGTGCAACAGCTGCATCTTTGAATTCCTAGTCACAAAGTTTCGTCAAGAATTTCGATTCCATGTGAAATGAAATTTTCTACTTGGAGAAATAAAGTCAGGTAATACTTATCATTGTTCTGTCCACCGCGTATTCCTGGATATTCCCAATCGATTTCCAAACCATCGAAATTATGTTTTCGAAGGAAACTATAAGAGCAGACTTCTAATTGAATGACACCACTTCTACAAACGCTTACTTAATCGTATCGAAGATGAAATTTCGTCGTTTCTCATGGTGATGCACCATTGTAGAAAACGCATACGATTTCATGTTCCATCCACCGACAGCAAGCAGTGTTTTTAATTTCGGATTCAAAGTTTTCAGCGCATTGATACGTCGATACAGTTCTAAGTACATTTGAATAAAAAAAAACTCAGACTCAATTCGATTGATTTCACTGTTTACCTTCATCGTTGTCTTCGACTGTTTTGATCAATAGTGTCTGGTTATTAATGTATGCAAAGGCATAGATAATGTGTGTACAAAGAAACGGGTCTATGTTCTCTGGATCGAACTTAGCAGGGCCGAGTCGATATTGTGCCCAATTAGTAAAATAACAAATCTTTTTGTATTTAAGTTCGTCTAGAATCAATCGGATTAGAGAGTAACATGACTGAAATATCTTAATACCTTCGTTAACAGGAACACGATGGCGCTGAACGACGGAAAAACGACCTACTTTTCCATTAATTGATGGCTTATCGTCTGCAATGGGTTTGCTATCAACTCTCATCAATGGAGAACCATGGGACCATATAACACCTCCTGAATGATCGTCAATATCTCTTTCCGCGCGCTAGTCAAATCATAATACTCATCTAACAAGCCATTCTCGATAGAAAGCATCTTGTCTTACTTTTCGGGGAAGTTTGTCCATTGAAAATGGTTCCATAAGTTTGTCAATAGTTGGTGGCAACGAGACCAGTCGTTTGGGTTGTTGTTGTAGATCTTGATCTTCATTCGGCACTGGTGTAGCTAGAATAAAACTGGCTACACGATGAAATTGAGCCATTTCTGTTGTCGGTTGTGAGGCGAGTTGGTCAAAAGCATCATTGACAGCAACTTTTACTAGACAACGTTGTGATGCTTCGTCAAATGTTGACTGTTCAGGACAACGATACAATGACCAACTACTGAGTCCAATATAATTTAATACACATGGATAATACTGAGATGAATCATTCCGATAAACACATAAACGAGGAAAATCAACTAGAATTTTCAAAGTGAAATATACATTTATTGAAAAATCAGAGAAACTTTACTGGAAATATGATGAGCGGATGAATAGTGAACGAATAAATACATTACGAGCAAATAATTGAATCGTTGAGAGATCATTTGCCGAATTCGATGAAGTTCGAATGACTAAATGTAATTATACTGATATCGAGCAATCGAAATACTCTTTTGATTGCAAACAAATGAAATGCTATATTTTGTCGTTGATTCTCTCTTCTTATTTTTTTTCCTCCTCATCTCTCTTTTTATTCTTCGACCAGATTTCGATTACATCATTGAATATATTGATGAATCTTGTTTGAAGATGATAACAAAGATCAATAGATGATTTAAGAAGCTTGTATACTTTGATTTCGTTTCGCAATCAATAAGATATTCTTTACTTGTCATTGGAAGGGATGAATGTTTACAAAGAAGAATTTCATGTATCCATCTTTCCAAGGACAATTCAAATATCGAACTCGACAAAGATTAATTGGCGACATTCAATGAACATTTGTTTTGTATTCACTAGGTGACCGCTGTTTATTTAATTAATAAAGTTTTGTTCAACTTGTTCACACGTCTTGTGTATATAGATGTATATTTGAGTAAGAACATGACATTTTATGTTTAGATATATCGATTGTACTTATGAGTGAATGTGTACATAGGATAAGCTATTGACATGCGGATCTGTTGCACTTGGATGGAGGATGAAATTGTTTGATTAGTGAACATTCTTTTTCTTCTACTTTACATACAAGTAGAACTATTTGGTCATATTAGATTGTGTCTGTCAGTTCCTTTTGTCTTGATCATTCGTAGTCTTGAATAAGGTGTAAGAAGCCGACAACACATTTGAATATGGGTCAATATTATCCATTACAATTGTTCGTGTATTACCTCACATCCATCCTACTCATCTTTATTACCGATCAAAGAACTTATGTTCATGCAAATCGAATAAGTATGTCTGAGAGATGATTAGATCATCCTCTTTTTCTTCTTGTTTTACACAACAATTGAAATCCACCGAATAATAGCAGACGACATGTTGATGAATAATGAAAATTAATTTTCAATATTGTTTTGTGCTTTTTCATAGCTCGGCTTGAAGAAGAACCATCAAAAATGCTTCGCGTGTGCTATGTGACGAACTGGTCGCGATATCGAGCTGATGAAGCTAAATTTGAAATCGAATTCATTGATCCATTTATGTGTACACATATCATTTATGCATACGCAACTGTCGATACGAGTAAACCAGAGATAATTCCTGTGCAAAAAGATGATCTCGGTTAGAATTTCATTGAACAAGATTTGGATGATGGGAAAAAATATATTTTTCTTTTCAGAGCATTATCGTGAATTGTCTTTGTTGAAAAAAACGAATCCGAATTTAAGAATCTTGATTCGTCTAGGAGGAAAGATATCGCTCTATCTTCGATATTTAAAACAAGCTGGTACAACCACTCAGCTTGTTCGAAGTCTTATCTGGTAGAATGTTTTGAAATTCAGACACAGTTTTCTGTTTATTCGGTATCTATTCAAGGTATATGGCAACACATGGTTTTGATGGTGTTGATATCGCACTTGAATTTCCCGATGCCGATATTCCAGATGCCAAAGCAGCGTTGACGGCTTTACTTGAAGTTGATTTGAAGTCTTACTACGGATGTATAGTATAGTTGTGTCTTTCTCATATGTTTAGGAACTGGGAAAACAACGACGATTGATGTTGAGAACAGTGATTACTTTGACAGCTGCGCCTTATGTGGAGAATCTACTGAAAATCTACGATATTCGAAAAATAGAAGGGTAATTTGGTTCGGGAAGGGAGAAATTCCCAAAAAGTTAAATATACATTTCTAGTCTGGTGAATTTCATCAATCTGATGACATTCGATTTTTATGGTAAACAAGTTAATTTGACTTGTCATTCATCTAGTGAGAATTATTCGATAATTAGGTCCATGGGACGAAAAAACTGGAATATCAGCGCCACTATTTCGTCAATATTATCAATTGGAAGCAGAATCTGTTCGAAATGTCGTATGTGTTACAAAGAATCATACAATTTCGCACTACTTTGCATCTATGTACATTTTACATAGGATGGCTTGGTCAAACTATGGCTCAGTTTAGGTGTACCTCGAGGAAAGATCGTTATCGGTATTCCAGCGTATGGCAGATCGTACACATTGTCATCGGAGCAGAAGGGATTACATTCGCCGAGTAAGATCCGTTGTTTCAGATGACTTTTGGTAAAATCATTGATTTCTTTATAGCGAATGGCCCTGGCTATCCTGGACAATACACTAAAACTCGTGGTTTTCTTTCATATTACGAAGTAAACTATTTCTAAACGATGAATTGCTTACATATTTGTCTTCTGTCAGGTTTGTGAAAAAGGTCAGTCTCAAAATTGGCAGAGAGTATGGTTAGATTCTGAAAAAGCTTGGTATATGGTCAATGATGATCAATGGATAAGTTATGAAGATGTCGACTCGGCTGCATTGAAAGTAATTCTGCTCATAGAATCGTCGAGCAACTCGTACCTGCACATGCATACTTTTACCACTTTTAGGCACAATATGCGAAGGCAGAACAACTTGGCGGATTATTTATATGGAGCATCGATAATGATGGTAAGTGTTCGTATGTCTCCTTTGAATCTATTAGTTCTATGTTGAAATTGAAGAATTTTCTGGTTTCTTCTGCAATACGGAACCATTTCCGATAACTCGTCAAGTGTTTGCTACTCTTAATCTTCCGGTACCCGAAACAAGTACACGAATATCACCTGTGCAACAACGAATTCCATCAATACTCACAACTGTAACGGATGCTCCAGCAATCCGTTTTGTCAATGTACAAGCGCAATCACCGACAACTTTCTCACCCATTGCACCTACTAATCTACAACAATTACTGAATGCACTCAGCATGTTAGCAGCGACGACATCCTCCGCACCAGTTTATATCGCACCAACAACACCATCAACATCAGCATTGCCTCCGCTAGCACATCAGACTTACAATGCTGAATATATCTGTACTGGTCATTTAGCTGGCCGACATGGAATTTATCGTGATCGTCGAAATTGTTCGATATTCTATGTTTGCGAAGGACACGACTTGAATTCTTTGCGTTATCATATTTTTTTCTGTCCACCCGGTTTAGAATTCTCTATGGACGCTTGCACGTGCGACTGGCCAACGGGTCGCCCATGCCAAAGTACAGGTGAAACATTCTGTGTTGCGCAAACACCTGCAACAACAAGCACAACTACAGCGACAGCTGCATTACTTTCACCAAACGTTCCTCAATCTGCCGTCATTGCATTGAATGGTCTAGGTCAACTGTTAGGTACATCCGGTAGTTCATCGCCCGTATTCGATTGTACCGGTCGTCGAGCTGGTCTCTATCGAGATATGTATGATTGTACGAAATTTTATTTCTGTACAACTAATAACCAACCATCGGATGGTCCACTATTTCGTTATGATTTTGTCTGCCCAACAAATTATGCATTCAGTATGACAACGTGTCGATGTGAACTCGGACAAAGTCATACATGTCATACTCTAACGAAGACTGATTGTCTTCTGCTATAATCAGACGTACGCAAAGCGAAAAACACACTTTATTCTTCATTCTTATTTGCTTTTCTTATATTATCTTGATCAATTAATAAAAGGTTCTTTTCATTTGAGATTTGAATGATTGTCAATCACTCTCGCCCTTCCCTTCCAACCGATCTAATTCGAGCACGAATCTTCTTGTATGTAATTAGTCTACATAGATGATAATAATCAGATTTGAAAATAAATGTGATTAATCATTCGTATTGATGGTTATCATCGAACGGGCAAGAAGAAAAACCAACGCGGTCGAATTCATGTTCATAAATTGACACTTCGAAAACGACAAGTCATCGTTTCTCTTTGTGTTTTCGAGAACATCTGATAGGATAAAGAAATCGTCAATTAGTGCATATTTCTTTGTCTCTTCATTTATCATCTCTAATCCGAAATGACTTTGACCAAGTGCTTTCGAGTTAAAAATGACAATGTCAATAGTTAATGTGCATATCTTTGAAGAAGAAAAGACATTGAACAGAGACATACGTACTCATTTTCGCTTTCTTTCTCATTTATTATCTTTCGCCAGCTTCGCGAAAGAGAACGAGACCGGTAGATACGAGAGAACATGTATATGTATAAACACACATTGCTGTACATCGCTTATCTATATGTATGAATTTCTTCATTTCATTTCTTTTGTCTATTGTTGTCGCTGTTGCCACGGATTCGGTTCGTTGAACATACGAAGAAGATGAGTATGACCTTTAAAAGTGTCTATGTTCACATGTTTTGTGCACTAGCTGAGCTTTAACCGTGTCCATATCTTCATTCATAGACGGGAGAGAGAGACACAAAATAAGGAAGAAAAGAAGAAAACACTAGCGCGTCATTTGTACAATATGATGTGATGAAAATTAACCGTAAAGCATGGAATATTAAACTTCAAAACACTGTCGATCGGGAACAATTATTATTTCATATTGCGAACAATTCAAGCAACAAATCAATTCTTTTTATATAACTTATCAAACATGAATTTGACCATTCAACAACCTATGCCATATCCATTCTATATGAACTCACCGCGTCTACCCTTCTCTATGCCCTGGTCCCCTAGTCCTTATCATTTTCCTGTGTCACCTTCTCAACAATATCCTTCCTCATTTCAAACATCACCAACACCATCATCACCCGTCTCCTACTCTTTGCCATTCGTTCTCCCACCACATCAACAGCATCATCATCATCATCATCATCAGCATCAAGTTCAGCAACAATCGCGACCGAATCCATCGTCGAAATCTTTGCATACATCTTCTTCTTATACAAATACTCGTTATAATCACTTGAAACAATCCACCAGTAATCATTTCAATCGACAACGATTCTCGGATACGGCATCACCTTCACCACACTATGCCACAACACATCAACATCAATACCGTCCGATGAAAACTAAATCTGTCACTGATTTATATCAATTGTTTCATCAAAACTCACCACAATTATCCAAAGCGCATTCGTGGCACGCAATCAACCATTTTCAACCGACACACGTAAACTATACGACCGAAATCCCGATCAATCGTACAAATCTTCCCTCTGTTACACCACCACCACCACCACCACCTCCTCCTCCTCGTCCTTTTCACCAATTTTCACCCAAACAAAAGAAAAAATCTCATAAAAAACAAGTATCATCATCGTTACCAGCGCAAACCTACAATCACGATCTCGTTCGTATATCCACATTCGATGAAATGCCCATCATGGCCAATCCTCTCTACCAAGAAAATACAGCTGATATGATTAAAATTCAGAAGCTCAATGAAACTCTTCATCAAAATTTCACCAAACCACCATCGCCGTCGAGTTCGAATAGTAGCCATTCATCATTACAAAAACGCTTGAATGGTTCATTACGCAATGACCCATTACTAAGTGCTGCGATAGACGATTTTCGCCAACTTCGTCATACACCGAGTCAACCGACATCGACTGCGTATGTTTATCGAATGATTGTTTTTGTATGAAAATATTTTTCTTTGAAAACATTTAGTTCTCGTCGTCGAGATTTAAGTCGCGATAGTCTTTGTTCGAACTCGACTCATCATTCAACATCGTCAATATCGCGTAGTCGAAGTCAATCGAGTTTTACATCACTTGAGCGTTTACAAATTCGTCGAATCATCGAAAGTTTTAACTCGAAAGATTCACGACCACTACAAAGTCTTTTGTCAAATCCGAAATCAACTGAAGGAAAGATGACTAAACCAGTATTATCATCAGTATCTTTGAAAAAGTCAAAAAAATCATCTGTCACTGAAGAATTAGATCGACAATTTCACAAATTACGTTCAGATAATCCCAATCAGGAGTTGATCTACGTAAAACCATCGTTAATTCAAAAGAATAAAGAATTAATTCCATCATTGCCATCAATGGATGAACTCATACGCAAAGCACAAACACAAAAAGTCGACGTAAGTCTCGCTGCCATTCATTCTCGTTCATAATTAGTTTCATTATAGACGTCAGAACTGAAAGAAATCGAAGAGAAAACTTATGAAAATCCTTTTTTATCAATTCCTGTTCCACAAAGCAGTCCTATCCTTTCAGCTAAATTAATCATCAACGAAAAGCCACCCGTAGACAATAAATCCGAATACGCCATCCCGAAAAAGCCGCTAAACGAAGTTAATCTTCGCTCAAATAAAAAAGACGAACACGTTCGTAGTTTTAGCTTTTGTAAACCCATAAGTGACATCGTTTACGACACCCAACAAACACGGCCAGTATCGATGCTAAATTGGTTTCAATATGGTTTAAGCAATCCTTTACCAGCAACATTTCAACCGCACAAAAACTTGCGTTTTCATGATAATCAACACGATACTTCAATAGTTAAGGAGAACATTTACGCGTCTGATATTGATGTTCATATTCCATTGTCGAACGAAAAGGATTATCTGCAAAATTCAACTGTTATGAAAGACTATATCGCAGATTGTAAACATGGTTCACATCATTCGTCGCTTTTCAACGACTTTTCACGTTTATTTACACGTTTTGGTAATCCTAAACATGAACAGAAAAGTAAAATGAAAAGCAAACTACACAAAAATAATCACCATCATGTTAACCACAATGTACGCTGTTCAATTATGTAAAAAAAACAATAGAGAATGACTTAACTTATCTGATATCTTTTATGTAGATTCTTTGCGTTCGAAATATGGGATTCTTTGCATACGTTCTTTGTCATTTCTTTTCACTTTTTCTCATTGCTTGTTTGCCTTTCCTTCGTTCATTCATTCACCTTTCATCAATTTTGTTCATTGGATAAAAGTTTCACTCGAGTAACTTTAGTTAAGCGACAAAATATGCCTCGGTTATTCGTTGTTTGAAAATAACACCGGCCACGTACGATTCCATTCGTTTTGCCAAACGATGGATCATCCAATATCACTCCCGCCCAATCACCAGGCCCTAACGTTGTTTCACCAATGTATAATATAATACCCGACCATTGGCCATTCACATAGATTCGATCGCCAATTTTTAACGAATCGGTGTCATGATTGAGTATAGGTTCCAAACGAGATAGCTCTTTTGTAGTTGCACTTGTGGAAAAGTTCATTCGTGGACGAATCGGTTGAGTGGGTAGTAGTCTTCGACAATCATAATGACTTGTACTATGTGGCAATCGTGCTGTTGTTGTTGTTGTTGACGGATGACTTTTTTGTTGAATAGAAGATAAATTGGTCGATGATGAACGTGGAAGAATTGTTGTCGCCGACTTGCGCATGGCAATAGAACTAGAAATAAGTAAGAAGAAAAGGAAACAGAATGATGATCACATCTCTATGTAATTGGGTTATTTATAATAAACCGACTCCTATTCACTTATTCTCTACGATAATCAATTCCAAAGATGAAAGAAAACAAGCAAATCACTATTGAGAGTTCCTTCTCCCCTTAGAAATTTTTATTGATTAGTGCGCTATCATCAAAGTTAGAAACAAGACAACGATCTACTTACATCAAACTTTATCTGTTGCGATGTGTGTGAGTTAACGGTCGAAATCAATTGTAAATGAGAGAAATTGTATGTGTACTTATCAATCTTCTGCCCACAGCAATGTTGTCATCGTGGTCGTTCATCTAATTATTTGACCGGAGATTACTGAACTAACCACGTAACAATACATTCCTATTCTTTTTTCTTCTCTTTTTTGTCTCTCTCAATTAATCCTGTGTCTCTTTTTTTCACTTCTTATCTTTCGGCCTACTTTACTAAATACTAGTTTAATACAGAACAGAAAAACAAATGAGCTAGTTTTCTTTCTGTTCTTCTCTTTCTCAGTCTTTTTGTTCCTTCTCTTCTTGTTGTAATTGAGCTGTGTAGATGTGTATATCTATGACTGGGCATGTGTGCGTTCCTTTTTTTTCTATTTCTGTCGTTTTTTTGCTTCTTATGTGACTCGGTCGCAGACTATCGTCATCACTCATTCATTCATTTCTATCGAATGTTTCTCATAGTCCTATAGTGAGAGATCTCTTGAGAAAATGAGCATGAATTAATCACTATTTTATTAGAAAGCCGGAGTACACGCGGAAGAGGGAGAAGAATACAATGAATGTTGTTAGCGATTTCATATCAGACGTCTTGCGATGATTTAATGAGACTGGTGAGAATAAATATTAGATATTCGTGACAAGGGATTATTGTCTGTTCGATCTCGAAATGGAAAAGATTGTTCATGAGAGTTATTTGTTGCATTGACAAAACGCAATGGATATTGGGGCGGTTGTTGTTGTTGTGTATACATTTCATCGGACGATGATGATAAATTTATGCGTTGCATGTCCTTACTACTGCTGTTATTGTTATTATTTTGTGATAATCTAAATTGAATACGCAGTATTGTTAGAATAGAAATAACATTTATGGATTTACTGTTGGATTTGTTGATCGACAGATGATAATTCATCTTGTACTTGCATAATTTTAAGTAGAAGGAGACTTTGTTGTTCGTTAAGTTCAAGTTTGGCTTGAACGTCTTTTTGATGCTCACTTAGCATGTAGACTAAATCGTGTTCTAGCTGTCGGATGCGACATTCAATAAACGGTGAGTGCTGATTTGCACGATTGGATTTCAAAGCACGAAGTTGTCGACTTTTCTGCTGGATTTTATCAAGTCTAACGAGAGAAGAAACGTGAGAACGGTAAATATAAGCATCATTTACTTCATATTAGCAAGATGAAGTTCAGTGCGTGTCGGCTCCAACGTAGCTAATCGCTCGAGGGAGTTCAAAGCTTGCTTTAACGAGTCCAGATGAACGACAAGCTGTTCACGATGTTGACTCATTGTCAGAAGAAATTGTCGTTGACAATGATCTTTCGACGCATCTACTAAAGCATTCATAAACAAAAGGCTTTGAGAAATTCTTTGAATAATGGATGAATGACAAAAGCAAATAGAAGCTTCAAGCAGCGCTTATTTCACCTGAAATTGGGGTGAAATGATTAAAAGAATTGCGAGGAGAGAATAGTATTGGGGATGAGATCATATTAGGAGCGATCGAGCGTGGATTTTGTTGCTGCTGCTGCTGCTGTTGTTGTTGTTGAGATGATGATGTAAGCTTTAAGAAGATTATTGTTATGTCAGGAGATGAGAGGAAAAATTTTCTTAGTTTTTACTTCCTGTACAAACGGAGGTGGTGGAGTAGTTCTGCTGTGATTTACTGATTCTGAACTTGCTTGTTTGGTAGATGGAGGTACGTATGGTGGAGGAGGAGATCGTACTAGAGAATCGTGACGTTTTCTTCTCATTTCTTCCAACTCTTCTCGTAAACGTTCGACACGTTCTTCAGCCATCTTCAAATCTACTCGAAGTTCAGCTAAATTCAACGACGCTAATGACGGTATGACTAATCAACAAGAAAAGAAATTGATTCAGTTTAACTCGTTTTTGGGTATTTCGTACTTGCGACACTGGTGACTGGACATGATTCGACAACTGGTGTCGGGTGTTTGATCGGAACGGGATTTATTGAATTGACATTTGTGACTTGTAAATACTGTCGAATCATTTCTACTTGTTGCTTCTGTCGATTGAGCTCTTCAAGGCTTTGAGCAGACGTAGTAGTGTACATTGCTGAATCTTATTTACATGTATTAAGAAAAGAGTAACAAACACACGAGACAAAATCGAATAAATAAGCATAACGGATGATTCATCAGATAGAGAAAAACGTTTTTCGGCAAAAAATAAAAAATATGATTGATAGATTCACTGATCGATTATAATCAGTTTCGGTTTCTCATCCCATCTATCCTGTACATCTACACCATGCAAAAGATAATCGAATAACGAATGTTATATTGATCGAAGAGTATCGATAAAATCTTCTTTTTATTTGACACCGTTTTCCGCGCCTATGAACGATGGTCGTGGTAGTGAACACAATAGAACATTTTAGTTGTTCGTCATCAGCCGGATTTCGTAATCTGCCGAGCACTTTTTAATGCAACGATTCTGATTTCGTAGCTTGTCAGTAGTCATGATACTTCCTATCTCTGAGCAGAAGAATTGACAACTGATCATTTATCTTCCTCTGAACGTTTAATAACATGCGTACATAGTCATGTAAGCTGAAAGTTCAATATACAATTATCGTGCCTAGTCAAGTTCAAAACTTCAGCAAGAATCTTAGCAATAATTAAACTAACAAAGGTTTATAAGCGACTGTAAAGTTAATTCGATCCCTTTACACTTTTCCGTCATACATATACGTTGAAAATCGATATACTATCATATACTGAGATCTTTATCGAAACTTGGCGATGTCGCTGAATGCAGCGATAGAACTAAATTGAATAGATCACTGAAAAGTGATTGGATAATTATTCAATGATCGAATGATGTCGCTTTCGTTATTTGTTATTTATTTATATTTACTATATGATTCATAAGAACCATAGTTATTTTATTTTCTAGCCAGCGGATGGCTTCGTTTATTCTATTCCTCCTTTGACACACGACGATAAAGTAGAATAAAACGGAAGAACGAAGAAAGATAGCATCATATTTTTCTGTGTACTAACCCTTTGTTTTCTCGCTTCAATTTAACATGTCTATGCACTATGCATTGAACAAAGCAAGTGTTGGAGAAAAGCAAGAGAGAAGAAAAGTGTTCGGAGGTCTACACATTGATGATTCAAAATAAAACAAATGTTCTTTCCTTTGCGTTTGAGTGCAAAAGATAGTTTGAAATAGGTACAAACCAATAATCGTTGATTTTATTTGTTTTTATTGAGAACTGTTGACATGAATGCGCCTCGTTGTACTCGGTGAACTTTGATCATTTTAGATTTCTCCTCACTTAATTGAACGTTATCGTAATGTCGATTCATTCGGCCGATGATTATGAACCAAACTTATCGGTTCCTGTCTTTGGTAGTGGAGTGTCACAAACGAAACTTCAACAGCAACAACAGCCGAATAATGACTTGGGAGGAGCTGAGAAATTAGACACACCAGAACCGACGAAAAATGGGCAAAATGACACAGCCAACGATATTAAAGCTAATGAAAGTCTTGGTAATGGAACGAAGGAACCTGAAAAAGTCGATAATCGTGCAAGTAGTTCAGCCGATGTACATGTAAACGGTCAAAATGGTAAAACCGATGCTGAAACAGTTGCATCTGTTAGCTCAACGACCAATACTAATGGCAATCAAGCAGCAGCAGCAGAAGAAGGATCGACTTCAACATCAACCGCGCAAAATCCAGTTGAAAACTCAAGTCAAAATGATTCTGTACCGACATTATCCAGTCAACCAACTGTTAGTGCTGAACCAACAGGATCCGAACCGGCGATCTCAACGTCAGTAGATGTTACAAAAGATCAATCAGTATCTGCATCAGTTACCGATACTGAAAATGCTCCTGTTTCTTCGACTGAACCGACATCAACTTCATCTTCTTCGAATAATGTTCCTGCGTCAACCACAGTTCCTGAAGCTACTGTTGCAGCTGAATCAACCAAAACACCGGAGCCTAAAAGCAAAGTAAATGGATATGATTTTAAAAATGTATTTACTCATCTTTTATCGTTTCCTCACATTAGTCTCCTCGTGGAAAAACCAAATCTCCAGCAGTATCAACCCCGCCAACACGCCAATCGTCACGTGGTCGAAAATCTGCTACTACATCCTCATCACAAAATGATGAAGAACAAACAGCAATTGACGACGCTAAACCTTCAACTACGAGTCAACCTGAACCTCCATCAACTCCAAAACGTGCTAAACGTCAAGCTCCAACGTTAGCTACCGAGATCACTCCAGCAGGTCCATTCATTTTTCTGTTCATAATTAATTAAAAACATTTATACTCTTATTTGTTTTTTTTTCGTGTTTACAGATAGTAGCACAGCAGAGGAAGTCAAAGAGACGGCGGATACAGCAGTAGTTCCCTCTACAGCCGACGAGGAAGATGATGGTGACGATGATGCAGACAGCAAGAAGCGAAAGAGAACTCCATCTCCACGCAAAAGTGCACAAGCATCAACAGGTGCGGGAAAAAAACGTGGTGCATCATCATCTCCACCAGTTAGCGCTTCAAAGAAAGCGAAAGCATCGCCGAAGGGCAAAGCTTCTAGCTCAACGAATGATGAGCAACAAATGGATGTAGATAAGACAGAAGCAACAGCTACTACAACAACTGCTGCCGTATCTGAAAGTGAACCAGTTCAAACTCCACCGAAAAAAGCACGAACAAGTGCTACGCAAAAAACACCGAAATCTTCTGCGACCACGCCCGAATCAAATGAAGAATATGTACGAAAATTACGACCACGTAAATGAGATGTAATCTATTTCGCATTCACTCATTTCGTCTCCTATTCATTGTATATGTTGATTACTTTTTCATTTCTTTACTCTGACTGTGTGTTACTTCATTCTTGTCAAAGTCAATTCTCTGACTTTTTCGTTTTTCTCATTCGGTCAGCGAGATTTCTTCTTCTTCTTTTTTTCGAACATATCCATATCATTTCAATTCCTTCTATTAGTAGTAAACAATTTCCTTGCGTGTATTTAATTCCTCATCTTTATCATCTAGCTAGACTTATGAATATCATCAATGTGTTTCTCGTCTTCGTTCTGTGACTATGCTAGATTATCTTCTCTTTTCTTTCTTATCGTTTTGTCAATGTATTGTGTACAACAAGAGACAAACACGCTAAACGGTTTCACAGGAATCTGAAGGAGAATATTCCAAAGGAAGTGTGTTTCAAAAACAATGATCTCCTTTTTCTTCGACTTTTTTCTGTATTATAATTCAAACAAATCGATGTCTGCTCACTTCTTTTTTTTTCTTTTTCTTTGTACCTTCTATTGTCATATTTGAAAAACATGATGATTCACAAGCAATGAAGATGTTCTTCTTTTTCGTCTTTTCTTTCTTTAAAAAAAAAAAAGAAACGTAAACTGCCACGTTACACGTATTCTTTAGATTGCTGATGATTCATTGCCACGACGACAAGCAATTTGTCATTCTTGATCAAATCAAGTTTTTAAACCATATTTATACACATACAAAAGATTGGAAACAGAGTGTCGATGCTGATAGTAGAATAAATTTGACGTGGAGGAAAGATTTGTTTTATGTGGAACAACCATTTCGGAGGCCAACTAGCGGACAAATGGCGAGAAAGAAGAAAAAGAATGCGGTAGGAGGAGTTCGTAGTTAATATGTTGACTATAATCTAATGGATACCCATTTGCTGCTTCTCACGCCAAGTTCTTGAGCATTTTCTCTTCAGATGTTTTTTTACGTCGATGTTCTAATGAGACTGTCTGTTGCAAGAGAGGAGGAAAGATAAGAAACACGTTTCGTATTCTCTGCTTTCATTTCTTCCATTGGCCTAGCGTGATTGGAATAAAATAGTTACATTTAACCTTCTAATCAACCGCGTCTTTGCCTTTGGCAAATAAATATTTTTCTTTTAGAAGCGAACTCACGATGACGTGTTTGACAATACTGACAACGATTTGATTTCAAAAGTAAAATCTAATTTACCAACCGCTCTTCACATTCTCATTATGAATAGTTAAACCAAGCAGTGAATTTTTGTAAAGATAACTTATCATTCATCAACGATACTTCGATAGCTCAAACCGCACACACGTTTGACGATGTTCCTTTCGCTGATATCGCTACTCAACAAAGTGATCGAAGAGCACCAATCCAGCGTATTCTCTTAACTGGTAAAATTGTTTTTTTTGTGCCACGATTCTCTCGTTACTTCGATGTGAATTCTATAGATTATTTCCTCCGTGCATCAAAATTAGGCATACAACCTAATGTTGTTTATACGCATGATAAAACTCACGCAAGTATAATTGATACTGCTGTCGCCGGGCGCCTTCTATTACCAGAAAACTGCCGTTTTCTGTGGTCTGATATAAAGAATATAACGTTACTTGTAAACGGTGAGAAAAGAAAAGCTTTTGAAAATTTTCAACGACCGGTTTCTTTTGAAGAAGAAAGAAAGTATTCATTCATTGTCATTGATCCTCCTTGGCTGAATAAGAGTGTGCGACGTAATCGTCCGTATTCCTGGTCAGAATTTGATGATATCAAAAATTTACCAGTCGAACATTTAATTGACCGATCGCGTCCGTCATTGATTTGCTGTTGGTCAACAAATTGTGATCGAGTAGAAGAGTTTGTCAAAGATGAATTATTTCGTAAATGGAATTGTCAATATTTAACTACATGGTATTGGTTGAAAGTATGACAAAAGATTTGTTTTCACAAAGATATCGTTTGATCATTCATTGTCCATCACTTTGAACAACTTGGTTTTAGGTGACTCTTTCGGGTGAATCAGTTCTTGATTTGACATCCGCAGATAAAAAATCGTATGAAACATTGATCCTTGGCTACAGTGGAGACGAGAGTCGATTCGAAACGTTGAAGAATACCACGAAAATTATCTGCAGTGTATCTGACTTCCTCTTTTTGATCTCGATTTTCCATTCCGTCATTTATTTAGGTACCTGCTTTGATTCATTCAGTAAAACCAGCGTTACATTTATTATTCCGAAAGCTGATTGATCTTCCCAAGGATGATCATGATCAGTGTCTGGAGATCTATGCTCGAAATCTTTTACCAAACTTCACATCTGTAGGAAATGAAGTAACGTTCTTCATTGACGATCATTTCTTTTTGTTTATCGTGTTTTTCTCGTAGGTCTTAAAACATCAATCGATTGATCTATTTGAAGAGAATATTGTTTGATGAGAAGATTCTTTGTCTTTCAGATATTTGATTGTCAGCATAACTAATGGCTACCACTACTTCTGCATCGACGCCGAAGAAAGTTTCATCAGAAACGCAAACGATCGACTCGTTGGACGCTTTGTTGAAAACAAATAATATATTTTTATTCATACCGAATATCATTGGTGAGACACGAAGATTTGACAAAGATTTTAATAAAACATTCGTGGATCTTTTAGGTTATATACGAGTTTTTCTTTCGATTGCTTCGTTCTATTTTATGCCGACGCATCCGAAAATAACAATATTTTGTTATTTAACTAGCGAATTTCTCGATGCACTTGATGGACATGCCGCTCGAGCACTTGGTCAAAGTAAGTTTTATCATTGAGCTGAATAAATGACATTGAAAATGGTTTATCAGGTACAAAATTCGGAGCTATGTTCGATATGCTGATTGATCGATGTTCAACAATGTGTTTATGTTTTGTTTTGGCAATGTTCTACCCGAAATGGGCATTATTCTTTCAGCTTTGGGCTGCGATTGATGTTGCTAGTCATTGGCTTCATTTACATGCGTAACTACGTCGATAATTTTCGAAATCATTTTTTTGATGGCATTTAATTCTAGTGCAACTGTCAAAGGTTCGGAGAGTCATAAAAAAATTGATTTATCTGGTAATCCGATTCTTCGTCTTTATTATACCTCACGAGTGAGATTGTCATCTCGAAGAAACAAAGATTTTCAATGAAAAGTTCTACATTTCAGAAAGTTCTTTTTACCATGTGCGCTGGAAATGAACTCTGGTTTTCAATGGTCTACATGCTTCATTTCGGCGAAGGTCCTGCGAGTAAGAACGAAACTTTCTTCATCTACTTTCTCAACATTGTCATTAACAATTTGTATCATTTCAGTACTCACAATCGGCAAATATGCCCTTGGTCTTTGGCGTGTGATTCTGTACGCTGTGACACCGATTATGGTTGGAAAACAAATTATCAGTTTGATTCATTTGTATACCGCCTCGCTTGACATGGCTGCACTTGACGAAGCTGAACGCGCTAAAACTGCCAAAGCCAAATAATCCACCTCATCGGGTTTTACTTTCAGTTTCATTTTTCACTGTATTCTGTTCATTTCCTTCGATAATCATCATTCTTATTACAACATTGTCAGCTAGTCATTCATTCGGTTTATTTTACCTGAAGAAAAATCAACAAAAGAAAACACTTAGCACCAGTTATCTGTCAGCATCGATGGATAACACTACCTTTTTTTAATTATTGTATTTGTCTGCGTGTTTATTTTATCTCTTGTCTCATTAAAGTCTTATATATTTAAATATCTATATATTGTTCTCTATGTCTACTAGATGAGACTCTTATTTGGTTGTCGAAATTTTTGCGAAAGAAATTTACGATATGTATCAAATAAAACCGTATCATACAAAGATACACTCAATATGCCCAAGAGTAAATTTGCGAGTACAATGAAAAATCGAGTGAAATTAGAAAATGATATTAAACAGGTCGGTTGTTTTGCTGTGTACGCATGAAAGAACAGAAAACTGAGAAGAAGAAAACAATATGTTTGGTTTTTAGAAATTTCCGGTTAATCAATTATGGGATTGGCAATCGAAACAAACACACCGACCAGTCTTTGTTCTGCACGATGGTCCACCGTACGCGAATGGCCCTCTTCATCTAGGACACTTCTTAAACAAAGTTAGAAATGTTTGTATATTTATTGAACTGTGAAATTTCACCTTTCGTAGATTCAAAAAGATATCATTGTTCGATATAAACTATTAGCAGGGCATCGGATCGATTTTCGGCTTGGTTGGGATTGTCATGGTTTACCAATTGAATTAAAGGCTCTACAAAAGAATAAAACGAAATCGACGAGTGAAGATCCTTTAACTATCCGGCGACTCGGTAAACGAAGCTATTGAATTCTTGCCATTGAAAACGAAATGTTGAATATTTTCTACAGCGCGTCAGTTTGCTTCCGAGACATTAGAAAAACAGAAAGCCGAGCTCCAATCCTGGGGCATACTTGCTGATTGGAGCAATTGTTATAAAACATTTGATAAGGGATATATTATCGATCAAATTAAACTGTTTTGGATACTTTATCAAAAGGTATGTGATTTTCTTAGAGATTTGTTCGTTGAGAGTTGTTTTTTTCGAAGGGTTTGCTCTACCGACAATACAAACCAGTCAATTGGTCACCAACAGTGCAATCTGCATTAGCGGAATCGGAATTAGAGTATAACAACAAACATCAAAGGTAACTTTCAATAGGAGAAAATCTTGGAAAATATTATGAATTCTGTAGCACGGCTATCTATGTCCGATTTCGTTTGAAAAATGATGATTCATTGTCCCGACTATTACCTCGTAAGAAACTCTGTAACAAATCTATCTTACGATTAGTTTTTAGAAACCAGCCTAGAGAATGTCTATGCTTTAATATGGACAACAACACCCTGGTCATTGGTTGGCAATCAAGCTGTAGCTGTCAATGAGAATTTCAAATATCTGTTTGTAACGTTCCCTTCAACGAATGACACATACATCATTGCCGAACCATTGTTAAGCAATATCAAACAGTATCCACCGTTTTCAAATGAACAGTTCGAAATCATCGGAGATTGCCTCGGTAAGAAACATTTTATATTCTTTTTAACACAAAATCTTGTTCCTTGAAGGTTCTCAATTAACGAAAGTGAAATATTATCATCCAATTTATCAAGATCAAGTGACAACGTATCCGATTGTGATCAGTGATCATGTAACGAGTGAATTAGGTACCGGTCTTGTTCATATTGCACCCGCACATGGTGCCGATGATTTTCTTCTCTCAATAAAACATAATCTTCAATGTGTCAACGCTGTGAATCTAACTGGTCATCTACATTGTCCGACTATTGAATCTCTTCACAATCGCAATGCACTAGATCCAAACGACGGAATTCAGTCGATTTTAAAACATTTGAATTCAAATGTTTTACATCATTATCAATTGACGCATTCGTATCCTTACGATTGGCGAGAAAAGAAACCAGTTCTGATCTTAGGCAGTCAACAGTGGTTTATCGACACTACACGTTTACGTGATAGGGCATGCAACGTCATATCTGATGAAGTGAAAATTTATCCTGAAGGCGGTGGGAAAAGTTTCCTTTCAATGACAGCGAGACGTCCTTATTGGTGTATATCACGGCAACGCTGTTGGGGTGTACCCATTCCTGTGTTTTATTCAAAAGACGAAAAGAATGAACTTGTTGTCAACGAAGATATCATTGAACATTTGATTAAATGTGTTCAAGAGAAAGGTTCGATTGATTTCTGGTGGTCAGCGGACGATATCAAAGATTTACTACCGAAATCAATGCATGATCAAGCAGAAAATCTCGTTCGTGCAAATGATATTTTCGACGTTTGGTTTGATAGTGGTTCATCGTTCTATTCACTACTCAAAGGTAATCACCTTAGTTCGAGAAACATCTTTAATCATTTGTCAGCTTTTCGAAGATTTCAATTATCAAGCGGATTTGTACTGTGAAGGCCATGATCAATTCAATGGTTGGTTTTTATCGTCACTATTGCTATCGACAGGTTTTCAATCACGCGCACCGTTTTCTAACATATTTGTTCATGGTTTCGTCGTGGATAAAAACAATCAAAAAATGTCGAAATCGATCGGTAATGTTATTGAACCTTCGCACATGATCTATGGTGGTGGGAAAGAAAGATTTTTGGAGAATGGTTTTGATGTTTGTCGAGAATGGGTGACAAGAGAAAGTTATAAACAACAATGTAAAGCGAGTGCCGAAGATCTAGGCAAAGCTTACAAACGAGTATATGAAGTAAGTAGGAGATCAGAGATTTTCATTTCGCCTTGAAGTAATATTCGTATTTAGATACGAAATGTGCTGAAATTTTTGTTGGGAAACTTATACGATTATCAAGTAGACAAACATTCGGTAGCTGTGGAGAATTTAACAGCAGTTGATCAATATATGGCGTATCGGTTGCACCAGGTTTTGACAACTGTAAGCTGAACACTGATTTACTGAAAGTGACAATCGACATATTCTAGTTTCATAACGATTTTGATCGATATCGAATGTATCATGGATTGATTACAGCTGAAACATTCATTCAAACTGATGTATCAAGTTTTTATTGTTCAGTAACGAAAGATCGGTAGGACAATAGAAATCGAACAGATCATCCAATTGCGAAGTTGATTTGTTAGGCTTTATTGCAACCCACCAGATTCTCATCTTCGTCGATCAACACAAACAGTATTTCATCTATTACTTAAATGTCTAAATGAACGTTTAGCACCAGTGATGCCCTATCTGGCTCAAGAGTTACATAACGAATTGAGCGTACTAAACCATAAAGAGAAGAAAATCAATGATATTTTCGAGAACGAGTTCACCTTCTTGGAAAGAGCATTCACGGATATTTCATCAGAATTAGCATCGACAATGGTAATTGTATTTCATTTACGCGACACGTTCCATAAAATGTTGCAAAATCGACGAGCAATTCTATGTGATATTGTTCTCTATTTGAGTGATAAAGCAAAAGTTCAGGTATGAACTCGATTAAAATTCAGTTCGAATTTGTTTCAGTTCATTTGATTAGTTAAAACAAGTGATAGACGTTCTTGGCAGACATCCATCCGTAAGTTCGACGAACGTCGCATACTTTTCAGCATTTTCTGTGCTTCAGACGGTTGAAATGAAAATTTGGCAACCCTTAGAAGAACTTCTTCAATGTTCTCGTGTCCAACAACGATCTTTATCTGATTTGGAGACTGATTTAACAGAAGAGAACATTTCTAGTGTTGACTTACCACTCATAGGTAATCTAAAACTTGTTTCTGCTACGAACGCCAACTATTGTTTGTTTCTAGATGATAAATTTAATTATGTAATGAAAATTGAACATTCTTCATTACATTCTTGTCCTCGTTGTCGTTTACAAATATCCGAAATGGAAGATAAATTATGCTCTCGATGTTCTTTCCATTTACAAAATTCCTAGGTTGATTTTGTTTGGTTTCTTTTCTTTCAGATGAACATTTGATTGCAAAATGGCATTAGCATTTTCGAATTCAAACAAATTCCTGCTCAACAATCAGCAGATATTGAGATCAGGTCGGTTACAGATATAATTTCTTCGATCTATTGAAACTGTGTTTCTAGTCTTGATATCGGTGGTACGTTACAAGCAGCGTGGACATATCCCTGATCAACTTGTCGAACATCATAGACAGTCGCCCTTAGGAAAGGCAAAAGCAGGTGCTGCAGTTGGTGTTTCTCCACCGAAAGACGACAAAACACCGAATCTACGCACTACACCACATGATTTCAAGTATGAAAGAAATATTCTTCCATGAAAAACAGATCAAACAGCGAACATTTTTGTATCAGATATGTCTATCCAGATTTTCTACCTAATCCAATTCCGTATTTACGCGATCGTATCTTGGAAAAACTTGAACGAAAAGATATGTTTCGTCGGCGACAACAAATTGAAATACCAGAATTTTATGTCGGTATGGATTTGTGACGAAAACACAACGTTCTCTAAATGAAATGAATATTTTAATAGGAAGTGTCCTTGGTGTAACATCTGCTGATCCGTATGCACCAAATCGACGCAATAGATTTGTTGGTATCTGTATTCAACGTGAAAGACATGGACTAAAACATCAATTTACATTGAGAAATATCGTTGATGGAGTTGGTAAGACGTTCATGCTTTCATGACTGAAAATTCGATATTGATTTCATTTAGGGGTGGAAATTATCTATGAACTATACAATCCAACAATAACAAAAATCGAAGTTTTGAAACTCGAACGACGTTTAGATGAAAATCTCGCTTATCTACGCGATGCACCACCAGAGTACTGTACATTTCCATTTGATATGGAACCAGTTAAATTGCCACCTGGTTCAGGTGTACCTTTAAACACAATTCAAGTAGGAATGTCTCCCGTTTTATCACTGACTTCATTCAATGGTTAATTGATCGCTTAGGTACCTATTACAAGTACTCATTGGCAATACAAATGGGAACGTCATGATTTGAAAGGTGTTCTTCTTCCAAAACTACCGCGTAGTGTAGGCAAAGCTAGCGAACGTTACAGTCAACCATGGCGTCAATGGGATATCATGCGACAATATCGAACGGAGATTCACGATGATGATCGTGCTGAAATTTTCGAAGATATTGAGAAACACAAACAAGATCTAGCACAATATCGTATTGATAGTAAAGAAAATGTGAAGATCACGCGTACGCGACAAAAAGCAGCGGGACGGAAAGCGATTTTAGATGATGCTCCGAAGGCCAATCGACCAAGTTCATCTACTTCACAATAACATATGTCTGTTTTGTTTTGTTCCGCTGAATGACTTGAAAAAAAAATAAAAATAACAGCTGCAGTCGATGTCTAGTGTTGCATTGCGGAATGAATCGAGAAAAAAAAAGATCGCATTACATGACATTTCCATATTCTCTTGCGCAGATACAAGCAGACAAATGAAATTAGTTGACATATCGAATGTAATAACTTTATTTATCGATCAGAGATCGTATGGCATGAACTATTCATTGTCTAGTGCAAACAAACAGATAGAACTTATGTCATTATAAACGAAATACAGTTCGGATCAGTTTAATCTTTTATCATTGACTGTTTCGCTTGAGAAATTCCCTTGTTTCATTATTATTCACACTGTGTTTTTTTGTCCTTCAAGGTCATCAATTACATATGTCACCAGTCAAGCCGACTTCTTTCTCATCATGGGCAAATATTCTTAACAGAATTAGAAGTAATTTCAGCTTTTCTCCTACCATTTAAGTGACAATCAATTCTATTAGCCGAAAATGATATTTATCAGAAAACAACGCCATGTTGATTTCCTATTCAACAATCGAAATCGTTTCTTTCATTCAGAGATGACACATAAAGTGATAGTTCACGAAAGTACGCAACGTCAATTGCGCATGATTGTTTTGATCATTAACCTTTCGATAAATAATTAATGGCGAACCTAAAATGATTCAGTAGACACTCATTAATTATAGATCATAATCTGCTAACTCATCAAGAAAGAAAAATTTATCAAGCTTGCATCAATTCCAATGCGTTCGACATACTTGAAAACAACACGACGACGTTTGAACACTCTCGAACTTTGCATCGATCGCCGTTCTATTAATAAAAGTTGAGTACATCTTGAAAAGTGTCACATGAATCTTTTTTCTTCTCCGTTCATGTTAACATTCTACATACGTTTACACGAAATACGTTCTATTCACTGAGATAACCATTTCTTTTCTATCTCTTTTTGATTGACATTAACCCATTGGTCTGAAGAGAAGAAAAAACCCCGATGTGCATATTCTATCATGTTTTGACATTTCTTTTTTCTTTTCTACACGCCCGTCGAATAATTTTTTCCGATTATTTCGTTTTAGTTTCTAGTTATTCATCAAATCAAGCTCGTGTATTTATTAATAATAATGATAGTTATGAATCAATAGTATCTATCGAAAAACAACCCTCCATTTGCATAATATTCGAAAGAAAGAGAAGTAAATGAAAATGGAGATTGGTTTTTCCTCCTTACTCGTCCGACTTTTCATCTACAGGTACTCAACGTGTCGTAAATATATAACGATAAATGTCTAATCGCCGACATAAGGTAATTTTCGATCGCCCAGGAGAGTAGAACGCCGTTTAGTCTGTGTACAAATATATCATAGATAAAAGTCATGTCATTGTCAGACTCAAATGCAAAAACATCGTTGCCGCCGGCGAAACGGTTTCAAATCGCAGTGTTTATACATCAAATCGCTAAATTCTTCGGTTCGTCACATAATCCTCAAGAAAAGCCCGATAAAGCTGAAAACTGTACGTAGTTCTTATCTACTTCATCGTTGAATCTCGTTATTGCTATTGTTGTTTTCGAAAATATTTAGGTACCGTGCTGCCTTCGATTTCTGTAACAAATCCCGACGGACAAACTATCGTCGTAGAGTAAAATGCTTTTTGTTGTGTCTGTTCAGAACATTTTCAATGAATAAAATTCTGTGTATATCTATATATTTATATATATTTACGAGGTGATGACGAAAACAAGTTGATATACAATATAAAAAGACTGACTACTACTGTTCGTAAAGATGCTTTCAAGAAGGATTTGTTCCCATTGATCTGGGAGATGAGACGACGTGATTTACTACCACCAGGATCTAGAAGACAACTAGTAATCAGGAAAGGGATGATTGAGAAGAGAAAATAACATACATTGATTGACAATGACATGAGCTGTTGCAGATAAAAGTGAACCATATCGACACGTGTAAGTCCCCGTATCGATTTTTCGTGCTTTTCGTATGATTAATGTTTCGTACAACGTTCCATCGATAGAAGAGTAATTCGAAAGACTTTCAGCTATATTGACCAATGGATACTCGTTCCGTGTCCACTGCACACGTATATTTTTTTCGTTAAATGCATCCGTCGAACGTATACGACAGACAAGACGAATAGGATCATTGATATTAACATGCGTGTGATTGGGAATGATACCAATACATGTATCAGCTAGTAAAAAAAAAAGAAAAACTGCACTTTGCTGTTTATCCGATGATATTTCATACTCATAATAGTTAAGTTATAACTTGATCGGACTGTGTTTCCCGTCTTACAGATATAATAACCTTGATCGTCTTTTCTTGCGCCGACTATTTCAAGATGACGATCTTGATTTTGTGTACGTAACATGAAACGTTGATCATCAATTAATTGACGATCACCAAGAATCAATGCTTGAGGATAAGCATTTTCATATAAACGAAACCACATTGCTGGTACCTTGAAAAACGAGAGAGAAGTCAAAATGACACATTCGTACTCATCAAACTCGATAATCCGCTTACTAAGGATGCTGATCGAAAAAGATCGTTGTCTGAGTCTGTCGGACAGGAAAGTGATACGGTGTCGCCACAACCCACAACGATTACATGAGCATCTGGATAGTCAGTGTGGAAATTATTTAAATAATACATTGAGCATGAGATGTTATTCGTCAAAATACAAATCCACAGAACTAAATTCATATGTAAATATATACAAAAGATCAAATAGTATAGAATTTCAATACCTTTCAGCAGTAGCATTTTCGTTGATTCATGTTTTCGTTAAACAATAACACACCTCTTTTTCTAACGAGGTTTGATATGCTGCGTCATCTATGTATATCTGAAACGATTACTCAAGTAATAAAATCCTTGATTTCTTCTTTGGTTTTATTTTCTTTCGCTTCTACTTTCTTACCTGTCGTGCATAACGCGTCGATTTGCGCACTTCGCACTCAATCACAATCACAAAAGATTTATATAAAATGGATACACTTACCGATGAGCAGCGAAAGAAGTTTGATGAAAGCTATGGGCAACGTCGACATGAATTACCTGTCTGTCCAAGATGTGGAAATAAGAATGATGTGGTTCCGGCAGTACGTGGTCGACCAACGCGAGAACTAGCATTATATGCAGATGAAGGTCATGTAAAACTCAGTGGGTGTACGGAAGGCTACCAAGGATGGTGTAAGAAGTGCCAACACTTCATTTAGAACATCTTTATCAGCGAAGAAGAACAAGATTTCTTGTTTTTAACTTTCCTTCGTGGAAAAACGACTGACATATCTTTTATATGTTATACAATTTAATTTATATAAATGATTCTCATTTACCTATTATTCTTTGTTCATTGATGAAAAGCGACGCATTATTCATCTCGAAATGACAGTAAGAGGAGACGAGAGTCGTTTTCTCAAATCGTGTAATGTAGAGAAGAGTGAAGGAACTTCCGGCAAGTAGTGCAACAGTTTCAACGACTTCTTACTCGACAAGAGTAACATCAAGTTTGCTTTTCTCTTCCTTGTCTCCCTCTCCCTCTCTATCTGTTCTATCATTCACTACTCCGCCTTACAATGATTCAAGGCGCCGGAAGTCTGTTTTTCTCTATCTCTCTTAGTTCGTCTTCGTCCTATCATGCGAATAGTGTCGGCATAATAGGGGAAAAAATCTATCGTCGATTTGATGTCTATCACTCTTCTCACTGTCTATGTACATATTGCATGCAAAAAACTCATTTACACTTATTGTTGTCGGCCACTGGCCACTTTTCTCTTCAACTACTTGAAACAATACATCGAGAAAAGTTAATTGCGGATGTGTATCTATGATTCATTTACGGTCGAATAAGAAAAGAACGGAGAAAACGATTGACATTCGTCAAGTTTTTCTTCAGCATCCATTACATATTTAAATAAAGCTATTGAGAATGCTTAGAACGAGAGACACCAAAAAAAAAAAAGAAATGATGAAGACAACTTGCCCTTTTGACGATTTTTCTGAAGTGATATTTAGCTATTTCAGAGAAATGGTAATCAATAAATGAATGTGATCAACATTCTATTTGTTATTAGCAATTGTTTGGTTTGCTAATATAAATGATGGTAGACACGTTTGTTATTCTTTATTCAAGTAGCTTCGTCTGCTTATGCTTGATTGTTTACCGTCGTCTTTGTCCATTTTTTCGTACGAAAATCATATTGTTGTATCCGTTGATTATTTGCTATGACATTCAATTTATTACTTGTATAAGTTAGACCGTGTTCTAATTGTAAATTGTCAATACTGTCCATAAATTCCCATCGCTCGAAGCGTTCATTGTAAGATTCCAATCGAGGAACCGAATGCGGCTTATGAGAATTATCGATATCATAACCACCTAAAGAGTATATTTATTCCGTACAATATCAACAAAAACGAATTCTACCAGCACTGTAGATCGCTGTTTGATTACCACCTAGAGAATCCGGTACCACTAAAAGCAATGGTCGAGCTCGACCTGGAACGATTTCCGTTCGACGTATCCAACCTTTATCTTTATCCGCTAAATCTAACACTATATACTGAAGAAAAACTATCGATAAACATCTTTGATCGAGATGTCTGAACCAACTTCGCCATGAACAATCGAACGATTCAAAATAATATCAAAACCGCCTAGTAAATGAATTCTATTGTTATAAAACGCAATACCAGCACCACTAGTTGGCGCAGGTAGATCTGGTAAACGTATCCAGACATTCTCTTCGGTATCAAATATATAAACAGAATTCAAAGCAACATTCGTGTACGTATGACCTAAATAACATCCATGTGTATCACCCCTTAACAACGTGAAATCATTTCTTATGAATGACTAACCTCCGGCACAAATGATATATCGTCCATCGGTACATACTGCAAAACTAACACGTCCATCGGGTAATGGCTTCATAGGAACTAACTTATCAAGTTGACTATCATAAAAATAATCGTATTTTGGTATTTGTCGTAGCGATATGTTGGGAAAATATTGATATCCACCGATGATATAAACATTTTTTGAAAAGTTAATAACCATAAAACGCTTTCGAATGCCTTCGTTAGCAAATAATTGAAGAGCTCGGTCGAAATTCTTCATTAAATTCTCTTGGGATATGATCAGATTAGGCGCTTGAAGTACAAGAGATGGATCACCCATTTGAACATCTTCAAGAAACAATTCTCGCACTTGTCCATAACCACGATAGTACAACGAAAGCATATAATCGATATAACATGGGTAATTATCTTCGGATTTACATGATGTTCCTGTTGAATATCTGTTGGTTAAGATTAAGCTGACAGCGAACGAAATCACAGACCTTCAGTATACCAAGTTGGTGGCGTGAGGAATTTTGCTTGAGATTCCGTTTGTAATCGACATTTTAAAAAAGAATATTTCTGAATGGGTGAAAATAAATTCGAACATGAATTCATAATCGCACAAGATGATTTTTCAATGCGCGTTATCTAATGATAAAAATATTCATGTGATTTCTCTTCAACTTGCTTGTAGAAGAATCACATGGAGACTTATGCGTGCCAAACAACCATTTCAAACTAGTGGACATTCGTGCGCATGAACGATGCGTGTTCAAAACGATTGATACATTGATCTCGAAGATAGAAGAGAACATGAGAGGCAGTAGGTCATCAATAAGTGTTGATAAACGTCAAAGTATCCTATCGGCGAGTGAATGTGTAATGAAATCAGTTCAACGACCTCTTGCAGTCTATTCAATGATCGATCTTTTTTTTGTCTTGCTTTTGCTTTGCAATCAACGTCATTAGTAGTACACACATCAAAGCCAATGACTCGATCAATGCAACTCCTCCTTCAACGACTCACTAGTAACAATAAAATCAAATCAAATAGAATATACATATATATGTGGAGAGGACGAGACGGAAGGGTCAAAATCATTGGTCTGTTCACAATTAACAACTAGATTGACCAGTGTTCATTGAATAACTTCAAGAAAAAAGGAAACAATGGTGACACGAAGATGCTATATCGTTAAAAGATGAAGGTTCGACTATCTTCTTTTTTTGTACATGTAACAACATTCAAACGATTATACGTACGCATAAATATTCGTGATAAGAATCTCGAATGATTGAATTGTAGAGTTCATGCACATACTTGGCCACAGAAGAGAGAAGAGAAAAAACGGTGTTACTCTATTCATGAACGAATATAAATATGTCATTCATAATCACAATTGACATAACATATGAAATGGGCGGACAGACAGCCAATTGATAGAATAGTAACCCGAAATTTGAAATACAAGAGAAAGAATGGAAAAAAAGAGGCGAACGAAAGTTCTAAATTTGTAGTTACATACATATATAATCAGGCTAGTTTTCTCTCACGCGTTTTTTTCTTCCGTTTCATCTGTTCGACCCGACCTTATGTCGATAATTAGGTCGTCAGAGGAGAATTGCATCACACATCATATCCCGTTCGCAGTCCATTAAACAGAGCTTTAGTAGTAGTAGTACCAGTAGTATTAGTAGTAGTAGTAGTAACAACAGCCGCTTTTCTCTCTAGTATTATTATTGCGCTTAGTTATTGAACAGTCAGTCAGTCAATTTTGACATCTTCATTGCTCGATGATGATCGATTCTCTTCTTCATATATGCTTGTTCTTTCTCATCTGCTATGTTCGCCTTCTATTCACCCTTCATGGTTATACTTGACTTATGTTTACATACTCCTTATTTTCTTAAGTTGTTGCTCCTCCTGCTGACAACAAATGAACCACTTGGTCAACACAACAAATCGGTCTGTTCATACATAATAACTACTTACCTTATGGAAGTCTGTTTTATATACAAATGTCACAAGACTGACGGGAATAAAGAGAGAAAGAGAAAACGTTCTGACATGGTCAGGACAAACTGCATAGTACAAAGATTGACCATCTGCTTCCAAACACACACGAACAGGTACTTTATATACATATATAAGTCAATTGGTCAAGCGAGCGGCATTTTTGTTCTTTCTCACATTTAGCTCCATGATTGCATGGATGTCAGTGATTGTTTGGCATCAAGACAGGGCAATGGGCAATTATTTTCTGACTAGGTCAATTAATCAACTACAACATCTTTCATACGTTCCACTTGTCTTCTGCATCTCTTTTGAAGTCAAGGTGTAATCCATTTCAGCTGTATTTTATAAGCAGTTTACCGGAACACAGATACAATGAGTAATCCGTCAAGAAGTGAACCATCTGCTGGATATCCTGTTGTTTCAAAAGAGAAATTGCGACTTACCTTTCCTTTTAATCGATTTCTTTTATTTGGAAGAGCTGGGTTTTGTGTTATTGAAACGTCATCTGAAGAATGATGATAATGACGATGATAATAATGATAATGACGTTTTGATGTTTCAATAGAACCTAGTGGGTGGCAGTACTAGCGAGTGAATGAACACCGCAATAGTTAGAAGATGACGCGATAGAGAGAACAAGGAAGAAAGAAATCTAGAACGAGAGAAAAGAGTATGGCTCAATCATGATCGGCTTGTCGCCAGAAAGAGAGAAAGAAAGAAGAAGAAGAAAAAAAAGGATAATCATCATCGTTGCTCGTCAGAATCCTGAAATTATTCAATCAGTGTTCTGTTCATGAATAGAAGCTTACAACAACAACGACAACAGCATTAGTAAAACATCGACCTTGTCGCTTGAACTACACACACACACACACTATACACAGTTCATTGATTTATAGACAGACATAGAAACTAACTGACAGAATGACATCCATTGAACTATACTATACATATATATATCAAACAGATAATCAATGTCTATTTTCAAGGTTGAAACTTGCTTTTATCTCTTTAGCACCTCTCTCTCTTCATACCGTAGTGTTCGCAATGGACAGTATAAAATGAGAAAATCTTCTTTTTTTTAAACGTTAGCTTCAAGTACAACTATGCAAGTATTAAAAGCTTCGTTGAACATTACATAGGTATGTGTTCAACGCATTTAAGTAATACGATTGCTCAAGGCACAACTACATCATACCGGAAAGGAAATGTTTTATGCTTATATTTATATACACACACATACGTACACATAATCATCTATCGAGGTTAAGAGTGTAACCGAAGATTATAAAACAATGTTTCCTTTTGATTTTGATTCCATTCTTTCTTTTATTGAGTTAGATAAGTATAGTTTATAGAAAAAAAAGTCCTCATTGTCACTATCCTGTTGGTGGATTATGACCCCGAAGAGAACGTCACTACTGATTGTTCAACTGTATGTTCTTTACTCGACTTTTTTTTCTCGTTAACATAAAAAGAAGAGGAAACTGACACGATCCGAAGCCATAGGATCGCTCAATTGCATAATTCTCGTAAGAAGTATTTTTTCCTCCAGTTAGGAGAGTAATTTGTCGCATTGCATGTCTGCCTCTGATAGATAGATAGGTAGGCAGATAGGTTTATGTTATCGCCTTTCTCTCGACTGAACATAACATACAGTTGTAATTATGACCTCGAACGATAATATATAAACACTAAGGAATCATGTGTGTGTGGATGAAATCGAAGAGAAAATTTAATCTACAAAATACATAGTTCTTTTCTGATTATTATTCCATTTAATCTATGTTTAATATTGATCCAACAACCTCCGTTGAGTATATATGTCGCGCATGTGCGTTTAGCTGACCCAATTGCATGTGAATATAATCGTATATGTATATATTTATATATGAATATGAGGAAAAGAAGGATGAGATGATCGATTGAGAGCATTTGCATGATGTAGGTTAGGAAAAGAACCTAATCGTTCGTAGTATCAGAAATGATCTTTAATTTCTTGATTAATGTTTTCTTAAACATTGAAAAAGAACTTTATTTTGATTTAAGAGTCATGACATCTGATGAGTTTCTCCTTCAATTGACAGAAATACGCCATCGTTGATAAATGATCATTATGACAAATATGATTTTCATTACGATCAAAATTATTTCTTATATCATCATCCATTCCACTCGCTGTATCGTGTGTATGGATAGATTGTTTGAACTCTGTTCGATAGATTTGTTCGCGGAACTCATCCCGTTCATCTGGTGTCGAAACATTTTCGTCTATTGTTGTCAGTTGTTCTTCCTCTTGTTGATTTACAATGAATTTCTCGCGATCACTTTCGTTTTTTGGTCGAAGTTCACTTTTGTTTACTTGTTGAGTCTTTTGACGTGACCAATCGATTAAGAAATCTAAATGATTTCGAAATTCAACTAAAACAACGAACGCTCATGAAACAAATGTAACAAATTAACTTTGATTGACACGCTGACCTTTCTCTCTGTCGTACTATCATGCGATCGGAAATAATCTATTTCCGATTAAACGAAGGTAAATGTCACAAAGGAATATGTCCATTTTCTCCTGCTCTCGTAATCTGATTAGAAATTTTCAGGAGAAAAGAATTTATTTACTGGCAATAAATTCAATGGCATCGTGTGGTCGATAAATCAACACGTATGTCAATGCATGATCGAGTGGTTCACTAACATTGATTTGTAGATAATTTGTATCGGTATTATTTAAAGAGAATGAAGATTTCGCTTGTTCAAGATACAGAGGAAAAGGTTCGGTGTCGTCGATGGATTTCGATGCATCACTTATAGGTTGTTCATCTTTATCATCCATGAGTTCTGTTTAACTGTTTTCAATTAGTACTGCGATGATTCATCGGTGCGATTTCATTAAATTATTGGCAAAACAAGCTACGAACGAGCGGAATTCGACAACGTGACATTTTTTTAAACAAGTTCATTTAATATTCACGCTCCGAATATGTTCAGATAGTATGAAGGACGTGTAACATCCGAAGGAATTGAACAGAGACTAGAGACATAATTGTATTTCTGATGAAACTCGCTTTCCTCGCTCGGCAATGACTAGACATCGAGTTTGATCTGTGCGCATCACTATTGTTATTGAAAACGTGATCGAACAATTTTTCGATCTGTTCTAATCCAGCTGAGATTGTTTTTACTTCTAAATATTTATTATTTCGAATTAAGATGAAGGAGAGAAAAAGAATTATGTCGACAGGAGACGAATACAGCTCTGTCGGTTACGCAAGACAACATGTAGTTGCCAAGGAAATGGACAATAGCATGGATTTACAGTTAGATCATGTCTAACTTGAGTACGTTCGTTAATCATCGAGATTTGTCGATTGTCACAATCGAAAATTAATGTGATTGAATCGTTCGCCTCCATTTCAATAGCTGGACCTGACGTTTTCGGTAGAGCTTTTCCTTTGACATAGTTGTAATTACTGCTGCACCATCCATACGCCGATTTGACTTCGTAGGAGTTTTTTTGCAAAGGAATTCGCGCTGAATTGATTCCTAAGAAAGCCCATTGCTTGGATAAATGTTCAATCCGAAGACGAATCTTATGACAGCCAAATGCATAATTATTTTTTCCACGTATTTCATTCGCCACCATGAAAAAGCTCAACGCTCGAACGACTTCTCCTTCTTCTTCAATTCTTATATCATTACTAAGAACCCGATCAAACAGTTCATTTCCTGTCCAGAGGAAGTCCACTGACATAGTAGCAACTAACGGCGTGCTTAAATGTTGAGCAAGAATAATCGTTGTCGGCGAGATTAAATTTGATTTTAAATCATTCAATCTTTTCCTCCAACGTTCGATATCCATTTCAACGAAATCATCCTTGCCTTTGCTGTCTTCTATTTGTCGAACCAAACTTTGAAATCTCGTGGATAGACTTTCTATATGAACGTCTTTCACGTGTGATAACGTTTCACGTAAATCATTGGCTTTCTTTTGGATCGTTAGGATCGATTCCATTTCCCATTGATTGATCTCTTGAAGACGTATCTCTACGAAAGGATTCGCAGCTTCGAGGTCAAGTGTCGTTTTAAAATTATTGTAATCACTAGAAAGATCGCTAAGTTCAGCATCCAACGACTGACGATGATCATTGAAATGTCTGATACAAAATGTTTGTAAACATCCTTCGCAGTGTGCAACACCAGCTTGTTTACATTCTTGTCCTTTAACACACTCCTTTCGCGCAGCAGCAGCAGCAGCAGCACTCGTCGTCATAGTAAACTGACCGAAAATGGTCTAATTTTCATTAAAGTTACCCTGTTATATGTATCGACGCAATACAATCCAAACAAATGTCACATTTTCCTCATCACTCACCATACAATCAACGTTGTCGGGCGCAGCGGATGATTATAAAGAAAACCCCAGACCCGATGAGTCATCACACATTTCAAGGTGAAAATATCACCTTTTACTGTTCGTAGATATAGAATTAGCATAAGATACTTTTCCAAGAACGTAGCAAGTATAGTTTATATCGAAGTCTGCTTGCAGGAGATTAGTCATTTTCCGTAATAAAATCAGAGCAGATGGATTGTTATAACAATGAAGAAATTTGATATAAAACATATAAATTCGATCTTTACTTTTTTAACTCGAAAAACTGATCGATGAAGAATCAATTTTTTTGCATGACGATCATCGAATATTGACTCATTCGTATCATATCACTAAAATAACAGAAAAATAAAAGGCATTTGCTGGCATTGAATCGCTTACAATCGGAAAAAATCATCGACATGAAGAATAAAACGATCTTTCTATACTTGTGCGCTGTTCTCGTTGTTATCCATGGCCAACTATCCATTGACGAACTATTTCTTTTCACTTCGAAATATACTCTATCTGGTAATTGTACAGGTTTTCAATACAATTTTTCTAATTTTCGAGTCCAGCCAAATGTCTACAACCAATTGACCTTCGATTGTCAATCGTCGGAACTGGTTCTTCGAAATCAAGACAATTCGTTCTCTTCGATTTGCCCAGCTGATGAAAAGTACGCTCAAGCCATACGTATTCACTTTAATCAACCGATTCCAACATGGATTCAAGTAAATCAACTGCAATTATACGGAATCGAACTTTGTTCACTCGACGAGCTTCTTCGAAACGTTTATCCTGAACATTCTCACTATCGATCACGATGGGCTTTGTTAATCAATCTTGATAATAATGATAAAAATCAACAGCATCTTGCTATTGCCACTGATGGTGGAATGACTTTTATGCTATTTCTTCTTTCACCAGATGAGAATTCCACAATCGCTTATAATCAAATCGATCTGATATTTCCGGGCGAACAAAGTTTTCGATTCAATCAATCGAGAATCAATGTATGGCGAGTCGATCCAGGTTATGGTCGTTCTCCAAGATCCATTGAATTCTCCGATTATCAATTATCCAAAACATCTTTTACTCTCTTTGCCAACGAAACTTTTGTCGTTTATGGTACGCAGGTCTCCTTACCACGTCGATTTCTTGTGTATGTTGATGATACATTAGCATCATGTAAATACGATTATATCCTCCAATGCCAATTTCCAATTTTGCCATTATATCTATCGGATACCCACCAGCCCGTGTTGAAAATTCTCTACAGTAGACTTCAGATTTTAAACACAACATTAACATTGGTGCCACGCACACGTTTGCATCAGGTTCCAACGAACCATAGCTTAACTGAAATCACGACATTCGAAGTAACACTCGATGAAAATCTTTGTCGGTAAGATAAGAACTAATTACTATCAATTTTTCAACATGTATTTACTTCGTAGGAATCAATCGTTGAAATCTTTATTCACTTTCATTGTTCATTTATGGAAAGAAGATGTGAATGGCAATGCGCGATATAGCAAACATGAGAAAGACGATCTAAGAGAAGTTGAATGCAATGCAACTGTACCTATTGGCCAAGAAATTCACAAATTGGTCAGTCCGTTATCAATTGACGATGTGATTTCAATGGATGTTGATCTTATTCATCAGTGGTACGATCATCGAAACTGTCGAGCAGAAAGAACCAGAATTTCGTTCATATAAAATTTCTTATCGAACAGTATGCCAGGATTATTCCACGAACATAAGAAAGATAAATTTGAAAAGGCAAGTTTAGAGTGCAATTAAATTCCTTGATTCACTTGACTTTTCCTTCACTCGTGAATAAGTCTGAACACAATTTTATCTCTTTAATAAATAAGTACAAGTTGAGAAAGTCGAATGTCTTTCCCATACACACATCCCTTTTTTTCCTCTTTTCCACACCGCCATAATCAAAGTTTCATTCAGCCATGAACACTATGCTCTTTCTTCTTTCGTTTCAAATCAGATTTCGAGTTAATTAATAGACGCAATCAATTCTTTCCACACAATGTTTTCATCCCAGCAGGACAAATGATCATATAACCTCAGGTCGTATTTTCCTCGCTGTTTAATCATCTCTCCGTTCGATCCGAGACAATGATCACGTGTGATAACCATCCTTTTGAACAAGAAACCCTAATTTTACTAATCAAAGTTGAATTTTTTTTGAATAATTTTATTGCCAACAGGAAGGATGTCACTGTTCAGGGGCAAAAAGCTAGAAAATAAAGAATCGCATTAGCAGAAAACTATACACACACACACACACACACAACAATAACACGAAGAAAAAAAAAGCAAAGAAAACGATATTCTTTTTTTAGTGGTCTAGAATTTGACATAAGGTCCAGCAGGCGATTGTTGTTGTTGACGAATATGGTTGATTGGAAAAGTTTCTTTTCGAGAAGATGGATTAGCAAAGGTATGATCATCGTCATCATCATCATCACCATCGTCATCATCGTCATCATCGTCATCATGATTATTTTTGCTACCATTACTCAATCGCGTATTCGATGTTGTTAAAGCTAACGGTTGTTGAGCATACGTTGGAGAATGTGCTGATGAAATTCCAGGTGATAAATCTGATCTTGAACTAGTACTATTTGCAGCAGAAATTGAGGTTGTCGAACAACCGACAACGAGATTATGTGATGTTGAAGACGAATGATCATTGTTTGCTGTAGGTTCATGACCAACACTACTAAGTGATGAACTGGAATTTGCACTTGGCGTTGATGAACCTGTTGCAATACTTTCGCCGTCAGTTCGTTGAGATTTATCGAGCGTTTCGCGACGGCCTTAACAAGTACATGATTTCGATGAAGACAAGCACTGATGCATCGAATACTTACATCGATCTGTTGNTTCGAATGTTTACATGAACAATCATTCTCTTTGAACTTTTCGTGTCCTATTCAATCTAATAACATCAATAACTTGACGTTATTACTAAAAACAGGTGACGATTCGGAAATAAACATCTAGTTATAATGAATCACTGACCATACCAACAATTAAACACGTTTAATATAAGCAAATGTATGCGGGAGAAAGGAGCGAGAGCAAAAACGTGAAAGAATATGTCTATGTATCTATCATAAGTTTGCGCTCTAACACCTTTACTGTTCATTGATAATTCGAGATAGGAATAATGGGTTGACAGAGAAAAGAAAACGAAACACGAATGAATACTTACAGTAGAAATCAGCTGCAGCTTGAGCAGTACTTGCTGATGGTGATGCATAATAAGGTGATAAATGAACTGGTAAACGTGGACGTGTACCAAGAATATTATCAATCGAAAATGGATTATTATGTGAAACTACAGCAGCAGCGGCAGCAGCTGCTGCAGCTAACGAATGATGATTGCTTGCAGCTGCCATTGGATTTCCAGAGCCTGGATTTCCACCACCAGAAGCGAAGTATGCTGTCAGTGCAGCCGAGGGAAATTGCTTGAGCGCATCTGAATAGTGCGGTAGTTGGTACATTGTTCGGTGTTGTTTTGTTGTTACGTCGTTTTTCACTTTCACTTTCACTTACTCTTACTTTCTTTTGACAGTCTGTAGTCAATAATGTAGTCGCTAATCGATCGTGTTCTTCTTTTTTTCTCTCTCTCTCTCTCTTTCTCTCCTTTTCTCCCTCTCTGTCTTTCTATTCCACCAATCGGTGACGAAGTCTCTTCTCGCTGTTTGTCAATTTCTTGTACGGTAATTGTTTTGCAAATATTTAATAGAAAAAAAAAGAGAAGGCGAAAGATATATGTCCAAGCAAGAATATGTATCGATGCGTTGTGACTAGGTGACAGTAATGTTTAAAAAGAAAAGCGCTTGTTTGTAGTAATCATAAACGATTTTCTCTTTCGTTCGTTTCTTTTAAATAGAAAGGTATATTACGATCGAGAAGCCAATGAGCGTAAAGAGAGAATAGATATTGGTTGAAAACGAAAAGCGAGCTAAAAAAGAAATTGATTGATCGGGGATGATACGTTGTGCGGATATGTGAACGAAATGAGAGATATTTAATCATAGATAAATCATGGTATATCTATTGAAGGAGAAGATATTGATATAAGAGAGGTGAAAGAGAAAAAAAGAAGCCCAAGATGAACTAAGAGCGATTGTACGTATTAGATCGAGCAAAATTTCGTTCAATAAGTGTTTTTTTCCTTATTTTTGAATTCTGAGTCTTTCAGGAATATTCTGTTGAATCAACCAGTCGTGCACGTTTTTCTTTTCGATGAAGGTTAACAACATGACATCGAATAAATAATCATCTAACCTTGCCGAAAATATCTTTTACTCTCATCAGAACTTTAAATCATTTCTTAGAACTATTAGTTTTCTAATCAGAGAAGACGAGAGCGAAATTACTGTTCGATCTTGTTTCGTTTACTTTTGCTCTCGGCTCAACAATTGATTAGTTTAGCGAATGAAAGGAGAACTTTTCTTTGCCGACATGAACATCGATTTGAAAAACACTTGATCAAGTATTTGAATACATTTCAAGAGATGTTCATCTAATTGTTGGTAAATGTAGACGAACAAACGAAAGTATTGTTGAAGTATCCAAGAAAAAAATCAATTGCAAAAAAACGCAAAAGAGAGAGTGCATAATGGACAAAACGATGTAATTGCTGCAGATATGCAATGTCAAATAAGTTCGTTTGCTTCTCTCTCTCAGCGAATCGAACTCATTATTATTGATTTCTCATATCATTATTTCTAATTAAGAAAATTCTTCATTATTGATAACATAGGTAACAAGAACAATTTCGATTGTTACTTAATATAAGACTTGAATAATTTGTTACAATTTCGCCTGTATAGCAAACAAGAAGAGAAAGGTCTGTTCATACGTAACAAGTTTGTCAGTTTTCTTTCGAATTGCTAATTGAATAATTATTTCTGGTTGGTGGAAGAAAGCGAGAGAACGAAATGTTGCAATGTTTTACTCATTTAGACGAATATTATATTAAAGAATGTAGGTGAAACTTCATGGTTATCATGTACAAATAATGATAATTGTTGATATGTCGCAGAGAACAAAAGAGTCCGACTTATGAAAGCAAATGTGTTTCGAATCAGTGAGAAATTTTTATTTAAATAACAGATTCAAATCGACGTTTGCATTCGTCAACTAGTTACATGAATCAGGTCAATTGAAGTTTGACAATTATGATATGAGAAACGAACTTTTTCCTTTAAAATTATTCACCTAGAGTTTGCGTCTCAACACAAAGTGTTCCAATGGAATCGTTTATTTTATGATTAACTTAGTTCATCTAAGTCATAACAGAAAATAAAACTTTTTTAAAAGTATTCAAACAACAGTAAATCAACGATTGAAAAAATACACGCATAGAATTGGAAGATTGAAGAAATAAAAGTCTCATAATCTTCTTGTGTTCAATTTTTATATGCTGAACATTGTCTCCAGCGCTGGAAATTGTTCTCCAATACTTCGCCTAGTTGTCTACGTTTACTATCGAAGTTTGGATTGAGTAAGAAGAATTGAGAAAGATCAACATCGGATATATAGACTTCATTCTCAATATTCGATTGAGAAATGTCATCCTGAAATGAAAAATACTATTCGGGTCTAACAGAAAGTGAATCGTACCCAAGTTTCTTTCAAATCCATATGAAAAAATGGATGTTCATCACATAATTGTAACTAGAGAAACACAAGTACAGGTCGAAGAGAAGCAGAATAATATAACATTACTTTTAATTTACATGTTCGATTTGTATCACATAGTTCAATTAGCTTTTCATGATCTAGTTCGATACAATTCGCAGTCATTGTTGAATAGAAGAAGAAAAAAAAGACTCACTTGACAAAGTGTCACTGCTTGAACTACTCGACAGAATGGAATGGTCAGATGAAGTCGACGTATCACTATCATCTTCTTTTTGGAACAGAGAATCAGATCATGTAAGAGTGAAATCAAGTTTTTCCCTTTACTTTCGTACGGACTTAGTGAAAACGCATCGTCTTGTCCTAAAATAGAAGAGCCAACCCGATCGTTGAAATCTGAAGTTGTTTCTTTGGACGTATCGGAAGAATATCCAAGATCAGTTCGTACACTCGTACAGCGGCTACATACCAAGATTGGAATTTCATCACACAAAGCATCTTCGAAGATAAATCAATAAGAACATTCTTTCATGAAAGGTTTTCTTCCTACTAGCAAGTTTTTTATTACAAACACATCCTCTTGTTGAAATCGATGAAAAAACTGGTTCTAACGAGCTTGACATCGATAGGTTTTGTTCAGGAGTATTCACAGGTTCTGACTTTGCACTCGCTTCGGGCGTCCGGAGCAACGATAATAGACATGACTGAGATTTTCCTAATGGTATCGATGGTATATCTGTCGATGCCATTAAAAAGGAATTTGATCGTTGAAGGCACTTATGACATGTACAGGAACAGTAGCAGTCGGTTGGCTCGAGTTCGACTTTCTGTTCATGAGACTTGTGCTAAAATGAAACAGGAAATTCGGATCTACTTCACGAAAAAGATTTCACGAAATTTACTTGATCAGTTTTGTTCTCGCGTCGAGATTTTCGTTTCGAATGCTTCGATTGTTTCTTTTGTGTTTTAATTTCTTCAGTTTCACACAATTCTTCACACAGATTTTTCAATGTTGTCTGTAAATCCTGTGTCCGATCAACAGCCTTTTCAAAATCTAAATTCGATCACTCGACAACAGATCCAAAACAAGCGTTCGTCTTACTTAATCTCAGACAGTCGATTGTAATATAAAACAACAATTGCCATGTCTGTTCCTCGGAACGTAATGCTCGATAAATTTTGTCGAAACGTTCGAATAGATAGATTCCAATACATGTCAGGATTTCTTCTTGAGCGATGTCTAAAGTTTTCGCATGACGTTCACGCAAACTATCGTGAATTTCTGATTGAGCACGGGATATTAAATGACTAAGCAAGTCTCTCTTTGGATCGACATGAATATGTTTCTCGTTAGCGCACGGTCGTAAACCTAAAAGACGCACATGAACTACAGTCACATTATTAGTTGATCTTACCTTCATACAGGGCGGGACAAAATCCTTTTTTCTCCTTTTGCCGATAATCAACATCACCCATCAAGAGATCATAAGCTTCTAAGACTTTCAATTTGCATTCCATACAAAACCTAGATAAGAGAAATAGTATAGAACCGATTGAATGATACCCTTGACTTGGTTTTATACTTGTGTTTACATAAATAGTTTTCTAATATGCCAAGTAAACACTCAGTTTCGACTAGAGTAATTTCTTCTCGACATTCATCATTCATCGTATCCCAAACAATCTCCCAATCACTAAAAATCGGTCCTCTGTTGCAAATCAATAGACGAAAAGAAAGTTGTACTTGATTGATCGAGCTTTATCTAATAGATGTATATTACATCGACGATTCTTCTTGGATTTCGGAATGTTTTCAACGATTGACTTCAATTTCGATCTAAACAAACATTTCAAACTCAATCATCTTCATCTCTTCTCATACCCGTGAACATGAAATAGCGTATAGATATTCTTCGAATCCGATGTGTACGTGCTTTTGATTGTGATTAATCCTTGGTCATTGATATGAAGAGGTTCGAGTCCTGGATGGTGGTGTTCGATCAACGATTTGATAAAATTTTCAATACTAAAAACAATCTCTGAATTGAAACGAGTACAAGAAAGAAGATTGGAGACCTCGTTCGACAGCCAACACATGGCACACAATGTCGAATGTACTCTTTGATTTGACCTATCGATACACACAGAGCTCCATGTAATTCTTCCTGAGTTAGTTTTTGATATTCTTGAAGAAATGTTGAATAGGTTTTAGTTGCGTTCTTCCACGATTGCTGATCATATTGAAGACACAAATCGTCAATTTGAAGTTTCATCTAATTGACAAAAAAAAAACAAGAGTATATCACTCGGAGAGATTTTCAACTTACAACAAGATTCTCATCGATATTGATTGGAATTTGCCGTTTATCGAATGAATTTATTTGTTCTTTTTGACAAACGGCTACAAGTCGGATCGACAGTTTCGGTGATGACATCGGCTGATTCAAATCACAATTAGACACAGCTCACCAGAAAAACAAGTTTCTTTTCAATCTTTCAATAGATGCGTCATCAGCTGAGACGTGATTGGACGATATCAACCATTCAGCCTTCATTTCTCACTCTATCGATACGATAAATCATTTTTTTCCTCCTGCATAGCTAACGGAAAACTGTTTTTGTCACTGATTCTTCGCCAAATGCCCTTCTACGCTGTACGACAGGGCAAAAAACCCGGAATCTACAATACTTGGTCAGTCGAAAAGGTGTTTCATTAATGAATTTCGTTTTTATCATTTCAGGCCTGAATGTCAGAAACAAGTGAATGGATTCAGTGGAGGTTTGCAATGTTTATTTCTGAGAGAAAATGTACTGATGCAAGAATATCATTTTAGCACAATATAAGAAGTTTGATACATATGGTGAAGCTCAAGATTTTGTCGACCGAAAAAGTGGAGTACAGAGAACAACTGAAATGAAAAGTCCAACGAAGAAGTCAAAAATAGCGAACAACGTTCCGGCAGATTTATTGAAAGATTCGATCAGAAAATTCTCGGCTGAAAAAGCCGTTTCATCCTTTGAAAAACTAACTGTGATCGATACAAATCTTGATGAAAGTAAAAACAGAAAAACGAATTTCACTGGGTTTCACATTCATCCGCACTAGAAGAATATCGAGTGGTCTATTCCGATGGATGTTGTTTTGGTAACGGGCAAATCACATCTCGAGCTGGATATGGAATTTATTGGGATGATGACCATCCATGGTAAATCAACAATTTTGATTATTAATGCATTGTATTGAGAATATTTTCATAGGAATCGAAGTGAACGATTGCAAGGAGATCAGACAAATCAACGAGCTGAACTCACCGTATGAGAATGTTTTAGATGTACATCGAACATCTTTTATCGTCTTCTTCAGGCTGCAATAAGTGCAATGGAAATTGCGATAGAAAATGAAATAACTCATCTAGAAATCCGTACTGATAGTAAATATACGATACAATGTAGGTCGATTATTGACAATCTATTGATGTTGTTATGAATCGAATAATCTAGCTGCGACACAATGGATACCAGGATGGAAACGATCGAATTGGATCAAGAAGACCGATTCGAAACCAGTAATGAATCGGGATTTAATGATGAAAATCGATGAACTCCAAGCAAAACTTCAAATCAAATGGGTAATTCTATGAATTCCAACTAAAATATCAACTTCGTTAGTTTTCCCATCTAGACATATGTACCAGGTCATTCATCAAATAAAGGTAATGATGAAGCAGATCGCTTAGCAAAGGCCGGTGCTCAAAAGTACTAATCTTTCCAAACAATGTTGTACAATTTCGATATACGTTTATTTTTCGATGAAAGCAACTGTAATAAAAGCATATCTCACGTAATTCTTCGTCTTTTTTTATTCTTCTCAAATGTGAATCAGCTATTCAGACGTTGCGATAGATGAATTTCATTTATAGAAAGCGTAGTGTGTTGGTTTTATGGATTTTATCATTGATCTCATACGCACATATATGTCTGATATGACAATGATTGTAAGATTAAAGATAGAGAACAAGAACAAGAAACGAGAAACGAGAAACGAGAAACTGTACATGTGAATTTCATGAAAACAAGACAAAGTTGTAAACACATGGATTGAAATGAAAAAAGAAAGAACGAGATAATCAAATATCCATTAGATCTTTCATATCATTTTGTTGCTGCTGCGTAGAGCGAATACGTGTTTGGATATTTTCTAATTTGCTTTTCACTCGAACGTCAAGATTCGATGTCGCAGATGTTTCTTGAATGATATCTGTAAGATCCATTAACGATGGTAAGATTGTGCTGGTTATCGTATGATTGATCTTTCGTGTTTGAGTACAATGTTCGTCGATTTTAGTTTCGATGATATTCATTTTAGTTAATAAGTTTCTACTCATGTCCATAATCAATGATTTCAACTCAGTTAGGTCGTCAGTGCTTGTGGAGACCTGTGGAGAGATTGTGAGCATTTCATCGTTGGGAGGCGCTTTTTGAAATGTACTTTTCAAAAGAGTTTCTAATTCTTGTAGATTACCACTATCAGTTGAGATTAATGGATCGAAATGTGTGGATTCGGATAGCTGTTGGGAAAGTTTGATTGTTTGTTGAGATGATTGTGTAGATGTATTCGATACATCATTTATTGGACGTTTTTTATCCTCGGCGAGTAAGGATGATGAATCAATAGACATGGTCTCAACTTCATTTTTGTCTTCGTTTGTTAATGTGGAAACGGAGTTTATAGGTTGAGTATTTGTCGTAGCTGCTTCTCCGTCACTGCTGTGTGCTGTTCCAGTCGCTTTATTCGGTTTTTTGAATGTATTCATCAGGAGAACTTCGAGTTGTTGTAGGCTACCTGATACCTTAAAGAAGAAAGTATTTTTCTAAAATACAAGTGAACGACGAATTTATGAGATGTTACTTGTGGCTGAGTATCTGACGGAATCGAAGGTTGAACAGCTTCGCTCGTGTGTGGAAGAGTTAAGGGTGTAGTTGACGGTGATATCGATATATGATTATTTTCAGTCGTTTCTGTTGTTGGAGGTGTTGAAGTTGTTGAAGGTGTTACTATTGATTTAATAGAATCATTAGGTATAGGAGTAGCGATCAAATGTTGAGGAGGAGGAGGAGGAGGAGATACGGTTGAAAACGAATAACTTTGAGAAGGTTGTGATAGAAGATGAGAATTTTGAAGCATCTGCTGTTGTTGATTCGTCAACATTGTCGTTGGTTGAGATTGAGATTGTAATATCGTCGATGTTGATGGTTGTATATTATCTAGGAGGAAAAAAGAAAGTAACAAATATTCGATCATTGTGAAATTCAGTAAATGAGCATGTCACTTACTTGATAAAGGTTCAGTAGTCACTGGTACAGTAGGCTCTTCAATTGGTTGCTGCTCAAGAATATTTGTATTGGTTATTGGTTTTACTATCAACGGATCTTCTTGATTGATCAAAGGTGCTGCGACTTCACTAGTTTCAGTCACAGGATTCGAAGCTGCATTGGAATTGACAGTATTATTTTTTGTAAACGTTTTCTTCAATGCTGCTTCTAGTTCTTCGAGACTGACAGCTGAACCTGGTACACTCGGGCTAAGTTCAGGCACCTGAGCGATTGGCGTTGGTTCAGTTTGCACAACTGGCTTGACTATATGTTGCTGCTGAGGTGGTGCGGGTGGTTGCTGTTGTTCAATAGGCGTTTGTTGGACCAGAGTAGGTGCTTGCGTAAAATTAGGTGGTTGGGCTACAGGAATTATTGGCGTCGTTTGCTGTTGCTGCATGATAACCGGCGGTTGTGGTGTTTGATTGATTGTTGGTTTTCCATTTTCTGAGAAGACACCAGCCTTTCGATCAATAAGTTCGTAATTCAATGCTCGAACACGATCTTTGATTGATTGTATAACGAACTTTTTGTCTTCGTCAAAAATATAGTTTTTGCCAATTAACTCATCAGCGATTTGTTCTGGTGTATCAGTGAGAAGATTATATGGAAACAGTATCGCTTCGAAAACCGTTGTTGTCACTTTCTTCTCCGCATACAAAGCTTTCCGTTTAGTTTTATCGACAATTTTCAATTTCAAATCAATCATATCACTCTTTATTGCCACAGCCGAATCATCCGATGAATCCCGTACTAAATCGATCCGTAAGCCATTATCATCAAGAAAGAATGAATGTTGTAGTAAATCCTGCACCGACAATCGTTCTTCTTTCTTCGTTCGTATACAACAATCGATGACTTCCCGAACATCCTCGCTCTCAACTTTATAATAACAATCAGGTTTTAAACCAGCTGTCACACGTTTGATAACTGCAGTTGGTCCTTTGCATTCAATGTATGGATATTCACCTGTGATCATTTCTAGCATACATAAGCCAAACGAGTAAATATCGACTAATTCATCGTATTTTTCATCGAACATTTCCGGTGCCATAAATTCCATTGTGCCGCGCATACTTTTGGCAAATGTTTGAGTTTTGAATGTTGCTAGGCCGAGGTCACCGATTTTGACACAACCGGTTGTGCTTGATATGAACACGTTGTCACATTTCAAATCTCTATGGATAACAGGAGGATTTCGACTGTGTAAATAAGCGAGTCCTTTGAGAATTTGTCGACACCATTTTTTCATCACATTAATACGTTTTTCTTCTTTTTGTCCTTTAAAATTTCGAATATACCTAATCGAACAAGCAAATTCAATTGAGAACGTCAATCAATATTTTGTTTTCTTACCCTTTTAATGAACCTGATGTCATTAATTCGGTGACAAGTATAATCACTTTCTTGTTTGTTCGAGGATTTGTTTCTTCCCAAAAGTCATAGAAACGAACGATATTTTGATGTTGCAGTTTCTTTAACATCTCAGCCTCTTCTTTAAAACGTGCCCGTTCATGTCGGTCAAATTGTGCGAATTCCTACAAATCGAAAGTTGTCATTTTAATCAATAAGATTCTTCTACTCTTACCTGTAATTCGCACCAGGCAACAGCAACACTTGTTTCAGTATCTAAACCACGATAGACAGTTTTGAATGCACCACGACCGATTTCTTTTGCATATTTAATAAAACGATTATCAGGACTTTTAGCAACAGCTTCTTCTTCTTCTTCATCCTACGAAAATCAATACTTTGAAAAGTCGATATTACCTTAGAGTCGGACTTACTTCTCCTTGTGCAGATGCAGCTGATGATGGCGGCGCTGGTGCCGGTGAAGGCGTTATTGGAGCAGGTACTTTCTCTTCCTCAACAGGTGATTCATGTTTTCTGTGTTGTGTTACATGGAAACGAACGCGATGATGTCCATTTCCGTTCGTCATACTACTATGTTTAGCAGGTTTTAATGTCGACGCGGTACCATTAGCAAGATTATCAGTGTTAGTTGTCGAAGTTTCTCCATCAGTGGTCGGTGTATTCGTATTTAGACGTCCGCTTAATAATATTTTTGACGACACTTTTGTTCGTTGTTGTTTGGATGTTGAACAATCATCGTCGTTCGACGATTTCGCTGCAGCAGCATTTGCTAACAGAACATTTTGTTGAGATTTTCGTACAGATTTCACTTGAAAACGAGTTCCTTTTCGCGTTGCACTCGGATTGATCGGGACGACATTGGTTGTCAATGGTGATGATCCATTCGATTCTGATGGTAAATCTTTCGCACTGTTTTCCAGATTATCTAACGGATGATATCGATGGTGTCTGATTGTATCGTCATCTGTTGTTGTTGTCGTCGTTATATGATCACGCTTTTTTAACGAAAGTAGTTTCACTCGTCGATTGTTCAAGATCATTTCGTCATTAATTCCATTGATTTCAGTGTTGTCTTCGTCGTTGGAACTCGATCGAGGATGATGTTGCGGTTGGTGATCGTCTTTACGTACGTTTGTTCGTGATACAGGCGGGGTGTGATTGTTATTCAATGATGAAAAACTAGTTTTTCGTGTTTTTTGAAAACGACGAGATTTGTTTATATGTTTACTGGAATCATTATTAGTTTCAGGATCGGATTCATCAGCGTCCGTATCGATCGACGACGATGACGACGACGATGATGATGATTGATTCGATGAGCGATGAATACTGGATTCTCCTTCTTCATCTGAACAGCTTGATACTACATTCGACATTGTTTTTATCCGAGTATGTGCCAGAACATTTGCTATGCGACGACTTGAGTCAGACATCGGTTCATGATGAGACTATAATGAAGCACAAAAATAGTTTTTCTCATTTACATCGGGATACTTTTATCTAATAATATATATAAGAAGTGAAAACAAATTTCCATGTTGAATTAGAATACGATGGTTCTCAAGATATATATATAGATTTTATAATGGGAGAGAAGTAAGTATAAGAAGTCCTACAGGGATCTTTGCTCTACTTTTCTCCTCCTCTTCTTCAAAGATACCTTTGGTTCTTGAGCAACATCTTCCGATAACGGAGCGGGTGCAATTGCATGAAAAACAATCGGTGACGACGAAGAATGTGGCAACATCTTCCGTACCGGTTGATTTGAATCGTGTCCATTCTGTTGTTGTTGATCTGGATTCGCCGGTGTAGGACATTCGGGTATAGACTTTTGAAAATAACGATGATGAGATAAGACGTTGCGTTTCTTTAAATGATGATTGGAACCGTTTGTTGATGCGTACTCTTGCGAAATGTTGTTTGCGCTCGAAGGTTTTTTCGAATAGAATCGAGTTGATTTTGTTTCATTTTCATTTGCTGTCATATTATGTAGACTATTCCCAGTTACTAAATTGGGCTTTAGGTTTCGTAGCGATGCTGTTGTTGCTGACATGCAAAACTAGACAATTCGTTTCGTTTTCTTCAGTAAGAGAAAATGAAAAATCTGACGTTAGTTATTTCTTGTTTGCAATCAAACAAAAGTCCTCATAATTACACAGTAAGTAATAAATAATAATAATAATAATAATAGCAATCGAAGTCGTATCTACAAAGATAAGTAATATTGTTTCTGTCAACTAGATAATACTTTATTATAAAGGAAATTGAAATAATAAGCGATCAATAGGTTTCTTGAAGTAATATCACTGATCGAATCCGTTGAAGTTCTAATCGGGGAAAGCAAAATCGTCCATAGTATATATTCCATCACATAAAATCAATAGGCGTGTCGATATTTTCTTTGCGAAAGAAGCTAATTGACACAAAAGTGTGCTTTAAGTAAGTTAAACAACAAAAAAAAATAAGCGAAGTTCTTGTTTGTTTGCCGATGTTGTGTTCGAAGTAAAATCTGAAAAGAAGAAGAACAAGAAGAAGCAAAAGCACATATAGGCAGACAGACGATGCATAAAACGTGTGTGTAGTTCTCTTTACGCGTTAATGAATACAGGAAAATGATGAAAAGGAGAAAAAAAGAAATATATAGTTTTTTTTTCTATCCTTTCAGACAGGAGGGAAAAAACTTGTTTTTTTCTTGTTGTTTTTCAAGTGAAATCGACTAGACTTATGTAAATAAGATTTTTTTCACACGTCAATGTAAAAAAACGCTTGGCTCTCTGAATAAATAACAACAAATGAGTTTTTATTTTAATTGATTTTCTTTTTGGTGCAATCGAGACGAAAAATGAGAAAGAGGGAGATCGAGTAATCATGATGTCATGATTAGAAATGTATTCAAGGACAAAAAGAAAAAAATGGGAATGTAAACGTATTTGAAAGCAACGAGAAAAGAGCGAATGACTCTGTCTAAGATGTATATAATACTCAATACTTGCCCTTTTCGTTTATTCTTTTTTTTCTGTTATTACAAAAGTACGTACAAAGTGCAACTACCTCTTCATTCTCATTGGGATTTCCTGAAATTTCATCATAGTCCTGAAAATAAAAAAAAAAAAGAATGAATGAAAAACAACAACAACAACGGTATAGGTCGAATCGATTAATATTAACCAACGTCAACAACACAGTTGCTAAAATAGCTCGAAGATACGAAAGAGAACTACCCAATTGGATAGAATATTGTAGAGAGGCCGCTATATCGCGTTCATATGTTCAGAGAGAATCTCATTGCTTTGCTAATGTCTCGTGAGATGATGAACACGAAGAAAATCATTTACTGGAGTTTTTTTTTTCTTCTCCTCTTCGTTTCTTTTTCTTTTCTGTATGACCTTGCTTTACGTCGATTTTCAATGGTAATTGGAATTAGTATGGATCGAAAACAACAGCTGACGTCAATGTTCTCACGAGCAAATTCATAGACATTCTATTCCTATAGCAGCAAGTTGCTATCATACACGCCTACGTTCTTTCTTTCTTCAGTCACTCTTATTATGAGTTCTAGAAGGGGAGAGAGGAAAAAAAAAGCAGACAAAGCATCTTATACACCCTTTTTTTCACAGGCATACATGTTCGCCCACACAGTTTTATATGAAAAGTTCAATAGCAGCATTCCGCTGGGGAAAGAAAGAGAAAAAAAACTTGAAAGTGTTTTTATTCAATCAATAAATATGCTCTTTCGGTATTATGAACAGAACGACCTTCGTAGATCGATAGATCTTTCATGGAAATCGTATTGCTTAGGACGACGGGAGTTTTTTCTCTTTCGTCTAGAAGTCTCCGAGAGGAAAGTGCATATTGTCGACATTTTATAGAAATCAGTTCTTATCCAGGGTCCGGAAAATAATTAAAAACGAACGATAATCAATACGAGTGTTGCTATACATATTATAAACTAACTATCATTCGACATTTTTGTCCTCAAGTTCGAATCTACTATTAGTTTTCTTATTATTCTCCACATCTGTTTGATTGTCTCATTGATAATCCTTTTAAAAATAAAAATCGATTCGCATATGATGACAAGTAGTAACAACGTGACTAATATACGTACACGTGTTTCTATATATAATTGTCGTCAATACTCGTATCTACCTTTTCGAATGCATTAATTCATCAAACTTCGTTAACACATGAACTACTTAGCTCGATTTCACATGAAGATATTCTCTTTTTCGAACGAAACAAACGTTTTAATAGTTTACTTATGTCATAAGATGCAATGAATATACGTGATATTTGATAGTATATCTGTGAATAACGATGAAATAGCAAAATGAAGACGATGTCGTTGGTAGCGAAAGAGAAGAAGTGAAGGAGAAATGAGTTAATCAAAAATGATGCACTGAACGACGAGCGTAAACGAGCTCGTAAAAACGTACATTACTTTTTCTTTCTATTTCTTCGTCTTCATCATCAACATTACTGCTTGTTGCTTTTGAAATCGTATCCTAGTCGAGACAAAATGCATCTCTATAACGATACGCGAACATATGTTTGAAACCAATACGATCGTATTCAAAATCTTCAATCTAAAAACAGGAATTTCAAAACGAAGGCGACATACTTGCAAGCGCCAATAAATATTTTCTGGCATATAGCTAAATCAATAAATTGTAATAGTGTATATATAGACACAAGAAGAAAGAAGAAGAAGAAGAAGAAAAAGAAGAAGGAGGAGGAGGGTAAAAGAGAATATCTTTTTATTTATCTCATTCTTACTACAGTCGCACATTTATTAACGCTTCATCATTATTTATTACTTGGCATTGCTGTCCTCGATCGGCGAGATTGTATAAGAAAAGAAGCAAGCTAGCGAGATTTTCTTCGAAATGAAAAAAAAGAATCGACTCGTTGTATGTGGGTCAACGTTCGGTCATCTACTATTCATCAGTTCGAGCATGTCACTCGACGTCGCATGTTTCAAGTGGGAAAAATCTTTATGTTTTGCTTCCTATTAGACATAAAAGATAGCAGTTCTTATAATAGATAAGCAAACTACATCGTTGTACTTTGACACTAGTAATCAAGGCAAATTCCAGTGCATTCAGATTTCGTTTGCGAGGCGGTGGGAATATTTTTCGAGGGTGCACACGTCGAGGACTTCATTTCGCATACTATTCATTTCGAGCACGTCCGCCCCAGCTATGTCGGAAGACCTTTTCTCACATAAAAAATCAACTGACAATATGACAGGTACACGTAGAAACGCTCGGTAGAATCGGACATTGTTTTCGCTTCTAAATCGTTGTTTTTCTCAATTTCCAACAAATCAATCTTCTTCGAGTCATTAACGTCGTTTTTCCCGTCGCTAGAGAAAACCCGATGAATCATTTGTCAATTATTCCGGAATATTTGCATTGTGATACAGTTTGGATGTAAGGCCAAACTTACATCCAATCGATCAAATCGTACGTTGTGTCGCGTACAAATATACGCATCTTAAGCAAACATATTCTTTACAGTCGTAGTCGACCTTTGATAGAGATCGAAACAAAGAAGACGCGTTATTTTGCAGATGTTCACAACGAGCCAATAATAACAGCACGCATGTATGTTTTTTTCTCTTTTCCCAAGTCAATAAAAAAAAAAGAAATGCAGAAGACATCATTCTGTCTGATCTTATCAATGGATATCATCAAAATTATTCTTATTTATTGAATTTTTCTATATAAAAAAACACATGCGATGTTTCTTTTCTTATGTTAAGAAGATGGACGAGAAAAAAAGACTGACAAGAGAATAAATGAATTACTATTCCTAAACAAAAGAAAAGCTGTAGGTCATGACAAAAGAAAGTCATTGTTTACTTCAGTTTCAATGGAATCATGCAGAATCGTATGTTGACTTTCCAGAATACATCGACCAGTTAATGTAATTGTTGTTTTGAAATTATTTCGTCGTTTGATAGTCAAAATCACGTTTTCACTATATAATCCCACTTTTTTTGGACGAAATTTGCAAGTTAATTTCACAAATGACTTTTCTCTTCAAAAACACAATTCATTTACTTTTCAAATAAACGCAAAAGACAAATATTTTACCTTATTGTCGCACGACGTACACTGATGCAGAATGGAAGATGTGGCTCATTAATATCAACCTAAAATAGAACTTCTACATTCTTCTCATCAAACTTAATCGAACATTACATCACACGGGTCTGTTCGACTGTAATTTTTTATTGTTAACTTCAATGTTTTGGAATTCGTAGTTAAATCATCGTTAATATAAACCTGACCGAAGTCGAGTATGTTCTGTTCAATACCAATTTGATTGGCAATGTCACTACGAAGAAATCGAACGTTTATCAACGAGTTCAGAATGGTTAGTATTACAGTATGGCATCCTTTTGTCGATGTTGGCTAGTAGATGTTAAATCACCGTCGCTTTGCGCTGTTGTTGAGGCTAATGACATATCTGAAACTTGACTTTGACATGATATCCGATTAATGAGATTTTCATCGGAATTTCTTGCTTGTTGATGTTCTTTAGATGATGAAAGCAAGATGGGATGCTAAAAAAAACGCTCGTTTAACGTCATAGTCATTATTCAAAGGATATGTAATTATAAATATTTAATTGCGAATAAATAAAGTATGATTCTTCCTAAGAAGTATGATTAAAACTATCGAAAATGATTAGAAATAGCTCACCTCATTACGTGGATCATGACAAACACCGACCAAGGTTACCAATGATGTCGATGGCGGTGGTTGATGTGAAGAACAAAATTGACATTTGATGTTTAATTTGCATTGGTAATTACCCGTTTGAAATGGGCAAAAATGAACTTTGATCGAAGTTTCTTGTTGAGACTTGACTAAATATTCCGTTTTGTCTAATTGAAAGGGAATGATTTGATGATGTTCATTCGATGTCGAACTTGTGTCTGATATAATATCCCATTTGTGAATATTGACTGTTAACTATATTCAAGTATGCTTTTTTCGTTTTTCAAAATTCTTGTTCAAAGAAACTCACTGTAATATCGATAGAACCATTGTTTTTAATAGCAACATCGATGGAACTTGTTTGATGGGCATAACATGATGGCATGCGAAAGATAGTTGACGATGGAATGTCGAGCCACCAATGATCATGTTGTTCGTTTAGTTGATGATGACCTGAATGAAATGAGAGATGAATGAATGAATGAGATCGAAAGGAAGTTTTACTTAGTCGTTGAGAATTAGCCGAAAGTAATGATGATGATGATGAACGACTATTACGTTGAAAGGATGATGTTGATGATCTGAAATGAGTTTAGAAGTGAAAAATTAAGAATGAAAATATGCGACATACTTATCATCACTCGGTTGACTGTGAAGTGAAGTTATTATTGGACTGTTCGTATCGTGATGATGACTATAGATGTCTGATGAGCTACTAATCGTCGTTGCTGGTGGATGAATACAGAGTGGAGCGGGTTGATGAGGTATCGATGAAGATGCTGAGGGTGCATAAGAGTAAATAGGATGATAAGACACGACTGGATAAAATAATGGTTGAGGATGATGTGGAGGCCATGAGGGAAAATGTGTCGATGAATGTGCATGTTGTTGTTGTTGTTGATTATGATGAATTTGCGTACGTGATGAATTTGCCGATGACGATGATGATGATGATCCTCCTCCTGCTAAATGCGATGTTTGAGTTTCTGTATTTACAGTTGACGCATCAGCTGGCGAAACCATATTTGGATAAATATTTCCATTGAGATGATGATTATGACGACAGTGAAGGGAAAGGATTGACATACTATCCGATAAGTCTAAACTATGTCGACGACTATGATTACTCGTTGCTGTTAAATCAAGGATATCACAGTTGACACTTGTAGAAGTAGATTGAGGTTTCGAATCGAATAAAGATCGACTGACCTGAAAGACAAAAAGATCTTCATATAAAAGAATTGCTAATCAACTTTGAAGTACTTCGCCCTTGATTGGTTGAGTTGGTGTTAGAACAGTCTTGGATTTTTTCACAATAGTATTGCAATTCTATTCGGATGGAAGTAAACCAATAAAAGTAAGAAGAAATCAAAAGAAAAATCTACTTCGATAAATGGTGAATCTTTCTGTTGTCGCAAGTTGAGTCCACTGATGGATTTCTTATTCATTAAACTCAGTTCATTCCATCCTTGAACAAGATTTCGTGATGATGTTGGTTGTTGATTTTCTTTTGTAGTTATGCTATCTGTTTTTCCTGGCAAACCAAGCAAATAATAACTCACAGCTTATGATGAAACGATTCGAACTAACCAGTAAGGAGTGCATTGAGCATTTCGTCAGGTGTCGATGATTTGGCCATGAAAAATGTTGTAGTGGAACAACCAGGACTGCCAGGATTGTGATCGTTTGACCATGATTGATCTTGGTTTTGTGTTATATCCGTCAGAATCGAATTCGAAAAAGGCACTAATGGATCTTCACGTATGAATCGTTCGCCTTCACGAATAAAGAAGTCTAAGAAAAGTAAACTTTTTCTTCATGAAATTTTTCGAAGATAAAAAACCTTCTGAGGTCGATTTAAAGTTGAATCGCTCATCATTATCATTTACAATGGATTGATTCGTTAAATTTAACCAGGAATTATTCATTTCAAACGCCATTCTGTCTTTCTTTTTGAACTCGATCTCATATGTGTCCATCGGCAGTCTATCCATACGATACCGTCGATAACAAAAGAATACATCAACAAAAGATTTTCATTAACACCAGACTGATACTGTCTGACATCTGGACACACATTTCGTTCATATTTCTTCGAAAGAATTCTTGAAATCCAAAGACAGGATATGTCACACATAGCTCGAAGGGAAAGACTAGCAAATATTCTGGAAATTATATCCGTTGGCACGTAGATTCCATAGGGAAAAGAAGCACGATGTTTTTATCAATGATAAACGCGCTAAAATCTGCTAACAACAGAAAATTCAACATGACACTATTGACAAGGCAACGTCAGACATGATTTGAACAAGTAACTCTCAATTATTCTCTCGATCATTTTTTGTCATTTGTCAACGACAATATGTCGGTTTTTCTCAGATTAATAACGTAATATATAATCTCATGGGATGTATGTGTTACATTAAGAAAATGAAATTTTCAAACAGATGACGAGTAGGTATGACAGATAATAACTTTTATGAACTGTCATGGAAAATTCCATTTCAAAAGTGAATAAAACAGGAACGAAAGACTTTTAGGTTAATTAGTTTGATACAGAGTAGGATAGTTTTGATGGATGTTGAAATTACTCAATAATGACAACCGAATTCTTACTTGAATAAGTGTCAGTTTCGCGCATGAGAACAAGTATCAAATTTCTAGGCTTCTTTTTAGATCTGCACTTTGCTCGCCAACATACTTTATTTATAATATCACCATTAGAATAATGTTAATAAATAAAAGTCTATTTTTCATGCTCAGCTTCGACAAAAGTCTGATGCTATTTCGAATACTTATTATACAATTCTTTTTACATTTATCGTAGTTAATGACAAGACAAGAGATATATTTTATTTTGTACCAAGACGAACAAAGCATAACTGTGAGATTAGTCAAACGCGCACTTAGAGTTTTTATTTTGTTTCTCTAGATGCAGTTTGTTAACACTACACTCGGACGAACCCATTATGATAATTGAGCAAATGAGAAAGAAAACTGCCACAAAAATACACGATTCATTTAACGTATGTGCCTGAGATATTCACGAGGAAATTAAACTTACGCTGAGAGAATGTTTGTAGACAATACGGTGTTACACTGCCAAAGAGGCGGTAAAACTAACAAATACAGAAAGTGAAAAGAAAAAGAATGCGTAAATGTTACAATCTGTAACATAGAAACAGAGTCAGTTGCGGAATATTTTAACTAATTGTTGCACATATTATCTATTTGTACCCTAAGGTTCTGTGAACCAACGATTAACCTCTCGATGTATTTTTCCATGACTTCATCGCTTTTTATTTTATCTCGTCAACAACTAGAGATCAATTTTTAATTTTGTAGAAATTGTTTTGATATCCTCAGACACTAATGGACAACCAAACAGACTGTGAAGTTATCGTTTGGTCTCAGCAAGCCTTCGCTATTATCCAACCGATCTTTTACATTTCTATCATCGCCATCTTTACTCATCTCTTCTTCTGGATCCAGTTTCTTCTCTACCCATCCGTCCGACAACGATCGATGCAATGGCTCTATGCTTACCTAATCACCGATCTTCTTCTTCTCGTTCGCTTCTTTCTCTCCTACATTTACCGATACTCGTCGCTCTGCATACCTCACCATCCTCGCATCGTCATCTGTTATTGTGAAGCCATCTTCGACAACTACCTCAATCTACTGCAGAGCTACATTCTTCTTGCTCTCAACATCTGTCGATATCTTCAGATCGTGCGCAATCACAATGTGTATTCACTCAACCGTCGTCTCATTCTTTCTGCCCATCTCTTCATCTATGTGTTGCCACTACTCGGTCACGTGACGCTCATTCAACGCGGCTGGTCTCATCTGCAAAATCCGCCAGGTGATGCATGTGATCTATTGCCAACATCGTTGCTGATCCGACTCGTATTTCTTCTATTTTCGTATTTCATTCCAGTTCTTCTCACTCTGACCTTTCTGCTACGCAGTCTCAACTACATTCGCAATACGGATGGCATTCAGTCGCGCGAAATCGTAGACGCTCGACTTCGACATCATCGTCAGTTGGTGATTCAGTCGTGTGTGTTCTATTCGTTATGGTTGATACTGTGGTCGCCTCATTTGTTGGTGTTTCCATTTTACTACAAGAGTAGTCGAGTTGGCATAGTTGCTCAAATAATGAACTACATGAGTATTGCAGTTGATCCGGTGGTGATAGCAGCGTTGGATGTTCGGTTTTTGAACGCGTGGAAATCGTCGGGTGATCATGTTGATCGACAAGTTAGGAGAAAACGATCCATACGTGTTCCAGTTATAAGGTTTTCGGGACCATCTGATGAAATGATCGAGTCAAGTTCGAATGCGATATGATTCGGTGCAATGATATATCAACAATTATAAGAAGTTTTCGGCATGAACCAGTCTGATGAAAAAATAGGTTATAGTGTATGATATGTTATATTTTGAATACATTTATATATGGATTTTTTCCAAATTATTGTAAATATTGACAGGCAATGTAAATTGCGGTGACATGTGTTAGGATATTTCCTTCCGTACAGAGGAATTTCTTTGTAAATCAGACAACATTAAGCTTAGCACGGGATTCAGGAGCAGACAAAGAGAGAAGAATGGCCCGGAAAACAATACGAACTCGTTTTTCGATTTATAGACTTCATTAAAGTTCATCTTTGTGTAGGCACTGACAGAGAAGTATGTTCCATGCGTGATCAATTATGTCAGTCTAGCTCAATTACTAATCTAGAAGAAATTAATTGAGGACGAGTTATAGATAAATTCTCGCATAATGCTATCATGCTTAAAACTAATCCTTGCATGAATACAATCGAATTGTTGTAGATTTCAACGACAATAAACCGGAAATATTTTACACTATCGCATGTCTTCATCTTTTCCGCTTTCGGAATGGCATGTCTGTTGATCCTCGCTTGCTACAATCAAGCTTGACAGACGGCCTACAGCCAGGTGATTTCTAGTTATGGTTAAAACGCAACGAAACATCAGGAACAACGAAAGTGAAGCTGTTTCCAAGATGATGAATTTAATTTATGAAAAATTATAAAATGAAAAGTATTCTTGTAGAATCTTTTTTTCGGGATTTTAATTTTCGGTCGCTAATCGCCTTAAGTTATCATCTGTCAGTAGTTCCTGCAGGAATGTAATTCATCTTTGGAATAATTCCATCATTTTGTTTGTCGTGACATTAGTGCGAGAAACAAAATGAGAGTAGTACTGTTTTTCCTTCATTTGTGATGAATTTTTTATAATAATTCGGCGACGAAGCGTGGTTTCATGACATAGAAAGCTCCACATAGTGACTATCGTTATGTTGTGAGTAAACTATAATAAATCTACTATAATAGAAGAAATGACACTTTTGGGAAAGCGTATCGTCTATCATCGATTTGCGTGCTGTTATAAAATCGATCTATTCTCTAACCATTTGCCGACTAAACATCAAGTATTTATCCACTATTCACTACTCCATAACCGGAAATGCACTTGCGAGCGAGGTTACTTATATGTATTGTCGGAATCTTAGTCTAAGTTATTTTTATCGATGTCGTGTATGCAGGATGGATGAGATGTGTTTGACTAAACCGTTAGTACTGATTGTAAAATCTTTTTTCTCTTATCTATGGTAATACTGAGAAGATAGCTGGAGGAGTTTCTCTACAGCGAAAAACATGGATAAGATACCTTTTCGATCTCTCGTTATTTGCTCCAACATACTCTATCGCCCGAAGCATCAAGACAATCCGGAAAATGATTCTATCTCTCTCGATTGTAAGTAAATAGGCATTGTTCTTTCTTTCTATCCTGCGATCATTTCTAAATCAGAGAACATTTTCTATTAAGTGCTCAAGAATACATTCACACTCCTCGTCTGTACTTTCTCCTTTGTGCTACTTAGATAGTTTCAATTACTCAAGACAAACTCAAAAATATTCAGACTAGCATTATGCATATCATACGTTTCTTTTCCGGTAATAATGGACAATCAAACAGACTGTGAAGTTATCGTTTGGTCTCAGCAAGCCTTCTCTATTATCCAACCGATCTTTTACATTTCTATCATCGCCATCTTTACTCATCTCTTCTTCTGGATCCAGTTTCTTCTCTACCCATCCGTCCGACAACGATCGATGCAATGGCTCTATGCTTACCTAATCACCGATCTTCTTCTTCTCGTTCGCTTCTTTCTCTCCTACATTTACCGATACTCGTCGCTCTGCATACCTCACCATCCTCGCATCGTCATCTGTTATTGTGAAGCCATCTTCGACAACTACCTCAATCTACTGCAGAGCTACATTCTTCTTGCTCTCAACATCTGTCGATATCTTCAGATCGTGCGCAATCACAATGTGTATTCACTCAACCGTCGTCTCATTCTTTCTGCCCATCTCTTCATCTATGTGTTGCCACTACTCGGTCACGTGACGCTCATTCAACGCGGCTGGTCTCATCTGCAAAATCCGCCAGGTGATGCATGTGATCTATTGCCAACATCGTTGCTGATCCGACTCGTATTTCTTCTATTTTCGTATTTCATTCCAGTTCTTCTCACTCTGACCTTTCTGCTACGCAGTCTCAACTACATTCGCAATACGGATGGCATTCAGTCGCGCGAAATCGTAGACGCTCGACTTCGACATCATCGTCAGTTGGTGATTCAGTCGTGTGTGTTCTATTCGTTATGGTTGATACTGTGGTCGCCTCATCTGTTGGTGTTTCCCTTTTACTACAAGAGTAGTCGAGTTGGCATAGTTGCTCAAATAATGAACTACATGAGTATTGCAGTTGATCCGGTGGTGATAGCAGCGTTGGATGTTCGATTTTTGAACGCGTGGAAATCGTCGGGTGATCATGTTGATCGACAAGTTAGGAGAAAACGATCCGTAAATATTCCAATTATTGTCTTATCAAGTCCGACCGAATCCTCGAAACATACTCCAGAAGACAATTTCGATAGCAAGTGATTTTTGAGTCTTAATAAATGTCGTGCAATTTTATTTCTTACGAATATAATTTATCATAAAAGTTCATCAGCATCTTAATCTTTCACATTTTTCACAGTACTCTCTGATGCCTGTAAGATAAAGAATTTTTTGTTTAAAATTAGTGTTCGCAGATCATATTATTCAGTGGTCTTATAGGGTGAAAGAAACATTGATCTACACAGTCGTCTAACCTCATCTTGGTGTAACATTGACCTGGTGTAGTTGATGCGTGTAAAAAAGACAAGTTTAAAGATGCTGCCGAAAAGCATAGCATGCTTAAGCATCAATAGCTTATGGCCATAAAGAATGCATGTAAATGGTAAAGAACTCGCAATTACAAGATATTCATTTGGAAAATGGAAAACATCAAATACCTTCGTCTAGAGAATATTGAAAATTTGTCTTGTAAATCAACTGATTTAGTGCATTTCTGTATACCACTTTATTGAGGGAAATAGTCTCTTTCGGTTAAGTCTAATTGTGAATCGAACAGAAAATCAACGTTCGATGCATTCGTTTCATCTCCTTCTTCGACGCTTTTTCTTACATATCATCGATTATCACTGTGAAATCATTCATTTTCTTATCTTAACTTTGTTGTGTCTGTATTTTTGCTTTAGTCTCTGTCAACCACGCGGTAATGCATATTATATTGATTCCACATTAATCATTGTTCTATTGATCTTTGTCGCATTTTCCTACTGTGTACCTGTTAGTCTTATGAGAATAGTTCTGTTTGTACATTTATAATGCTGATGAGAGTTATTTTGGGAAGAAAGTAACAACAGTGCAATAAGAGTAACAGCGACGATTAATCAAGAAGGTCGCTTTATGCGTCTACCATTCTCTTCAATCGCGTGCACACTGCTGAAAGCAATAACACACAAATGGATGTCATGAATTGGAATTTATGCTTTTTTTCTCTCGAATATCATGAACAAACGTTTGCGTCACTTTATTTCAACAAATATATAATTACATAGCATGAAAATTTCTCTCGAGCATTTTATGTTTTTAAACTGACGTCGCGACTGCGATAGAATCGACCATTTTGTGCTAATTCGCGTTGAATACGTTTTGGTAATGTTCCCGTAACTGAGACTGCATACATTCCTTTGACGTTGTGCGAAATGCGTTGCCATTTAGCTACCCAAGATTCTTCCTGTTGCATCAGTGCAATCATACCTTCGAAATTACTTGATGTACAATCATAAACACGTTCACGATTGCCTTTCATTGGCATAAAATCTTCACAATTATCGCATCCATCATCTTCGAACATGGTAACACTTTTAATCAATGAACATACCAAACAAGCACGTAAGTTTCGTAGGTCACGTGGAACACGACGGCGATCGTCACCCATCTACAATTAAAAAAAACACATATGATCAGAACAAAGTCGTTTTCCGTTGAATTGTATGGCACTCATTATCTGACCATGTCGTTTCAGATAAAAAAAAAAGGCGGTAGAAAACATAAGAAGAAAAAAGTATTCACTAAAAAATGATTTGCTACAAATTTCACAGCAACACATTAAAAAAGCAACAACTAAGGGGTACTAAATGATACAATATGTATCGGGTAATCTTTAAGGCACTGATATAATCTATGATACTGTAGGAAAATCAAGTAGAAAAAACAACGACGACGACATAGTAACATTGTATATTGTACAGATACGCCAATCAAGCTTCTAAAGTAAAAGATTGGTTTGTTAGATATGTAATTATAGGAAATAAAACATACGTGTAGAGTTTCCACCAAATTGAGCAAGAGTTGCACGAAGTTCTTGTAATTCACTACCAATAAAATCATAGACCAGCGCACGAGAGGTATTATTCTGTTGACGAAGTTTAGGTGGTAGTGGTGGTCGATACTCGTTCTCATCATCATCGTCGTCGACGTTCTTAGCGCTACCATTAGTTTTCGGTGGTAGTTGATAATGCTCCGAATGAATTAAATCATCCGTATACTTCTTTGTTAAAGATGATTTACTCATTGGTTTGTGTTGTTTAGGCATGAGCATTGGTGCATCATCATCAGGCAACTGTGTCTTTTTTGGCGACGAGACTTTGGCCTGTTCGATATTCATATAGCTTGTTTTCTTCGTTTGTATTTGTTCATGATCGGTGACAGATTCAGATTTTTGTACCTTCTTTCTTTCAGGCAATTGAACATTGTCGTAACCAGTGAGAGGTGCACTACTTTCGTCATCTACATTACAACTATCACCTGTGGACTTCGGTATTGGACGATAGATATCTTGAAGCTGAGGCTAGAAGAGAGCAGTTTTCGAATTGCATAGAAAAATTGGAATATCATGGTACTTTTTTCGAGATTTTCTCCTCGCGAGTTAACGAATGATGTTCTTTTGCGAGCAGTTGATTGGCTTGATGAATTGGTGAATCCGAGCTATGTGAAACAGAGATTGGATAGATTCTCTTTTTGATCAATCAAATAGATTCACATACAATGATTTTGACCGATCAATTGTTAAATAGCGTTCTTTGCGTTTTAATTCATTCTTGCCAACTTTTAATTTGAAAAATTCGAAGAATGCTTTCAAATCCTCAATTGGTGTGACCTACATAGGATAAGCAAACATGGCTGTCTTCGAAAATTTACTCATCTAATATATATCTATACTTGTTTACAATATTCTTCAATCGGGTGCGATCCATCATGCTTCTTTGCATGATCACCTTTGAAGAAACATGTTTGACACAGATCGTAATTGAAACAGCGGAGACACCGATAACTAAATTCAATTTTCAGTCAAATAGATCTGTTCAGCTTTTACAAAGTCTCGACTTACCGCATGCCAATAATCGGATATGCTTTACAGGTATTACATTGTGCTTCGTGACGAACTGGAAGAAGAGGATATTTTAACGACAAAAACAGAAGAAACTGATTTACTAACTGGATTCAGTAGCCATTAAACGATGCAATGTAGGTAACCAGACTAACGTCTGCGGTTCGCGCCCCATCCAATTGACAAAAATATCTTCACGGATAATTCCATCATGAGTCTAAAAAAGGCAATACTATGATAGTAATTCAACAGTAAATTCTCATTTGAATCATGATCAATGTTAAAAGTCATTTCCAGATTAGTAAGATTCTATTTGAATTAACCTAATGATTCAATTCCAACAAAGATTAATCTTCTACACGTGATCCCACCTAATTTCCTCTTATTTCCTTCATACCGAAAACACTTTTCACAACTTCATCTGATCGTTGACGTAACATATGTTCTTCAATACTATCTGCATTATTTCTTGTAACTGAAGTGAGATATTTCGACTTACATGATCTAGACAACTTTGTACACAAGCAGGTATGCTATCCGTATGAAAAGATTCAACATCGTCAAAGTAATTTGGCAGCTGAAGAGAAAGATACGAGTGAGGCAAGAATGGTCTTTCCAGATGGTGCTTTTACTTTGAGAAGTATTTCAAAGAGTTCAGTCAATTTCACTTGCGACGCAATGACATTTGGCGATGTGATTTGTCGGAAGAAACCTTTACAATAAGAAACAAGTAGTGATTATTTTACGATAAGAATCGTCGTGGTCAGCATACATCGATATTTTTCAGGTAATTTGGCATTTGACAATGCGAAAAGTATGATTTTAAATGAATTCAAGTCCAAATCTTCATTAGGCTTCCTACAAAATCAAGATTTTCTTCGATAGTATCATCATCACCTTTACTCACACATCAAGAATTTCACATAAAAACGTTAATAAAGCTTCTACTGTGTCTTGGACACTCAGTGCATTGAAATGATACGTTGAAATCAATTCATAAGTCGCTGTTAGAACTTGTCGTGCTTCATCTATACTTATGTATTTCGTTTCTACGTCAAATTGAATTTGATGAGTATTAAAGGCTCGTACGAGAACATTGTAGTCTACATAAGTCACTAGAAAAAAAACATGAGAGAAATGAGAATTGGTTGTAATTTTTCATATGAATTTACATTTCAGATATTTTTGCAAGACACGAAGTTTACAAGCGACACGATAAGCAGCGAATTTGATTGCCGATAAGGTATCTACATGGAATATATTCATTTGAATAGTACATGTCGAATGTAATACAAAAGAATTTACCCAGTTTTTTGACGATTGTATCGTACAGCTTCTCATTGGAACTGAAATTCGAGATTATTTATGATGAAAACAAGTGAAAAAATCTTACTCATTTTCAACGCCATTAGTCGCTGTCATTGTTTCAGATATGAGGTGATTGCATGTAATTTATCAATCAGTATCACACATTTGTTTATTTATTCTCAACGAACTGTATGTCAACAGTGATAAATAGAAGAAAAATTAATATTCGGTCATTAAAAAAGATTTTTTTTTTCATGTAGAGAAATAGAATAGTTTTTTTTTCGGGGTTTTATTTAATCATTTTACTAATCGAGCGACATCTAACGTCGAGTGTCGTAACTAAGAAACAAATCGTGTTCGGAGTATATCAATGAGAAATTCAAATTGATCATTTGTATTTCTTAGTGAAATAATTGAATACAAAAAGAAGCATGTTCAACGGACCGTACCGGGAAACACCGGGTTCTGTAACCCTTCAATCAACTGTCCCAATGGAATACAGTCGAGCAGTGTTAACAAATATTTGGTAGGAATATTCAATGTATTTCTAACTAATGATTGAGTATTATATTGTATAGGCATCAGAAACGTGAAGCAGAACCGAAAGATAATGATATTAATACACTTCCTATTCGAAATATGCATATATCAACATACAAACAATTAGCAACCGATGGAGAAGTGTGGAGTTCATTTCGGAATATAACAAAAAACCTTTTTTTTCGATTCCATAGACGAAGTTACCTAATCCGACGACGAAAGATCAACAAGAACAACCATTTCTTGAACGACCTTGGTACGTTGAACAAGAATATCCCCGTAAGATGATCGATCAGGCCAATGTAAACTTTGCCAATGCCACATTAAACGGGTTTGTTGTTGGCAAATTTTCTTTTCCACATATTCATTCCATATCGTTTTCAGATTACTTCAACGAAGTGATTCACAAGTGACTGGTAAAGTCTTACCACCACGAAATCCTCCGATGCATGGTAGTGGACCATTAGAATCAACCTATCATGCAGATTATTGTCCACCTTATCCATACGAAATGAAAACAGTTGCACATTCGGATTATGCTGACAAAGTAAATGAAAACTGTGGATAGTCCATGTATTGATTTCTGTTTTCTAGAGCTATCCGAAATATCCCGATAAATCCTGGGGACATCGAAGAATGATTTCACATTTCACCGACCTAGATCAACCCAAACGAACTGGCATCAACACATTTCATGTTCAACATGCACAATATGAAAATGAACAGATGCGCCGCGAATTAGGTCATTTTCAACCTTCCCAAATTCAGTGATCGACTTTAACATTTCTATTTTCTTACTGATTTGAAATAAAACGCGTCAATATTGATATGAACATGAGAATATTTTCATGTTGAATAACGACTAAGTCGCTTTCATAGATCATGTATATATCAATCACCGTTTGTTGACTTGACCTTTGTTTTCGTCATTGATCCGACCACCATTTGTACATAAAAAATTTTCTTCTTCGATTGATTGTCTCACGCATTCGATATACACGCATTGTTTACTCTTTTGTCTCTCATTACTTCATGTTTGTGTAGACTAAATATGCATCTTCTTTTCACACATTCGACACACGATGAAGAAATGCTCTCTTGACGAAAGTTTCTCTCATACACAGGTATGTCTCCAAAAAAGAAGCTTTTCTCTTGAAATTGAATCCATGTGTCACCAGCATGGAAAGAAAAGTAGGCAAAGAATGAGAAAAACTGTAATAGAGTGATAGAGAGTAAGAAGAAAAAAGCTTTCATCTTCCTCATCTTCTCTTTTTGCTTGTTCGTTATTTTATTTTACTTTTCTCTTCTGACTCGTTTTCACTGTCCGTCGCATTCTTCTTTTCTGCTCAAGATAATATAATATACTTGGTTCCAACACTTCATTTCTATTCTTTTTATGTTCTCGTTTTTTCCGCTTCGTCGTATATGTCACTATGATTAAATGATAACATGGGTCAATAATCGACGTGAGAGAGAGAGAGAGAGAACCGACAAGCAAACGCGTTACAACATTTTGCTTTTGATTGTAAGTAAAAATACTGGTTCAAGACGATCTACTTGACAAAGCAGATCGATTATGCAAATTAACCCTGTAGATTGAAGTGTGATGATTTATAAAAAAGAGAAAACCTCAGTGCATTGAACTCATTCTCTCGAAGATTTATGATCGGAGTATAAAGACATAGAAAGGCATACGAATGGCAGATAGACCTATACTCAGTATTTGAGATAATAATTATTTCCTTCTTGTTCCTCTTTTTGTATTTTCATCATCGTCAATCTTATCATTTACTTTGAAATTCTTTCTTTTTATCTTCGAATGGAGACATATGTAGACACTTCTTGTCATCATTCATCGCTTCTGGCATTTCCACAATTTTCTTTCGTATTTTAATGAAGCAAACTGTTAATATAGGAGAAAAAAGGCAAGTTTTTCTTTCTTTATTTAAATATTTTTTTTTCTCCAACATTATTCTTCCTCTCACACGTTCCCCTTTTCCTCTCTACTCGTCGGTTTTTATCTTATTTCTCCATTTATATGTAAAACAGCGTTGAAATCTAGCAGCTTCAGTTAACAACGAGAAAGCATTCTATCTGAATTTCATGGTGAGTTTCAAATGAATATGAATGTTGAACTAACGAGCTGATTTTCTGACATATATTAAACATCTTCATGTGTGTCTCGCGGTAGGTGACCTTTGCTCCAACATCGAAGAGAAATTCTTTTCGCGTTCATTCGCATCTCATTGTTGGACACAATGGATGAAGGTGTACGATTTTGCCTTGTTCGTAGTTAATTTCTCAGACAACATGAACACTAATCGTTAATAAGTTTTTCTGTATACACTTGAAAATTTTTTTCGTGTCTTATTACTATTATTGCCACGGGCGTGCTGTTTTATGATCAGAAGCTTATTCGGTTCTGTTCTTAATCTTGATGAGAGAGAGAAATTGAAGAAAAATAGTCAAGAACATTTTTTTACACAATCGTAAAATGAGACAGGCAAGGCAATGAAAAGAACAAGAGAGGGAGAGAGAAAGAAATCTGTATTTACAAAATCTGAAAATGAGAAAGAGAGAAGAGAGAGGAATAGAATGACAGGTGAATGTGCTCTTTCTCATCGCTATTGCCACCAATAATATCGGAAGTATATATATATATATAAATCTATGCGAGTAAAAAAGAAGAAGGAGAGAAAATATGTGAGACAGAAAAAAATCTTATTAACAACACCAAAAGAAACAAAACTTTTTCTCGCATATTTTTTTCGTCTTTTTGGACAAATCAATTTCTACTTCATTATGTCGCAATTAGCGACACTTATTCGAGTAGCTAAACATGCACTTGATGGTTCCACTATTTATCCTCATAGCGGACAAAATACCATCTACTATCAACCTTTGGATTTATCATCCATACCAACGAATTCAGTTTCGCCAAGCAAATATCTTTCTTATACGATTCCACAAGCCCGTGAACAGCTCACTCCATCGGCAAGTGTTCGTATATTCTTTACAGTTCTATTTGTATTTCATTTTCTGTTGATCGTGATTGAGATGGAGAAAAGATGCATTTGACAGTTTTCATACCGAGCAGCGAACCAATTCTCTCTCTCTCTCTCTCGCTTCTGTTTGTTCTGTTTAACTAGAACGGAAGCCGAAATGCGTCTAAGCAATGAAAGAAAGAGAATAATCTTCCAACAAACGAATGGACATTGTCCTTTCTAATCCTCGTGCAATCGAATTTTATTCGTTTTTTTTTTCTTTTCGTTTCTGCCAAGTAATGACCGCAAGGTAACATTTATTCGAGAGATTGTTGAGCAGGTCGTCGTTCTTCAAATAATAGTAATCATCATGATCATAGACGCGAGAAAGAATCGAATTGTAATCGAATTTTTCTTCAAGAACATATCCATCTATTATTGTTTTTTTTCTCTTTTTTAGCGATCGATGAAGGTACGAACTCGTGTGAATAAATCGATTTCAAAAAGAAAATCAACATATGTTTTTCTTATCTTCTCTCATAGCGTTTACTTTCTAACGATCTTCCAGCATCACCACCAGCGACGAAAAATCTCTCGAACGAAGTAGAAATCATGAATAATAATAATAATTCGAATAATCTCCATCAAAATGGAGATAGTAATGAAGCCAAAAAAGTATGTGCATCTCGAAATTCAATCAGGGATTTTAATACATCTCTCACGTTATTCTTAGGCTCGTATCGAAAAAAGTTCGCCATCGCGCGTTGGTAAGTGCAAATACATACGTGACGCTTTCAAGAACTAGCGGAGTGGTTCGGTTTAGTTCATCTGAGAAACACTGATGCAAGCGAACTGGAGATTGTTCAGTTCGGACTGGCATTTGGAAGGATTACGAATGTACTCAATCTACGAAAGAAAAATCAGGTTTGTATGATTGTTTTCCGCGACTAGTCAATATGAAATCCCATTTGGTTGTAGGCATTTTTGGAATTTGACAGTATTGAACATGCACAAGCGATGACAGATTATTTTTCTTCATTACCGATCTTGTTAAATGGCCGACAGATCTTCGTTCAATTTTCTAACCATCAAGAACTCAAAACAGATCCCAATAATGCGAATAATCAACAAGCACAAGCTGCCTTACAGTCAGCCACGCTTCTTCAAGAAATTGCCCAAGCAGGTGGACCTAATTGTGTATTACGTGTTGTTGTGAATAATATGATCTATCCCGTTAATGTCGATACATTTCATCAGGTAGAGGAGAGAAATACTTAATTATTTGGTAAATGTCAAATTGATTTTTGTTTATTTAAAAAACAGATCTTTAGTAAATTTGGTGTTGTTTTAAAAATAATAACATTTACTAAAAACGGTAAGAGAGGGAGAGAAAAAACGAATAATCACTTTTCAGTCGGCACTCGTTCGTTCCCATGTAGATAAATTTCAAGGTTTAATCCAAATGAAAGATGCAGCAACTGCACAAACAGCCAAAATGGTAAAAACTTCATTTGAATCAATGCATTTTTTCACCTTATTTATCTATTTGAAGAATTTAACAGGACAAAATATTTACAATGGTTGTTGTACATTACAAATTGATTATTCGAAACTGCATGCTTTAAACGTTAAATATAATAACGATAAAAGTCGCGATTATACCAATCCCATATTGCCAGCAAGCGAAAATTCGAACGAGTCAATCTCAATTGGCGCAAGATACCTATCAGGCATGCCAAATGTTTTTGGTTCCTCCATAATGGCACTTGCAGGAGCGCCATTAACAACACTTTCAGCAATGAATAATGGAGCAATTCACTTTCCAGGTAGACAACTTTTCCTATCATTTCTTTCTGAATTCATTCTCGAAAAATTCAGCATCAAATGCCGCAATGCTAAATGCTAATCAATTAGCTCAACAATATACGACAGCAATAGCATGTTCAAATCCTTCTGCAACATTATTAACCACAGCTGGTACGAACCAATCACCATTATCGCTATCGACTTTATCTCAGCAACATCATCATCATCATTCGCATGCAACAGCATCAAGTCCTTATATATTTCTTTCAGCATCAGCATCAACAACATCATCTGATGAGGTATGTGTCAATGGTGGTAGTGGTGCTCGTGTTATTCCGGGAAAAACTGCAAATCTATCTTCACCTTCTGCTCTTTATTTTTACAACAACAACAGTACACCCACCATGTATCCTGCTGATTTTCTGCGCTTGTGATATAGAAACTTTATATACATACACTATTGCATTCTTCTTACATTTTCTTGTGTTATTTACCTATATACATGGTGCTCTTTGAACACTATTACTTATCACTGAGCTCCTTTTTGTTTTTCTCTGAGACATTCCGTCCTTTCTTATTCGCTTGTTTTTCTGTCGTTTTCCCTGTGAATTCGATCTTTTACCGGCATATAGCAGACGACAATCATCGAATCTTGCTACTTGTCCCTTCTTTTCTTTTCTTTCTGTTCTTATTGAAACCTGATTAGGCTGGAAATCATGATCTGCTGATTCATATACAGTATCGTTTTGGTTTTTCTTTTGCTTCTTATTTGTTATATTCATTGGAAATTTTCTCTTTTGCGCAATTTTCATTTTTTTTCTCTTTCTCTCTCGTCTTGTTTATCTTTGGAATTTTGCAAACGTGTGAATGATTATCCTCTTTTCCGCTTTCTTTCTCATGCAAATAAAAATCTTATCTCTTTTTTTCAGTTGTTCCTGCTCCATTGAATTGAAATTTCTTCACTAAAGGTAATACCACCATTCTATCAAACATCTTCTCACATCCTTATCTCCATCTTCGGCACATACATACACGTACATATATTTTTACATATCTCCTATCTTCTTTGTTACCAATGATTGACTTCTGCATAGATATATTGAAATTTTGAATCTAGCGAACAATCGAGTACTGTTCTTATCCTTTTCGATACTATTGCCCGGGATTATTTGTTCGTGTCGTTATTCTTATCCTTACCATTTAAACATCTTGTTTAGAAAACAATTGCGTGTGCTATTCTTTCTATCTTATCCTTGTACTCGATCACAGATGAATTTCCAATCAGATACTGTCGCTTATTCTCATTTTCATAATTGCACTCTCTCAAGATCTCCTTCTTCCAGAAAGCAAACAATATTCATTAGCTTATTGTGCTTGATCTTCTCTTGAAATGAATATGGAGCTTTTATGATTCAGGTAAGTTTGCACCGATACAAACAGATTTCTTTATTTTCTTTTTTTTCAATAAAATGACGATTTGAAATGATCTTTACAACCCTCTTGACTGAAGATAAAATATGTAAATGAGACATTGTTGAAAAGTTTATAACGTATAAAAAAAGCAATTGAATTCAATGAATCATATTGTGATTTGCTCATCAGACAAGTGAGGCGGGGAGGAGCTTGAGAAGTTTCTTTTAAAGCTTTCACGGAAATAGAGAACATTTCTGAAATTGATTGTTTCCGCGCCGAGATAATAATTTGTTGATTTTCTCATGTCCAATGTGACGAGAATTTCTTTGATTTTCCTCACAATTTTTTCCTGTATTCATAATTATTGTCTATATTTCCAAACTTCATCTTCGAATCTAAGTAATTTCTGTCAATCACGTGCATCTGAACGAACTATCGAAGCATCCTATAAAGAATGTCTACTATGCGAGATAAGTTTTCTGTCAATCAATTCAATCAGTCAAGCCGACAATTGCACACATATATTCGAATGTGTTGAATTCATCTTTCACAATGACACACTGTTCGAACAGTTCTTTCAAGGATATGCTTATCTTATACCAAATCTATTTAAACCATCCGGTCATTCACACATTGAAAAATCTCTGCATATTCAAATCAAACGCGATAACTATCAGAAATTGAATTTCACTTATTTGCAATCGATTTTACATTCGAATGGAATCGATTATTCATTTCTAACATTTAGTTTACGAGCTAATCGAAAGCGAATTCACTTAGATTTGCAAACAAATTTTTTCAATCTATCCTTACATGCAGTGCGAATTGAAATCTTTTGTAATGAAACGACGAAGTATTTCTATGATGTCACTCCAAGTACAAATTATAGTTCGCAATCGCACGTTTGTTTCGATGGGGAATATAAACTGCCAACGGCGACAAAAACGCCAGAAAATGATTCAAAAGTCAGACTCAATCTTATCCTTTTCGTCACTGGCCTGATTGTCTTGTTGATTTGGATACTTTGCATATGTACGTGTTTATATGCAAGATATTGTAAATGGAAAACAAATGACACGGCTTATCAACGATCAAGTATTGTGTCAAGTGTGTTCAGTTTGGATAGTACAGTTAGCGATCGAACTGAAAACATGTCATCAACGAAGCAAGTGAAACAAGTGGGAAGATATGGTTTATACGCTTATAATAATGAATTGTAAACTTTTGTAAGTTTATCACATGATTTTCTTGTGAAATTAACGATGATTTATATAAATGAGATTATTTTTATATTAGTGCTTGTGTGGAAGTAAAGAATTTAGTTAGGGTACGAATCACTTCGATATTTACATACCTTGTTCGTTCTTGATCTATTCATATAGGATTTCTTGGCTTTTTTTATACAAAAAAAAATGAGGACGAACAAATGAAGTACAAAATAAAGTTAAATATTTGTTTTGATCACCGAACATATGAGATATATACATAAAAGAACAAAAATATGTTGTACATAGGGACAATACAATGTGTCAGACATAATTCATTATTGATAATAGATTACATGACGAAAGGTGATTGATTTCATAACTGCACATCAGTATTTAACTTCGTCGATTATTATTGTTCGATTGTTGTTGACGTGATGAAGATGACTGATTGGAAGAAACGATGCTCGGTGCTGTACCGAACATCGAATTGAATAAAGTCGGATCGAACATAGTTGAACTGAGTAATTGAGGATTAGATAATGCAGCAGCAGCTAATTGCAATGTTGCTGTATCCCATTGCAGTGATTGTGGCAATGAGGATGGTATTGCCATCGAAGATGTATGACTACGGTTGGACTAGAATTGTACGACCATTATGAATGTAAGGTTTCGTCAAGAATGTGTTTGTTCATACCTGAGATTCGTGTGTACCAGTAAATGTAGATGTTGAACGGCGAGATGCTGGTGAGACAGACGACGACTTTGATGTTGATGATGATCCGACATTTGCTTGCGATCGATTACTTGATGAAGATGTTTTTTGTTGCTGAATCTAAAGGAGAAATTATTTTGAATACCGACTCTCTTGAAAAGAAAATTAGCAGGATTTTACTTGTTGCTCATTTTTATGAGAAGAAAAATCGACTGAAGAACGACTCGAACTACTCTTATGCGATCCTGACGAACGGTGGGGATTAGGTGTTGAGCTTTGTACTGTTGCTGATGGTTTGGAAGCAGATGCAGATGTAGATGGAGTCGATTTAGGACTGTGATGTGATTTACTGAGCATGTTATCAACTGCTAATGGTGATGATGACATTTTCGGTGATGATGATGATGATGCACTAATCATAAGTGCGTCTTTAAGAAAAGATGAAGCCGAAGACTTTTCTGAGGGAAGTTTGGTAGCAAATTGTTGCTGTTGTTGTTTCGAATGACTACTTGAGGAGGAGGAGGATGATAATGAGGATCTGTATGAAGATGACGATGGATCTTTGTTGGATGAGGAATGTGAATGTGCTTTGTGTGGTGCAAGAAGTAATTCGTCGGGTTGTTTTTTGAATTGTGAAAATATATCCATTGTGAGATCCAATACAGAAGGTAAGTTTGGAGTAGAATTACGTTTAGTCGCCGTTTCAGGTTGAGAAGCAATGGATGGCTTAACAAGAGACCGATTTAGATCTATTTTGCTTGATTTATGTGAAGACTGCTCAGATGACTAAATAAGAAGCAATTAAAAAAAAAGAATCATGTCTGTTCAATCTATTTACTTGACTGGATGTTGATCCTGTCGGTGAAGGACGTGAAGTATGTTGTTTAACAACATTCGTGGAAACCCGTGTCGCCAATTCTACTGTTTTCAACGGATTGCTATTTGATGAGATATGATTTAAAGATTTATTTTCATTAGTTTTTATTGCCGTTTGTTGCTGCACTGGCTTCGTTGGAGATACATGAGTATTTGAAACTTTTCCAGGTAGTGGCGGCGCCGGTAATAATGGAATTGCCGTCGAGTCCTTCTTCACTCGTTCAGCTGCTGGAGATAAAGGTGTTGTTCGATTCGCCTAAAATAATTCATCATCGGTTGCTTCCGGTGAGAAAGAATTTTTACTTGAGATGATGGAACTGGTGGCGGATTTGGATCTTTCAAAGGTCGATATTCCAATCGAATGACTTCGCTGGTGATTTTTCTGTTCATAAACAAAATTTCAAATGATTCAGTCTTATTTACGATGAGAATTTATACTTCGCTGTCATCCATCCTGATTTTTCCCATAGTGGAACGATTTGATCGTGAAGAAATAACTCCAACGATTCTAAATCAAGTACCGTCATTGATTCAAGCTTACGATCTAGACAACGAATAATGAGTTCACTGAAATAAAGAGAAGGTTACATGTCACGTCAAAAATTCGACTGAAATTATTATCAACATACTTTATTGTTTTGTACAAACGAAAATTCTTCCTCGGTCCACGATTTTTGTCTTTCGACGGATTTTCTGCCATTTTTTGTTGCCACTCTCTAAATGAATGCAATCGTTTCCATACAAAGAAAATAAACAATCTTTTCACAAACTTGACTGCTTGATTGTGTGCTTGTATATGAATCTCTAACGAACGATTAATTTCTGCTTTCAGTTTGTTCTTCATTTCACTCAATGAACTCAAAGGTGCCGATGGTTCATAATCATTCAGTAATATCAAACGAGCTCTTGTTACTAAGATTTGTGCACAGATACCAGTCTTAGTACTTAAAATATCAAATGCCAATTGTCGATGAGCATTCGTATGTCGATGTAACTTCTTGACCAGACTAGAAAACGAAAATAATATTCACTGGAGAGAATAATTCCGACTCACTCGAGTAATTCGCGACAGATTGTTGGATGAAAAAGGCGTTCGATTTTCTTTTGCTTGTTATTCATTGTTGACTCAGACACAATCAACTAAATTAAAAGAATGGCTGCGTGACAATTGAAAATACGAAACGTACTTTGACTAGTTTATCGATGCATGGTTTAACATCACTTTCCATTTCGTTTGGTAAGACATAAGAAACGGCATCTGATGTTGATTGTACGGGAATTGTTTCAGCTAGTTTCTGAATCTTTTTCACTGGTTCCTCGACTGGCTTGTGACTTTTAGTTTTGTCGTCAAGACTGACCGGCAAATTAGGTGCGGTAACTTCTGATACGCTTCTAAAACACAATAGAACTAGTATAAGATTCTAGTTATGCGTCATGCAGAAGAATTCGAACGCGAATCATGGTAATTAGGAGAGAAAATAATAGATGTGTATGTTCTTTCATTCTAACATACCGTTTTCGCTTAACAGTAGATGGCTTCGTTGCAATGTCGTCAACTGTTTTGCTCTTCTTTGCTGCCTATATAAAAATTGAAGTGTAAATCTTCCCGAAAGATGATCATAGCATACTTTGTCATTTCCATCATCTTCTCTCTAAAAATAATTATGAAAATTTATAAAAAGTTCTTTTCGTTCTAGTAAATATGACTTACATCAGTAGTCTTTTTCGTTTGCTTTTCATCTTTTTCACTTTCACTCGATTCATCGTCATCATCATCATCGTCACTATCGTCATCCTCTTCTTCTTCGCTTTCCGATTCACTCGGATCACTCAGATACCGAGCATTAATTGGCTGATGCTTTTCATTGACATAAAATCCATCCCGTTCGTTCGTCATATTCCTCGGTATAATATCTTGAGCAGCCGTCGAATCATCAATAAATGAATCATCATCTTCAGGATCATTATAACCAACACCTAAGTTTGCATTTTGCTGATCGTTATAATCCATTAGCGCATGGATAATATCGGATAATGATGCGTTTTCATCAACTGTGGTCTAGATAATAATTCAAGAATGAGAACAATTTGAAGAGAGTAACTACGTACGTCACGTTCGGCAAGAATTTCTTTGACACTTTGTTTACCACATGCCTTTACATAGGAGCTCAACACCAACTCCAAACTTTCTTTATCGTTTTTCTGGAAAATAAATAATGAAATTTCGTTTGAGAGAGGTAAATGTAACTTACAAATCTGGTATCATTCGCGATTAAATCTAAGAAAGAGATTTCTTGTGGTTTACTATCAACGCTAACAGGGAGATTTAATTTGATTTCGTAAGATAGGGTAGGTAGGTGAGATGGATCTCGAGTTTTTTTGCCTGTTAAAGACATCTGAAAAAATTCGAAATATTCATGCAATTGTGTTCATTCCATATCGATTGAATATAAAAGTATGAGAAAAAGAAAATCAAACCAACGACCAGCTTGAAAGATGATCAATGAATGGAGAAAAGAAAAATGAATTGGAGATCTTTTTCATAGATGTCACTTTACATTAGTAGAACACGGTTCTTCTGGAATGCTATCGATCAATGGTGTCTTTGTTGTAGCATAAAGTTCGATCGTATCGTCATCGGGTAAGAAATGATGTGAAAGTAATGATGAACCAGATTCACCCGCCGATTGCCGTTTAGGTTTTGTACGATTATAGATAATAACAGGTGTCGTAGGAACGTCGCTGACTGTTGCAGTTGTTGATGAACGTTTCGTACGCTGATAAGCAAGAAAACTATTACGTATAGAATATGATTCAGTGCTTTGTCGAACACGCCAGATTAATAGAGCAACTCCGAGAATTAATATGATCAAACCTAATACCGGACCGGTAAGGATTAGAACTAATGGCCGGTACTTAACGTGAGCTTTTAATGTGGATATCGGCTGTATAATTGCTTTGGTTGAGTTCATGTAAGATTCCGGATAGATCTTCGTTTGATTATCAACTGAATCTTCGTCGTTGCGAATAGAATTCGCAGTACAATTGTCACATGATGATATGTTATTTGATTCATTTGTGAAAATCAACGAACTCGTTGTTGAGTTTAATGGAATGATTTGTGTTGTCATTTGTTCAATGGACGAGGTATTTATAGGAGTTATCGCGGTAGGTATAAGTGTAGTGCTGGAAACTTTCATTCGCATTGGTTCAGTTTGACAAATAGGATATCCACCATTAGTGCATGAATCAATTAGAGAAAAACCTCCAATTGAACGCGTAAAATAACGTAAGAAACATTTTTCCGGACTGATTTTGTCTCCTAGGAGTAAACGTATTTGTTGGTTTCTATTTGCTGTCAGTTCTGTTCCCATAGGGAGCTTCTTTTCTAAGATATAGTAGAAGAATTCTAATAAAATATCATTAAAAGTTCGACCGAGAAATCTGGAAACATTTACATTCGCCCATTCATGAGAATTAAACGTGACTAGAGTACTGTTCGAATGTTGACTGGCACATATTTGTTCACCCGCTTGAATACCATAAGTTAGTGATGGGTCTGCGTAGTAACACATTCGATTGAATAAAGCGAATTCAGGAGGACAAGTCAACGTTTCGTTCGTCGAAATTTCCGGTCCAACATTTCTAAATTTGATAAAAAACACTATTCAATCTTTCTTTAAATATCCTCAGCGCATTAATTCATTGTGAAATGATAGTTGAAATGTCTCAGGTGAAATGCTTCATTGGTCTACAGTTCGAATCTCTCTACCGGTTACATCCAAAATGATGATACACCGAGTCTGATAATATCTCTATGATTTTCCAAGATATCCATTAAAAAATCTACACAAATTGATCTTATCTGATTGGATCACACCGGTTTCCTAGTATAAAAGAAAAACACACGTAACATACGTATTTTGAAATTCTTCATCATGTGGTATAGCCGATGGGTACGGTTTTTGCGCACATAAAACGGACCCTGGCGGACGTGCAAGTAGACATTGAATAAGTTCACCTAAGACAGCATTCGAATCGGTTCGTTTAATAACTACACACAATAGATTCGATGATGATACTAAACTATTCGATTTAAACAGATCTCTATAGAGATACGTCGAATTTCGATCGATCTGAATGAATAAATTTGTATTGGTTACCCATGATGAATGAATCAAATAATTCCATTGTTCACGCGTTTTAATAGTAATTGGTGAGCATTTCTGATCATAATTTATTGTCGAAATTGATATGAATCGACGAAGTGTAACGAGTTTCAAACATCGATAAAAGATTCGATCAAATGCAAATGCACCTGGCTCTATGGATGAACAATAATGATGTACATCGATTTTGACTAATGTATCAACATTCGTTTCAGAATAATATTGTCTACACGAATTGCCAAATCCTTGACAAATACTTGGAAGAAATGAACAATGTGTTAGCGGTTTTCGTATTGCAGCAGTTTTAATCGGTGGAGGAAATTCAATTGGTAGACAATAACAAGACTTTTTCCGCGAGAGAAAATACGCATAGTAATTCGCTCCGTGTAACATCCAACAGTGTTTTCGACAACGATCCAGTGCGGTAGCGAAATCGAAATTCGTTAATGGAATAGTCATGCGAACATACTGGATATTCTCCAATTCATAACAACCATCGAATGACCAATCATCGCTGACTGATGACGTTAGCAATGGTAATGGTGTTGAATCTTTTGTTATCGAATAGATCTGCACGCTTGTGTCTGGACAATTGTGATCAGATAAATATTCACCCAGATGCTCGTTGAGTTCATAGAGTTTGCTCAGTGTAGACAAACAAATGCATGTTGTGTTTTGCTTGTCGAGCAGAATTAACCAGCGACGACATAGACGAAAACATAAACCAACTGACATGTTCGAACTTGAATATGTTTGATAAGGTAAAAGATGATTTTCTTGAAGATTTGTCACGATGAATTGTTTATTAGATTTCAGCGTTAAACAACCAATTTGAAAATGTTTCGTCACGGCTAAATCTTCTACCGAGCTCAATGCTATTACAAGATGAATACCATAGAGGAAGACTAATGAGAAGAACATTGTTAGTTTTCGTTTTATTTCCAAATGAATCAAAGTGAGAAATTCTCTCATATAATATTCGATTTCACTTCAACAACAAAGAACAACTGTTCGTGAATATATTACATTTCAACTCCTGGTACCTGCCCAATACCATACTCGGAGAAAATACGTGAATGGCTATCCTGAGTTTAAATTCTTATCTCTGAAGAAGAACAAAAACAGGAAGCGTTTCAATCACACGATATTAATTTGCTACACTTTAGAAAGCAAAAATCATTTTCATTTTCGTCTATATGACTGTATATGTACAGCGTCGTCTCACGGATGAGATTTGTAATGGTTACAAACAATCAGCCAATCGAATTGCTCTATTCACCTGAAACTGAAACAGAAGTGACAGACAAACAATATGCGCACGAGTTTGATCTAGATTGTCATGAAAATTGAAACAAATGGCATGTCAAATCAGTACTCCTGATAATTGCTGTTCATCGGTGATACAAGAAAATAAACACGAACATGAATGTTGCATATGTTTGGATAATAAGTAATTTTATTCTGATTGAGTTTATGCATTTTTTACGAAAATTATATTTAGAGATTTAACGATTGTATTTGACTGCCATCATCATGTATGTTTAGCATGTTTCAAACAATATGCAATTACAAAATTGAATTCGCGTCAGTTCAAATATGATCTGGATATTGGTTATAGTCTAGGTTGCCCGAATGGCTGTGCTAATACGCTTCTTCGTGAACTGCACATCTTTCATTTGATGGATAAATCGAATGTAAATGGAACTGTGTTTTTTTTTGCCGAAGAAACATCTTTTATTTACATGTGTATTGATTATAGTACGAACGATATAAAGCATTTGGTGCTGAAGAATATGTATTGTATCATCAAGGAGTGATCTGTCCAATACCATGCTGCGGATCTGGACTAATACTAGATGAAAACAATCTAAAGATAAAATGTCCATCGTCGATTGGCTGTGGAGTATGTGAAGAGAAAATGGAAATCAAATATAATTGTTTGCCTTCGTAGAAAACATTTTGTCGTAGTTGTAAAGCACTTTGGGAAGATGAGACTGTTCAGACGTGTCCATGTCAAACAGCAAGGGAAAATGATCGCAGTCAACCAGTTTCTGTAAGCAAATGGATTGCTTAGATATCGAACTTGATGGTTTTATTTGATTTTTTAGCTTTGGAGTCAACTTTTTGGCTATCGCAAGTCAACAGCGTCATCGGTAATGATCAAAAAGTGCCCAAGGTGTTCCGTCAAAACGGAAAAAGATGGTAAAACGAAACGAATTCCATTGTAATTGTTCTAATCAATTGTTCTATACATAGGTGGGTGTAATGCGATATCTTGTACACGATGTGGCATGACATGGTGCTGGATCTGTGAGATGGAATTCCGTACAGATTGTATTCAAACTCATTGGTTTTAACGTCCTCTGTATTTTTTTGTAATTATTTTCCAAATCACTTCTCTATTGAATAGTACGAAGCTTGTATGTATGAAAAAACAACGATTATATATGCTAGTAATCGGTAACATGACATGCAGCTGTTTGGCTTATTGACAGCTAGAGATTTATCATTTGCATTCACATATAGACGTATCTGACAGCGAATTTTTTCGGTTGAATGAAGTTATGTATCATTCAACGGGAAGACATTCGTAAATATCTCGAGGAACCACGCAGTTGAGTAAAGAGCAATGGTTATTCTATTTATTTTCGGATTAAAAAAAACTAAATTTAGATTATCGGACAGATATTGTTCCGATGATGTGTTAGATGAAATTTATAGTTATGATAAAGCTTTCAACAGTGTTATCTTTTTGATTAATATGATAATCTTGTCAATATTTTCGAGGGAGTTCTAATTGTATAAGGAAATTAATTTGAAAAGTCTTGATTTTGTTACGAGGGACTACAACAAATTGGTTACTCTTGTTGGCAAACATTGCCTTCGCTGTATTTGCATGACTAATTTAGTCAATAAACTAGATGCACGACGAGATGCTGTTGCGTTTTTTTTTCCGAATTGTCATCACTCGTTCTTTTTCCTTCTTCTTCGTCTCTGTCTGTCTGTCTGGTTTTCCTTTCTTCCCCTGTTATCATTGCTTTAGCTGATGACAAGAGCGTCTTTCATCTCTCTTTCATTAGATTCTGTGTCTCCTCTTTCCTTTTCTTCTTCTTCTTCGTTTCTATTTCTTCGATGGGCATACGCCTTTTTCTTCTTTATTTCAACTCCAGTAGTTCTTTCTTCGATCCCAGAATCTACAGAGAATAGAGAATAAGAAAAAGAGAAACGAGCATGACTACTGCCAAGCTGATCATTATCAATTGCTCATCTGGATCGAATGTAACAAAAAAGAAAGAAAACTTCCAAGGTTAGAAGCACAGCTGGACTTTACACAAATTATCAATGACATCATTCATCGCTCAAACATCGTTTCTCAATTTAACTAGATGAAGCAATATTTTTGTTATTCGTTCATCATATTTCTCACGACATGTACACTAGGTAATTAATTAGCCAAACGAATACTGATGAGTAGATTTAATTATCCTCACCCTTCATTTCAGCCTTCGGAAGTGATAGAACCAATAAACTGTATCAATATTTAATGTCAAACTATAACAAAAATGTTCGTCCAGTTAGAAACAATTCCGATGTTGTTACGGTTAAACTTGGTCTCAAACTTATTCAAATAGCTGATGTGGTATGTATATAATCTACTGGGGCGACTCTGTTTTCTTTATATTTGCTTGTATATACATTATATTGAGTTACTGTGTAAAGGATAAGTAATGATCTACATAGATGCACTTGTTTCTGCACATAAGTGGATGAAATGTAAATACAGGAAAAGAAAGACACAGACATATATATACAGATACATATACATATATGGTTGAAATGAAGTATTAAGTAAAGGAAAATGAGGAAACACATCTGCTGCTAGTAGATAGCTAAGTATTGATATAATTCCTAATGGTAAGAAGTATATTTTTTCATCTGATAAGAAAAGCAAAAGGGCAATTGTCATAGATTTATCAATGTCATTTAGGATGAAAAAAATCAAATCATGCAGACACATGTCTACGTACTTCATGTAAGTTGACTCGGAGTATTTCCGAAATTTTCTCGTTGTCTTTTCATGATACATTTCAAGATTTTATCTGTAGGAATGGCAAGATTTTAGCTTCATATGGTCGCCCGAAGAATTTGACGGCGTCGAGTACATTCAAATGCCTAGTGATCTTATTTGGAAACCTGATCTTGTTCTATATAACAGTAAGTAGCATTTCTCCTAATACATATACATTTTCTTGTATCGTCACATTTCAGATGCGGATGGTGATTATCAAATAACCACAAGGTCGAAGGCACAAATTCGATATGATGGAACTGTCATCTGGGTTGGTTTGTTTGTTTGTTTATTTGAATTGAATAAATATGTTTTCTTTCTCATTAAATTGCTCAATAGAACCCTCCAATGATCTACAAATCCTACTGTGCGATCAATATTGCATATTACCCATTTGATATACAGAACTGTACGTTGAAATTTGGTACATGGACATACCATGTAAGTCGGATGTATGAGTTCATCGATTCGGATGGAACTGTAAATCCATTTTCATAGGGTCGACTAGTTAATCTACAATTTTTGACCGATAATGAATCAACTGTACTTGAACGTGGTTGGGACTTAGAAGATTATGTTCCATCTATTGAATGGGAAATTCTAAGTAAATATATGAAGGTAATGCTTGAAGATTTTCATCATCGGGTTTTTAGGCTTACCAGCTATTCGACACGAAATTGTTTATGCATGTTGTGTTGAAGTTTATCTCGATCTAACATTCGTCTGCATTGTTCAACGCAAACCATTATTTTACATTGTTAATTTAATAGTACCGTGTATTAATATGTCAGTCCTAGCTGTTCTCGTATTTCTTTTACCATCCGATAGTAAAAAGAAGATTACCCTATCAATCTCGATTCTCGTTGCTCTACTAGTGTTTTATCTCTTGCTCATTGAACTTATTCCGCCAACATCCGTCGTCATCCCGCTCCTCGGTAAATATTTACTATTTACACTCGTCATTGTAAATCTTTCGATTATTATTACAATTATTACATTGAATATACACTTTCGTCGCCATCCGACAACACATATGTTACCGTGTATAAGGAATTTCCTTCTGATCTATCTGCCAAAACTTTTACTCATGGAACGACCGCCGATGCCACAGAAATACGTTTATGTTAAATCGTCATCGGCTGACGCGACAACGGATCAATCTTTAACATTTCCATGGAAAGATGAACGGCGACGATCGATCGCTCGACGAACAGCTGATCATATTGCATACATTGCTCAACAAATTGAAAATGCCAAAAAAGAAAAGGAAGTAAGTCGATTATCGTTTGCATAAAAGACGCGGAAAGAAATGATCGATTAGAAGAGAATAGTTTGAAAACATTGGGACATCGGAAAAGGCAATCTATTCAATCTCCTTTTTAGATCGTCGAAGAATGGCGTTTTATTGCCTTAATTATCGATCGTCTCTTTCTGATTATCTTCGTGTCAGTTAGTCTTGTTGGAACGTATTTATCATTACGACGAGCACCTTCGTTCACGAAAGATTACGAACCTGTTGATCCCCGATGTTATTTATATTATCCACCTGTAAATAATTCTCAGTGGCTGGAAAAGTGTGGCACCGATTACCTGCGTAATTTATCGAATCGAAAGTTACTTTCGAATAGTTAAGATATCAACAAGAAAGACATTTGAAATACAAGAAACGAGATGTCACCGTGAGAAATACAACCGGTTTGAATGTACTGTTCTGCATGGGAACGGACGATCGATTTCGCACTGTTGAAGTTGATCATTCATCAATAATGTTAGCTGATTGATGATCGTACGAATTCTAAGGTTAAATGAGCAGGGCTTTTTTTAATATTTGGTTATTCATGAATAATCCTACTGTGTCATGTTCGTTGAGATAAACTCGAGAAAAAAATGCTGGATAGGTAATATTTTTCGGTATTTGATTTTTAATTTGTTCTTGTATAATAGTATTTAATTTTCTCAACGTTGGTAATAAAAACATCAGTGTGTAAAAGTCACGATTTTTCCCTCCACGTTTGCGATCCATGTAATCGCATAATGCACAAGTTAATTCGGTTTGAGTAGAATCGATTAAGAGAAATTCCGATAGATAAATATTACTAGTTGAAATGATTAATAAGGAAAGGAATAGAGTGAATTCTTTCTCGTCGAGTTTTAATGCTGAGATACACATGTGAACCTTTTCAACATCAAAACGAATGTTTTCGATAAACGGAAAGAAATTTTGAAATGCATCATGCAATTTGGTTTCCGTAACATTGAAGTAGTTCCATGAGGAAGATTTAAGCATTCGGTGTGAACAAAGTATAATTAGACTATGAATACTGGATTTTATCAATTGGACTTGATCAGTCACGTTTTGTAAATTCATGAAACCAGGGATACATGTTGCAAATTTGACTGAACGGTTGGCATAGTTTTTAAATTGGTTCATACAGGATAGCCAAGGTGTACTCTGATGTGAACACTCGGGAAAATTCTGTTAGATACAAAATGAAAGAAACGAAAAATGGTTAGAAGAGTTCGAGAGTTTTACTTCGAGAGTTTCTTTGTATGCTTTATGAATAGCAGATATTAAATCTTTGCTTTGACGATCCAGTTGGTCTTCGTAGTCGACGACAGTCGATGTAGATTGTGTTACTTAATGATAGAATCAAAGACAATAGAAACGATACGCAAAAACTTACGTTCATCTTCTGAACTGCTCGATCCACTAACGGTCCGTTTCGTAGTCGATCTTTTATTTCGTCTTGTTGACGGTGTCGTCAGATGAAGCATCGATGTGTGCGAAATGTGTTCGTTTCTTTGAAGCATCATTCCTAAAGTTCAACACTCGTTATCAAGTACAAAGCTTGTTACTCGAACTTTTACTTACGCATGTGATGCTTAAACAGATTACTCTGCCGTCCGATTCGACTTCCTAGATACGCGTTTCTTTTTCTTGAAAAACTCATAGAAGTTAAACTTGATACCTTCGACAGACATCCCGACTTTAATGCATCGTTGGAAACGACAATAACGACAGCCATTTCTTGTTGACGCACTGATTTCGCATGTGCCATTGTCCATACATTTATAACGGCTTGGTGCTCTTTCTTTAATACTTCTTCGGAAAAATCCCTTGAAAGAAAAATCAGCATTCTGATCACTAAATTTTCTTTAATGGAAATTTACTTTACATCCTTCGCAAGTAATCGCTCCTAGAAAATCAATGAACCGAATATCGAGCTGAATAAGGTAAGAAAAACTTACCGAAATGAATACCACTCGACGATGCTTGACAAACATAACAAGAAATTTGAGCGAAGATATCAGCAACACGTGGAGTTTGTTGTACTTCTGAAACTTCTGAACATTTCCGTAATTAAACAAATATCAATCGAAAATAAATTCAATTTTATTACCTTTCACTGTCATTCCGACAAATTTACATTTTTCAAATCGACAGTATTGACATTGCGTACGAGTATTCCTTGTTATTACACAATCTTTGCTTCTCACACATTTATACTTCAGATCTTCGCCATTAATCGATCGAAGGAAAAATTTCTAACAAAAAATACTTGATAACACAACATTCACAGACTCTTATATGCACCCTACCTTGCATGCTTCGCAAGTAATCGCGCCGCAATGCAGACCAGATGATTGTTCCCCACACACTTGACACGGTTCAAAGCGGGCTTCCAACAAGATAGATAATGGATCAGTCGGCACATCCGATCGAGCTACACTGCTTAGATCAGTATAACTAAACAATAAAATAAAGAAATTTCATAATTGTACTGAATCTTGGACAGTATCTGATGTCCGATATTCAGTACACATCTTCTTCCGTCTTCGACCAGCTAAGATAAATCATTGCTCAGTTAGATGAAGTAGAAAACGACTTACCTATAGATCGTTTTCGTTCGATAGTCATCCATTGAAAACATTGATAATCGAAGTTATATTTGTATAATCAAATGAAATCTAGTAATAGTTGATGGGTTGATGATATTCAATCTTTTATATTCAACAGAGAAAAAACATGATTCGCAGAAACACGAGAGAGAAGGAAAAAAGAGAAAAATGTGTCTTTGATTTTTTATTTGTAATCTACGAACCTGTATTGGCCAATCAGATCAACGAATGTTTACATTTTTATTTTCTCTTACTCTCTCTTCTCGTTGTCTACTGTGTGATGGTATAGTAATAATTCACATGCAAAAGTATAATTAATCATTGAGGAAGAAACGATTTTCGTGTCAAGAAATAGAAATTACAAATTGTTAATCTATTGTGATCGTATGTCCAGCCGTGTAAAATGGTCTGTTGCTAAATAGAGAACTCATACTCAGACAGAATGAATATGTCGAACCGGCATCTGTAACGAACAGCTGATCTTATGCGTCTAATATATGCCTCTGGTGTTTGCATGGTACAAAAGAAGCAAGAGGAGAAGAGAAAAAGAATTGTCCCAGATATCCGACAAAGTACTTCGATGTTCGTGACGTTGATATGATGTATGTATCGAAACAATATTGATAAGAATTATGACATTAGATCAATAGAATGAATATAAGTGTGATCAGGTTTCGGATCGTTCCATTTATCTATCATAGGAATACAGAAGTAGACAAAATAGATTGTTTAGTTTCTCGCAAGTAATCCTAAAGAACGAACTGTCGATAGTTAAGCAAATGTTAGTTATTATATATTTACTGGTAGTTTCTCAATTAAATATTCCACCGGTTCTCCGATTCCCGGAAGAAAATCTATATATGGATATCAATTTTGCAAGGAGTTTAATCATAAATAAATATTTTTCCTTAATTGAAACTTCTGAGAAATTTATAGAATTCTTGACTTTTATGTCTGAGTATTAATTGTGTCAGTTTACAACAAGTACAACAGTCGGATTTAAATAACATGATATTCTTTGGTGAATAACCATTTTGATTTTTTTTTCCACAATTCATCTTCTTTCTAAAATGGTACGCTGTACTTCTGTATACTTTCTTCTTTCTCATATTTTGTATTTAGAGAAAAACAGTTTCACTTGTTATCTCTTTATTACTTCTTCGATTAGTACAACTTTCTTCGAATTCTCAAGGTAAAGTATGACGAACTGCTGAGATTAGTCAAATGTATCTTACAAACCTTGGATCTCAGTAATAGTTAAAACAGATTGGGGATACCTCTATCTATCTATCTATATTGTGTCAAGTATTTATAGTTACTTTTATCAATTATTGAAACCACTGATGTGAAATTATAGTTTAGTTCATTGTCATTACCAATTTTTTTACTTTTGCCTATTGTTTTGGGCAGAGAGCAGTTAACTTCTTTTGAGCAGCAACGTTCTATGCATATTTTAAATACAAATATATTTTCGAAAGTGTGGCAACAATATTGAGCTCTTCCCACTAGATATGTTGAAGAGCCTTGATAGTATTTATAGGATATTTTTAAAATATTTATACTGATTTGTTTATAGTGTTTTACAATCAGCCAAAATTTTGTAATCGTTCAAATTGGGCCACGGGAGGAAACCGTATATGGTATAACAGCTTCGATCTGGGATGGACACCAAACGATATATTCGTTGGTATTGATGATAGAATCTATACATGCTGCTATTACAACAAGTTAGTGACCATAAGCTGCGAACTGTGGTATGACCGGTTCATATGCTTACCGAGATGGCTGAATCCAGCGTCGTCCGATAAAATAAACAGTCTTTTTGTCACCTTGCAAGGTATTTATTTAAGTGAAGACAAGAAGAAAACTATTGAATTTTTTCCATTCGCAAATCTGCATAACAAAACGACAATTGGACAGAATCATGATGAACCTTGTTATAGACTTTTTGTGGACATCAACAACACAATTTACTGTTCCATTAGAAAAAAGCATATTGTGGTGAAAAGACAACTTGCATCATCAGATCAATCGTGGACAATCGCTGCAGGCAAGAATGATTCGAAACATTCATCTAGTCCCGACGGATTGAACGAACCTCATGGAATTTTCGTTGACAATAGTCTTGGCCTATACGTGGCAGATTGCAAGAACAATCGGATCCAGCTTTTTAAACATGGATCACGTATGGGGGTGACAGTATCCAATACAACGAAAATCAAATGTCCATCGGATATTATTCTAGATTACGACAGCAATTTATATATCGTTGACAAAGGAAATAGTCGAATTATCTTGGTTAAGTCAGATTATAGTCAATATCGATGTCTGATCGGCTGTGAGAATAACAAGCGCTATCGGCGAAAGTCATTGCAGTATCCAAGCAGTATGAGTTTCGATCGATATGGAAATATATATGTCATTGATGCAAGTAGAAATCAAATTTTGAAGTACAACTTGGAAACATCAAAATGTGGTGAGTAAAACAACTCGTTTTATTAATTGATCTGACCTCAAAGAAGTCAATTCGAGTTCATATTAAGTGTTATGAACACTATGAGAAGACATTTCTTGTTGCAAATGATCGGAATAGACTATCGAAGTTCTTTTTGATAAAAATCGTCTAATAAAATTTGATCATACATATATCCCAAGATCTTTTTACGATTATTGTTGGCCCTTTTGCTTCAGACACGTCTTGAGAAAAGAATTGGACTCTTCATTTGCTAAAGAACCACCATAACACTGTGATACACTCTCTATAGACTACCACATGGAATAGAACAGCCTAAATAATCTCGTATATTTTTCTCGCATTGTCCTATGAAATTATGTAATTCGTTTATGTAGTTTCGCCTCCAAACAAAACTGTACTCGAAACAGCGATATTTGACACATTATTGGATAATTCGTCGAGTAATGGCAATTTTAACCTACTTTTCTTAAACTATCTATTTTATCTTTTGTTTCAGTTTATTATAACCTATCGAACGAAAGCGAATCTGGTGAAGAATACCGTACGTATTGAGTTAACAATAACAGCGTCTAAAAGACGTTTTATCACCTATATGTTTTTCACAGCTACATCCACTTTTCAAAACCTTGAGTTTGAAGAGATAACAACATCTAGTGAGTTTTCTAAAAGTTCCATAGTATTGCTCAACAAACTTAGCTTTAGTTTATAATGAAACTTCAACAGAATCAACAATTGGTAAGAACTATTGATTACATAATTCTTTGAAGAATGGATACGTTTTGAGTATAAAATGGAATGTAGTAATGAAATCCATGCTACTTCCTCATACTTAAGCAAGAAAAAATAATGTGGATTCCGTATGAATACATTTTAGAATCAGCAGATGCATCACTCAGCACTGCATTGGAGTCCGTGGTGGACGAAACTCTCACTCCCTTCATGCCACCTAGTTGCTCTAATTCAAATGTAATTGGATTTGCGTGCAATATTTCATTTCGTCCGTGTGACATATATCCGTATTGTCAAAACTTTGGTACTTGTCAAAACGATCGAAACACTTCTCGCGGTTACCTTTGCGAATGCAAACCTGGTTATAATGGAACGGATTGTGAAAACGACTTACGTCCATGCAAATCGAACATCTGTTTGTATGGTGGTATGTGAATAAGATATATTGACAACTAGACTAACACTAAATTCTCCTCTCATTTCAGGTACGTGTGTCAACTTGAACGATATACAATTTTTCTGTAACTGTACTGAAGGACGTACTGGTGTCCACTGTGAAACTCAAATTGATTACTGTTATAATGTGACTTGTTTGAATAAGGGCATTTGTCAATCATTACCTTTTGATTACACGTGTCGATGTACATCCAGCAGTTTTAGTGGTCGTCATTGCGAAAACATCGCCAGAAGTGTCATCGTCTACCAATACGTATCGAAAGCATTCGCTTTTATAGCTATTTTAGCACTAACGATTGTAGCGGGTTTTATCATTATCATGGATGTGTTGAAATATGGATTCGGTATCGATCCAGTTCGCGAAGAACGTGATCGTTTACGCCGTAGACGATTGCAGTTAGCACGAAATAATCATCAAAATCGACCAGTCAGAAACAAGTCCTTTGTACGACATACAATTTAATGACCATAAGACACAAACTCATTGTAATTGTTGTTTATTGTTACTACGTGATTGTAAATGTATTCCGTCAATAAATACCTATACATATGTAATCAAATACGATATTCTCTTTATTATGATAACGATTACCGGGTGCATTAGCAGTTTAATTAATGTACTTTACTTAGTTATCCCACACGCAACTGAATAGATCCTACAGAATGAGTCGATACACTTCTGCTACAGCACGTCGCTTTTTACATGCTCTTATCGAAGATTTACAACTTACATAGTGAATAACTGCTCAGGTCAAACCTTCTTGACAGAGTCGAATTTCTTTCAAAATAATCTTGTTTATAGCGTAACAATACATCGCTACTTTTAGTAATCATCTTCTCACTTCTCTCATGTGATAACTAATCAATCTACCACTATCATTATGCTCTTTGTTTATCAAAAGATAATTTATCTGAAGCATCTATTGACAGAACGATCGTTCGTTTCTTTCTCATAAAAGAATTTGTTTGACTGATCATATGATAGAATATAACATTCAGAAGATGTGTTTCTTCCAATATTACAATCATATTTAGCATTAAAAGCGACATCTATTCGACAAATAAAGAACCTTCCGTTCTATTATCTCCGATACCGATCACAAATCATCTGCAAAAGTCAATTAGCAACGCTCAAAACACTCAAATAATTGAAGAACTTCATTAAAGTATTTTCATTGGCCAATTTTTGCTACAGAACAAACACATTCATCGCAGGCGAGTAAGCGAGTTGAAATACGCATATATGTATTGTCATGAGTCATGGTTTTTTTACTGTTTGTATCTATTTGGCAACGAATGACTATCTTTCGGTTATTATCAATTGAGTAGTGATACATGATAATAAATGAAGCGTGATTTGTTACACTTTGCTTTTCATATAAACATTTTATTTATGAGAAAAAAGACATTTATTTTATATCTGTTTTTTGCTTCGTGTGAGCAAATTTGTGTTTGCTTCGTTGTTCTAGATGTCTTGGTACTATCATGATGGCACTTCAATGGAAACGTCATCGTAAACGAGAAAGCTTAGACGACGAGTATAGCACCGAAATCACGGTTAGTTTAACACAATATATTTTTCGACTTGTTTTTCACGTCCTTGACCTGCCGAAGACTTTATTTGATTAAAAACAAAAAAGATTTTATCGGAATTTTGACATTTTTGCGTGACCGGAATAGAACTGTTGCCCAATAGAAAAAAAAAACGAGAAAGAATTGTTTTCATTCTTTGTGATTAACTTGTTGTCTCCTATCGTCAACAGTATTATATTTATTTGACAGACATCATAACGCTCATCCCATCCTATCTTGTTCGAGAGAGAGAGAGAAAAAAAAAACCAGAAAGAAAGAAAGAAAAGAATAAAGAATCAGTTCTATTGACTATCAATGGAGTTCATGATGATAATGGAAGAGGTAAAAGTTGATCATCGTCATAAATAATTAATTGATGAATGTTAACTTTCATAATTTTGTAGGTCTTACGACAACATTGGAAACAAATTCAACAAGTCTTACAGAAATCATTTGTGAATCAAGATGATATCAGTTGCGTAACATCTCATTTTCAACATGCAGTCACTCTGTTAACTAATGAAGTCGCTAGTCAAGATCGCCCTGGTCCCATACTTCTATACTTTATATCGGAATCCATACTCGATACCTTCTTTGTGTGGTCATTAAGTTGTCCTGAATATGCTGTGGAACTTAAATATCATCAATTACGTTGTTTTGAATTTCTCCTCAGTCGTTCACAATTCGAACTGCTCTTTCACAAGCAAATCGTAGGACATTGCACTATCGATGTGGGATATTTCTATGCGATTGTTTTAGTTCAAACCATTGCTCAATCTACTTCGATCGTGTGAAACGTCATCATCATTAGAACTTATTGAAAAACATATGATCGTTGTGCTTAATCAAGTATGAAATATAACATATGAAGGATCTATAGGTCATATCACGGCGATATCATAGTCATAGGGCCACTATTGACACGAGAGTTTTTTTTTGGTTATGTAATAGTTGTAGTTATCTCCTCATGTGCTCGTTTAATGAATGTCTTTTAACATGTATGAACACATTTAGCAAATTAAAAGGGAACAGCTAATATATCGATTAGACTCGATGAGAGTACAAGGTGAATTTCATTTAGATAGATAGATGTATGAGGAATACACCAAGAACTTTCGTTGAGGAAATGTCGTCAATACGAATCTGCTTTTTTCAGGTGTGCGTCAGTATTGCAAAAAGTCCTGAACTATTGGAATTTTGCTTTGATATCAGCACTGACCATGGCCCGTCACGATTTGTCATATTCTCTCTTCTAATACCATTTGTTCATCGCGATGGACTTGCAGGTACGGCACTTGATGATCGTTCTTATCTTTTTCATTAATATAAGAAAAGAAATATTTAACATTTTCATTGATACGAGAAATCTATCATGTTTAGATAAACCATCTGCACAGGGTATTACTACAGGTGGGACAGACTTTCTTAGAAAGAGTTCAAGCATGTCCGTTACTATTATTTGTGATTGCTTATGCGATTGATTTTACTATTATACTATTAGCATTCATACCAATTTTCATTTCTTTATAGGACAACAGGCTCGTGATGCTCTGTTACTGATCATGCAATTATCCCATCGAAATGAGCAGATTGCGAAGTATATTGTAGAAAATACAAATTTCTGTCCGGTAGATACTTCAAATTTGATCTATGAACGTATTTTTGTATTCTTGTCTCTGTTATTCATCAGATCTTGGCAACAGGCCTAAGCGCATTGTACTCCGATTTACCACATCAGATCGGAACAAACAATGACGAATGGTTCATCTTAACTAAAAACGAATGGTCACAAAGTGCGTCGCTAGTGCAATTCATGAATTCATTGCAATTCTGTAATGACGTTATTCAAGTAAAAACATTCACTTCTTGCTCAGATGAACAAGTTTTGCATCTTCTACTTTCCATGACAGATCGCTCATCCAAGTATTGGTCATCATCTGTTGCAGTATATCTACCATGGTTTTCTTATACCCGTTCTCGGGCCGAGTATTTATCAAGTATGTTGTTTGGAGATTCATTTGGCGCATGTGATTTCTTTTTCTTTGGGATAATCGTGCTAATTGTTTAATCGTATGGGTGCATCGATGCAAATTTCTTTTCTCATAGGATCTTCATGAGCTACCGGTGAATTTCTCTGATTTGCATCAGTTATCGGTAAATATTTGTATGGAAATGGAATAGGGAATTGAATATCTGTTGTCCGATTTATTTTCCTTCTTTTTCCTTGCACAATGATTTGATCTTCGCATGCACATGTTGTTCTTCTTTTCGTAATTCTGATATTTGAATGTATCGATCTGGCTAAGACAGATTTGGTTTATTTAGAATACAATGGATGAAGTTATTGCAGCGACAGCATATCTCGATTTATTCCTACGTACTATCTATGAGCCAGCTCTACTGAAAGTATTCTTGAAATTTATACTCTGTGCGAAAATCGATGAGATTGGTTTATTGGACACGCTAATACAAAGAATCAATGTTACAACCAAGGTACGCAAGAATATGAGATTCGCAAGTGACAAAAAAGTGGAGTTTTGCTTTTTTTTCAGCTTGGATTAATTTCGCTTGGATTGTTTCATACGTTGATCAATTTAAACTGCGAAGATATTATGTATCGATTGGTTTTTATGTATGAAACAGACTCTTGTTCGCACTGGGAGATCGCTATATTTTCATTCATAGGTATTTGACCCCGTGTCGACACGTTATGTGGAGTCAACGAAGGCATATAGTCGATATGGAAATTTATGGCAAGAATGCGGAACGATTCCTCTCATTACAATCATCGTTTGTAAATAAAAATGACACGACAAATAGGTAAACAGTAAACTCTCATTTTCCACTCCGTTCAATTCCATCTGATGTTTAGTACTGACCGAACTCAAGCAATACAAGTACATTTCGAAGAGAGAGACAAATCACACGAAAGATATGAATCAACATTTGCTGCTTATCTTGAAGTATGAATGTGCCGATACGTACTTCAGAAAGTTTATCTATTATGTTTCACGTACTAGGATGCACATTTCAACATAGTTCGATGTCGTGTTGCTTGTCGGTGTTGGTCAGCACCATACGACGGTGAGACACCATCTTCAGATGCAGTTATCGGAGAAATCGCTGCAAATTCCCTCACTACTAGTGTTTCAACACTAAACACAGACAATGATAATTCACAAAAATCAGATTATCTATCAACAAATACGGCGAATCAAAATCTCGCATTGCATCTAGAGAGAAACGTTGCAGCATCCCATGATTCTGGTATTCATGAAGAAGGTCTTATCGAAGTGAATGCTCAAATCGAACTAACATGTAAAGCTTCCAATAGTTCATTTCAACTACCTTCCTGGCTTGCAAATAATCAACCCATACCAGATGAACTACTTGCCAAACGTTCAACTATAAAATATCACTCATATTTTCACGATGACGATGATGATGACGATGACGACGACGAAAGCGATGATTACGATCGTCCATCTTCGTTTTATGCATTTTCGTTTATTGATTTTTCAAATGAACAAGACGACATGTGGTCTGTGAAATCGTTAAATACATCTGATAATCTTCTACAACATGAAATCAAAACATGTGTTGAAACATTGAACACCTGTCTAGATCAATTCCGTGAAATGAACGAACAAACTAATGAAATCGATGAAAATATTTCGAATCTACTGAACGAACTGATCGATCAAATAGAATATTCTCTCCAAAACGAGTCTTCTCAACAAACAGTCGATATTGCGATTGATTACGATTTATTTAATGAACTATTCAACAAAAAACTGACATTAAATGAATTCTTATCAATACTTGACCGTCTTACTGATATTCGATCTTCAAAAAAGTCTTCCAAAACAGGTAAAGAAGTTTTAAGTGACCTTCTTCAACTTTCCGAACAAATCGAACAACACCGAGCGCAATCAATCACTGAACCTGGTTCTAATGCAGATAAAGACAAACAATCATCTCAATCAACTAATCTTCCTAATTCGATTTTGCCACCGTCGATCTCAATGGACGTTTCATTGTTCAGCCCAAATGATTTCTCAAACCTAACGCAATCGACACTATTTCCAACTAGTATTCAACACCAGACATCAACAAATGGGAATAAACCAGCTGACATCGGTAACTTTGTCGCCAAAGCTTTTCATTTAATGAGAATTTTTCCGCAGAGATACTTTCCTAGACAGAATACCAACAGGGACTTTGTTCGCGCGAGAAACTATCGTGTTAATTATTTCACCAGTACATATTTGTATGTTTCCTAGGTCCGTTCCTACGAACAATATTTTCCAAATTGGAAAATATGGTACAAAATTCTTTATATGTCAATTTACTATTAACTGGTATCATCTCGCGATTAGCACATTATTCCCAACCATTGTTACGTTCGTTATTGTTAAATCATAGTCTTGTCTTAGAAACCAATGTGAAATCACTCTTTCAAGTAGATCTACAGGTCTTTTTCGAAATTCTAATCGTGCCGTTTGATGGTTTGTCTAGATTCTTTCAAATCTCAAATCAAAACTCGAAACAATTTCTCAAACGTATAATAATTTTGGTCATCTGGTTCAATTAGCACAAGAACTGTTATATCAAAGAGAGAATGCAACTAAAGTAGAGACGAAATTTTGATTCATTCAACACATGATCTTTCTTTTCATCTAGGAATTTTATGAAACATCTTCACGAACTCGTTCTCCCTCCCGTACACGATCGAAATCAGCCGATCCGGGCAGAGGTAATGGAAAACTGACGACGGATCGATCTGTTTATTTAAAATTTCAGAGGAAGAACGAGTTTTTTTCGAAGTCCGACAAATACCTCGACCAGGTTGTGGGTGTAGTTTCTCTAGGGAATGATTTTTCTGCATGTCTGATGTTTCATAGATCTTCTTCACTGAATTATAAACAAAAAAAAATCATATTTGAACTTATCTCTTCTAGAGCGAACATCTACACGAAGTCGTTTGATGAATTTTTTCCGAGGACGAAGCCGAGCAGCGGAAAGAAATGATACAGACACCCAAGACCATGATCATTCTCAAATCACATTCATTGACCAAACATCAATGAAGTAAATTTTCCCTGAATAAGTTCAAAAGTACATCTCCTCATTTAGATTTATAAATATCCGTGAAAATCACACCCGTATACCTGTGAATGAATGGGATGATCCAAAAACACGTAATGTTGCTTACTGTGCAGTAATATTCAATGAATTTCTCAAAGAACTTGCTGCTATCACACTCGAACATAGTGTACAACAATTCGATGATGATCTTATATTTGAAGAAATATCATCTAATCCATTTTTGTTTTAAATCCTAGCTATTTTCTTCTCATATTTTGCTAACAATATTTCTAATAATCTTTTTTTTCTATGCATTGCTTGTTACATATTCACAATTATTTATTTTTCTTTTCATTTGATTCTACAATAAATACCTAAAACCTTTTCTCAGCTGTGTGGATTCGACTGACTCAATCTGTAATTTCCGGTGTCAAAAGCGATTAGAATTATGCACAATAAGAAAAACATCCAACAATTTCACTCAATTGCTAAGGACTTAGCGAACTACAGAAAAACCAAAGTTTGTTTTCAATACAGTTTATTTATCTGAACTTCGAAAAAACAACGACACGTACTTCGTTTTTTAAATAATAAAGCTTAACGAAAACAAAACAACAGTAAATGTACAGAATGTTAATATGAACAGAATTCATTTGATGATAAGCATTGTGCCATATCGAGAGTACAATCGCCTGTACTCGTAGTTGCAATTGGATCGAGTCCGATCATTTCCACTTCGTTTTTGAATATATCTAACAAATGTTCAATATCATCCGAACAGATATTGTCGTGTTCGATCATTTGCATAGGTTCGTTTAAATGTGTCGACATGTGAACAGATGAAATGGTATCCGAAAGTGACGGATCATTTTTAAGTAACATGTATCGCGAGGTCATTGTTCGTTGTTGTGTCATCGGTGGTGGTAAGAGCGATGCTGTTTGATCGTAATAGAATGAATCCGATGAGACTGGTGGTGTTGGATAGATTGGAAGTGTTTGTTCAGAGTGAAAACGTTTTGTTTGATGATAAGATGTTGATGACGAGTCATATTTACGTTTTAATGTTTGATTGTTGAATGAATGGTGTGAGTAATATTGGTTTTCTTCATTTGAATATTGTTGCTGATGAGATGTGTATGTCGGTAATGCTGAACGCATTGTTTGGCCATTGACCACGGTAAATGGCTTGTTGATTCGTTCGAGTTTCTTCGTTTTACTTTCGTAATTAGAGTCATTCGATGGCAAATAACGTTGTTTTGTATTATTCATTTGTGTTAACCACGAGAGATCCGTTAGATCATCATCAACCGCTGCAGATTTATTGTCAATCTTAAAAGCAAAATAGAAATCAAATAATCACATGTATTCTTTGCATTACAGCAAATAAAATCGACTTACAGATGCAACTGGCATTTGTTCAATGGTCGAAATATTTATGTCTGTTTATGTATATAACACCTTCAGTCTATTTAAATATATAAATTCTCCTTTTTTTTGTCTTTTCTTTCGCCTATTATATAATATACCACTGAGTATATGTATATCGATTGAATAGCTTAAGATAATGATTGTTGCTGTTCGTAGTGATGATGTCATTTTTTCTTTTCTTGTGTCTTATGATGAACTAGCAATGAATGTGAGCCGATTGTTGTATTTTGAAAGATAACAGTGTTATCATCAGGAATATGATGGAAAGGAATTTTGTTGTATTGTGATTAAAAATCTAATGAATGATATGCAAGTTGGTCTGTATCAAAAACGATTCGATAAAAATGCAATTCCATCGATTAGAAACGAAATTTATCTACTTAGTTAATATGAACGATGATAAGACTTAACAGTTCGAATTCTTGTCACGTTTTATCGGGATGAAATGTAAAACAACGTCTGAGCAATCTTTCATTTTGAAATAAATAGTTTATAACCCTTTTCCAATTGCACAATGCTTTCACTTTAATACTTCTCTTTTTTTGGAAGTGCGAGAGCACATTTGTGTTTCCCTTATGTCATCATTTCTTTTTTCATTACCATCGAGTGATCCCGAAAGATGCGTACTTAAATATTTACTTGTATTTATTTACTTTCATGTTCTTCGATTGATTACTTGTCGCATACTGATTAATAATCAAATTGAGACGAATTGTTTAATGAGAGAGAAAACAAAAAGAATCGTCCCGCTTGATTTTCAAAAGAGGGACGGAGATCAAATAATTAGTTGCGCTCCCTCCTTCATATTCCATACGTCAAGCTTTTCGGTTCGATGACAAGAAAAAAGTATACTTCTGATTGATTTATTCTTCGACAGTGCCATTCGCTTGTTTTGATAGAGCGCTCTCTCTTCTCTTCTTCTTATTCTTCTTCTTTTAATCTGCAGAATATTGTTCGGACAAGAACTTTGTTCTAATAGCATTGATAATCATGTTGCGTGTGATCATATTGCATGTTTCGTTTTCTTGATGAATGCAAATAAACCTTGGACATCCTATTAGATAGATAGCGCAACTCAAGTTCATTCTTCGGCTTTACTCGAGACTAGTTTTATTATTTCAATAAATATATGTCAAGTACATCAAAGTAAGTATAGATATTCATATATAGTTAAAGCTTGCGCAAGAAATGAAGACAGGAAGAAGATGGCGCTTGCAAAAACGGCAAGTTTTTTTTGAAGACTACACAAATAAAAGGAAAAGCAACAACATATAAGTGACGTGCATCGAACAAAAGTACGACCATTTCAAATCCTTATTAGCTATTTGTATTAATTAGTCCTTGTATGCTCGTTGAAATTCTAGAAAAGAACACGAAAACATCCTAAATTAGATGGATCACGGTCGGTTTCTACCTTCGAATGTTACGAGACCGTCTTTGTCCGAATCAATAGCTGCAAATGCTTTACTTATTGCGGTATCATCTTTGTTTGCTTTTGAATGATACGCACGAAATTCTTGAAGAGTGATATAACCATCTTTGTCCTATGAAAAAATCAAAAGAAAGATGAAGTCTTATGTGAATAATGCTGAACTCACTCCATCGAGACGGTCGAATTCCGTTCGAAGGTCATCGGACGAGTTTTTTGCTGCCGACATGATGATAATAATACTGGTACTACGGAAAAAATTTATCTGCAAAAATCGAACAAAAACATTTCGAAAAGTAATAAACGAGACTTCTCGTGTTGAACAAGAAGGGATGCCTAGATGAAATTCTTCCTATGTGTACGTCTATTATGGATGTATATGAGTCTTCGTTTGTTTCTATTTTGTTTATAGATTTTTATTCGTCTTTCTATTTCTTCTCGTTTTCTCTCAGAGAAATAGAGAGAGAGAAAGACAGGGGCGGAAAACTTTAGCCTCTTTCTATTGAGAAAATGACGATTGTGTGTCTCGTTCGGAAAGTATGCATACCCTACCGATAAAACTCGTCATTTGCTCGGTGCGTAGTCTATCCTGTCGACATTAATTTGTCTGAGTAACTCAATAGAAAAACAAAACAAAACAAAACAGCTAATTTAGATTGAACTGCTTGTTTTGCAGTAGAGTTTATGCGATCTGAATTACATCGTGAAATCCGTTTTTTTGTTTTTCATCAGAATAAATCTTCTTTTACCTTGTCATCTTATATCGAGATAATTTCCAATTAGATTTGATTAATAATTCATTCCATTACTTACATGTTATCGAAATGTAAAGAAATATAAATGAATCAATAATACAATCACTGCACGATGGAGACGTTTTCTTTGTGTATATGAGCAAACTATCAGGAGCATTGGAGACAGAGAAAGAAAATGATATATCTTCTTTTTTTTTATTTGGTTTTTAATATTCGAGTGATGCTAGATGGTTTTAGGCAAGAGGAAAAACTTGTGTGCCTCAAGTGACATCCCGATCGAATGATTGATAGATTTTTCTCACAGAATCACTTCCAACAAATAGATTCGATCTGATTAGGGAAAAAAAATGTCACACCGGATGTTATTAAGACTAATCATATCCGCCTGATCCGATCAAAATTTTCTCATAAAAATCAGAATACAAAACAGTGTACTATTTTCTCGAATAGTTCAGTATATAGAGTGGAAATCTTTGAGTTCATTTCTTTGTCAACTTGTTTGTATTCTCTCGTGTATAACATATAACTCGATCGTGACCTGCTTCATTAAGTAATCTTGATGCATGCACACTATGTTGCCGCGTGAACAGGTACAAGTTAACAAAATCGTCATTTAAATTCTATTTGTGTGTTGAATCGAGATCTAAAAAATTCAATAAGAAGCAAAAGAGAGTGCTTGAACATACTGACAGTAGATGTCGTATGGAGAGATTTAATAGAGTCGGTTGCTATGACATCATGAAACAAAATGATTTTAATGTTATACATTGAAATTTAGTTCAGTTGACTAGTTTGATTAAAAGATCATGACTCAAGTACGTAATGAAGCAAAATCGCAAAGATTAAGTGTTCGTAGTCCCGCTGCTGAAGTGGAAAATACAAATAGCTATCCAACGCAAACACTATTTCAACAAGTCGTAGAAAAAAAAGTAGGTTGATACGTTTGAGACGCATTAGAATGCAAACAAATACAAACGATTGCATATCTGTTATATTTAGCTTCCATTGGTTAACAATATTGTTATTATTGGTCGTCTGAGAGATGTTTGGGACAAACAATCAGAACTTGCAGGTAGAACTTCGTTTTCCTCAGAAAACACCTATCAGATTTCCTTGTTTTTATAGATTATTATGAGAATTATATAAATTCGATACCGGCTATTCTGGAAAAAAGTTTGGATAATCGTGAATGTCATACACCAGGAGGCAGTAGCATTCCGCCTGTTACCGGCCTTTTACTGATATTTCCAACGCTTTTCATACACTCTTTGGAAGTAACAAATCCAGCAATGAAACTTATTCTGGAAGATCTTGATCAATCGATTCACAACCGTGATAATGGTCTGATACGAGAAGCATCGATTCTAAATATTTCTTACAATGTAATTAGTTTGATTTCTTGAAAGGTAATCTGAGAACTTGTTCTTCTGAAGGTTTCAGCGCGAATCTATTCCAATTGGACCTTTAAAAGTGTTAAATTAGCTGTCGAAGACCTCGACGCTCAACCAGCTGAAACAGTAGAAGCTATATCGCTTGAAGTTCTCGGTAAATTACTACGCATAGCTAAATACCAAGCGAATGAACGACGAGCTAACGTAAGAACTACATTTATATGACCTGTACTCTTCTTATCGCAGCTATTTTAACAAGGAGCGACCTGTTGATATTTTGGCTAATGTAGATCAACGCGCTGACCTACTACCTAATCAAGGTATGAGAAAAGTATCTGAGGAATGGTTTTTGTTCCTACAAATGCACTTTTGTAGCAAATATCAATTATCTTCTGAAACAACCAATCTTTCAAACAGCTGAAGATATTCTGAAGAACTATCAACGTCCGATTAATGTTCGTTTTGAAAGCGGTAAGATTCTTCTCAATGAAAATTTTCCCGTACATATGTATATATTTCAATTAGATCTAACTGCACCGCCCACTCATCGATTATTTCCGATCAATTTTTCATTATGAAAATATTCCATTCATTCACTGTATTCTTCTTTTTCTAATGTTTTTGCTATGATAAAAGCAAAAAGAGTTGATGAAAGATCAATAGTGTATGATACATAACAGAAAAAAAAGATTTTGTTACTCATTTTCACTATATTTCGACGTCTCTTACAATTTACAGTTGTTGAATTTCAAGCAAAAATGTTTTCGATGATGATTATTTTCAGACTACGCTACGTTCTCGAATCAAACAACAGTACGATAGAAATAAATCTATGACTGCATGATACTATTATTCATTCGTACTAAAAGCACGAAAATATAGTGATAAAGTACATCAGCGAAGGAAAGATTTCGAACGAAAACACAAGAGAAGAATACTACATACACTGCGTGATTACTTGTTTTCGAGCAAGAGAAAAACAAGCGTGCTCTTTCGTCAAGCATTAATTTCCAGCTATGTTGCTCCTCACCAGTATCCTGTTGACTCTGCTTTTGATTATAATCGTTGCTTATTTGTGGCATATTCGCAAAGCATACGACTTTTTCATCAAACTTAATATCCCTGGCCCGCCACCCACACTCTTCTTCGGCAACTTTCTCGATATCATCAGAAGCAAACGATTATCGTTGAGTATCCATGAGTGGACAAAAAAGTATGGTCGTATATATGGTTATTATGAAGGACATACACCGATTCTTGTGGTTTCTGATCCGGATGTTTTGCAAGATGTATTCATAAAATCATTTTCAAATTTTCATTCTCGCCGACTGTTTCCACTAGCAGACCCAACTGACAAAAGCGTAAACATGATTACTGCAATGGGCTTACGTTGGAAACGTCAAAGATTTATAATCAATCCGACATTTTCATCATCGAAACTGAAGCAAATGACACCATTAGTTCATCGAAGTGTTCATGTACTCACTCAAAAACTGTCCGAAGAATGCAGGAAAGGCCAACCATTCGATATATCTACTTATTTCAAACGTTTCACAATGGATACAATTTGGTCGTGTGGCTTTGGAATCGATACAGATATGCAAAATAATACCGCAAATCCTTATTTAGTTTATTCTCAACAGGTATTTGGGGACAGAATGCAGCTTCGTTTGTTTGCAGTATTGACCATATTCATCACTGAATTGCGAGCTCTTTGGAGAACATTACACATGTCAATAAGTCATTCAAAACACTGGCTTCGTTACCACATTCCACTGACACAGTACTTTATTGAAGAAAATCCAGCAACGTGGATAATAAGTCAGGCACGACGAATGATAAAAAAACAGCAAGAAATCGGCCGAACGAGCCGCGTCGATCTATTGCAATTAATGCTGGAATCTGCTTCTAACGAAGAATGTATTCGAGTAAGACAAACTTTATTGATATGATAACTTTGAGCGATTATTATGTGTGTTCATACAAGGATGGTTTAGCAAGCAATGCTACCAACGAACAGCCAGAGATTGAGCCTCCACTAGTCCGAAAATTGACAACCCATGAAATTGCTTCCAACATCTTCCTCTTCAGTAAGACCATTATCTTTCTTTGCTCTCATAAACTATTCTGTCTCGCATAGTGATTGCTGGCTATGAAACTACCAGCACTGCACTCAGCTATGTCTCCTATGTTCTTGCTACTCATCCACATGAGCAACTCACCCTACAACACCACATCGACACCTACTTCAATCCAGAACACGAAGATGAAATGCCTTCGTACGACATACTGTCACAAATGAACTATCTCGACATGTTCATTCGTGAGACCCTTCGAATGTATCCTATCGCACCGATAGTCATCAATCGTCAAAGTACAGAAGCCTTTGACCTCAAAGGAGTGGGTGTTGTTCCGGTAGGCACTCGTATAGCCGTAGACATCTACAATCTCCATTTCGATGCTGAGTTGTGGGGACCAGTGGATCCACACACATTTTATCCAGAGCGATTTGAGACGAAGCGTCATTCGATGGCGTGGATACCATTTGGAGCAGGCCCACGAAACTGCGTCGGAATGCGTTTTGCACTGATGGAAATGAAGATGGTGCTTGTTCGTCTGCTAAAAACATATTCAGTGATCGATTGCGGTGAAAAAACACATGGTTCATTCGAGAACTTGAAAGAAAATTTCGTCATAGCTCCAAGAGACACTATTGTTCGATTACAGCGCAGAGATGAAGTTCATTTATAATTCGTATCTGATAATATTAAGAACTTTCTTGCCTGTATAAGATATTAAACGGAAATAAAATTGCAAAAAGCAGACTTTTTACTAACAGAAAAATGTAATTGCTCAAGACACGCTCATATATGTATTCTATCGTTAGATTATGTTTCTAGTACCGGGCAGACATCGTCAGTATTGTTTGCATAAGATGCTGTTAGAATATTTTTATTTTCTTATCGGCGGTGTCCTTAGAGCGAACTGTTGAAACCACGACGACTGCTTTCACAACAGTCAGAAATGTTTTTGTAGGAATTTGCAAAATCTGTCGATGTTTTTTTCCCTTGAATACTTTGTTCATTGATTTGTTTTCTACAGTCACTAATCAGATGATCACAAATATTGTCCGACTATTCCAGTATACTGTTCAAATATATCGTTAATTGATGATTTTGTTTACTGCTGTAGTATCTATGTTTGTGTCTTCTATTGAGTACGAAAAAGAACTAAAAGGAGAAGTAATAGTTATCTATACCTGCTATCATTTTCAAATTACGGCTCTTTGGATAATTCACGAGAATGTTTTTATTCATGCCTTTCTCTTCAGATGACACTTTGCAAACTTTAATCGCAAAATTCAGTCCTACTTTTGAGAACTCATCTCAAATGCACTTTCAGTTTGCTGAGTAGAATAAAGCACGTCACATAGGTGAAGAAAAGAAAAGAAAAAGAAGAAAAAACATGTTCGAGACGGTCTGGAAGAAGTAAGCCAAAGTAATAATTCACTGTCGTATAGAGGCCATACTGAGAAAAAGAAACCATTTTTCTTTACTGTGTAACCTTCTTTTATTCATACATATCCGTGAAACAAGAAAAATAATATGTTTTTGATCACCAGTATCCTACTTGCTTTATTCATTGTCGTCGTCGTTGCTTATTTATGGCATATTCGCAAAGCATACGACTTTTTCATCAAACTTAATATCCCTGGCCCGCCACCCACACTCTTCTTCGGCAACTTTCTCGATATCATCAGAAGCAAACGATTATCGTTGAGTATCCATGAGTGGACAAAAAAGTATGGTCGTATATATGGTTATTATGAAGGACACACACCGATTATTGTGGTTTCTGATCCGGATGTTTTGCAAGATGTATTCATAAAATCATTTTCAAATTTTCATTCTCGCCGACCGTTTCCTTTGGAAGGTCGACACGAGAAGAGCATACATCTTTTCAGCGCGACGGGTCTTCGTTGGAAACGTCAAAGGTTTATAATCAATCCGACATTTTCATCATCGAAACTGAAGCAAATGACACCGTTAGTTCATCGAAGTATCAATGTGTTGATGAAGAAATTGTCTGATGAATGCAAAAAAGGTGAACCGTTCGATATCTATGCCTATTTGAAACGTTTCACAATGGATACAATTTGGTCGTGTGGCTTTGGAATCAACACAGATATGCAAAACAACAGTAACGATCCTTATCTCACGCATTCACAAGAAGTGTTTAACGATAAATTGCGAATCAGTGTGATAGCTGCTTTGTTTATCACTGAACTCGAACGTTTCTGGTTTGCACTTCACACATATGCCAATAAGATACGATACTGGATTCGACATATTTTTCCAATCACTAAAAATTTCATTGATGAGGATCCCGAGACATGGATTACGAAACAAGCTAAAAAAATCATTGACCAACGCGGAGTTTCTGGTCCAAGAAATCGAACCGATTTGTTACATTTAATGCTCGAATCTGCTACCGATGCAGATTATATCCAGGTACATACTTTCACATAGCTTTTCACGATGAAATATATTTTTCTTTTAAGGATCGTCGGAGTTCATTCGTCAATAACAGCGATACAGGACTTGAAGTTCCATTGATTCGAAAATTGACAACCCATGAAATTGCTTCCAACATCTTCCTCTTCAGTAAGACCATTATCTTCCTTTGCTCTCATACGCTATTCTGTCTCGCATAGTGATTGCTGGCTATGAAACTACCAGTACTGCACTCAGCTATGTCTCCTATGTTCTTGCTACTCATCCACATGAGCAACTCACCCTACAACACCACATCGACACCTACTTCAATCCAGAACATGAAGACGAAATGCCTTCGTACGACATACTGTCACAAATGAACTATCTCGACATGTTCATTCGCGAGACCCTTCGAATGTATCCTATCGCACCGGTAGTCATCAATCGTCAAAGTACAGAAGCCTTTGACCTCAAAGGAGTGGGTGTTGTTCCGGTAGGCACTCGTATAGCCGTAGACATCTACAATCTCCATTTCGATACTGAGTTGTGGGGACCAGTGGATCCGCACACATTTTATCCAGAGCGATTTGAGACGAAGCGTCATTCGATGGCGTGGATACCATTTGGAGCAGGCCCACGAAACTGCGTCGGAATGCGTTTTGCACTGATGGAAATGAAGATGGTGCTTGTTCGTCTGCTAAAAACATATTCAGTGATTGGATGTGATGATCAAAGGAATACATTTGAGTCGAAATTGAAAGAAGCTGTAGTTATAGCTCCAAGTGAAATTAGAATTCGTTTAGAACGACGACACGAACGAGACGCTTAGATTTTTTTGTTACTTTTTGTCTTATAAATTTCTCCCTTAAACACTCCAAAAAGCCCACAAAAAGAACACAATCGATGAAAACACTAAAAGATATTGTCCGTTCAATTACGAGAAATATCTCAAGGTGGAAGCAGTTCAAAGTTTTTCCGTATTTGTTATTATACTTCGTAGTTTTGTTCCATTATTCAATTGTTTATTGTGATTAACGGCATGGAAAGTTAAACAGCCAGCGTGAAGGATAAGTAAAGTATCCGTTGTTAAAAATCCCACGCTCCATGCTAGTAATAAAAAAAAGAATATAGAAAAGGAACGGACAAAGGAGATGAAGAGCCTTCTTACGCCATGGTCGGTATTGAACTGCTTTCTTTTCACCTTCTGGCCCAACAGCCCAGATTTTTTTATTTCCTCCATCTGTCACGATTACACCATGACTGATGGGATCCTGAATTAATCGATTCATATTATCAACATTGATTTCATATAGATCAATACGACGGACAAGTTGACCTATTTTAACGGGAGAAAAAGATTCGGCAATACTAGTTTAGATTGTGATTAAACTTGATCTCACCATTTTTTTGTCGTTTTTCTAGAAAATATCTTGCCGGTTCTCGTTCTCGTCGTTTGCCCAATATATAACAGCATTGCGAATCCGTCACGATGCTTCTCACCTCCACTCCCGATTCGAATGTTACTTGTAATTGTAATTCGTGATCAAAGACCGAAATTTTTGATTTATTACACCCTTTTTCTGATGCATAGAAAATAAACTGTGTATCTGACGCAACACGTTGACAATTAAGACCACGTTCAACGACACGTTCACGTTCGAGCTGTTTTCGTGATAAATTACACACATATAATTTACATTCGATAGGCTTTGATGCTTGTTTATGTTCACCAACTATAATTATACTATCATCATGATAAATACATAAATCTTTTATATCACCATCTGACCATTGAATTCTCTAAAGACAGGAAAGCAGAATTTCTTGCTAAAAAGAGAAGATTTCATTGTCACTTACTTCATTCTCATGTCCACTAGCATCGAATATAACTAATGACGTTTTATCTTTATTATAAAGTAATATTAAATCGGTATTTGTAACTGCTAACATTCCCCAATCGAAACTTTGCGATAAAGGAATCTTCTTATAAGATTCAAGACTACAATTATCTAATTTCGATTGAAACGTCGATGAACGAGTAGACGCAGTTGTCATTTTATGACTATGCGACGATAGAGATAGGTCAGCCATCGAACTGGAGACGGTTTTCGGCAACAGACTACCGGTTGAGGATGGATGAGAACGGTGAACATGATGATGCGTAGGAATATGCGAAGATGATGTTGTTGGTGGAGCGAGTGCTTGGTCTGATACTGGATGAACAGTTGTATCATCGATAATGTTTGGTAGCACTTGCTGGTGGCCAGCAGAATTCACAGTCTTATAGGTATTTCCTTGACCATTGGAATGCTTTTTTATTGCTCGATCATTGGTAGATATCGAAGCTTTTGGATGTTCATTGTTTGTTGAAGACGAAGCTGTACTACTTGAATCTATACATATGTATGCATGTATGTGTATATATTTAATTAGAAATAGAAAATGACCAGACACAAAAGAAAGCATAACATACCATCGAGGTGCTGCTGCTGTTGTTGTGTTGTTCTACTTGAAGCCATCGAATTTTGTTTGCAAGTATTTGCAACTAGTTCATCTACTTGTGAGAAGGAATCGAGATTCTTGTCATAAACTTTCTTTTTAAGTTCAATATTATCGAATTCGAATAGTTTCATTTCTGGTATACGCTCCTGAAAGATTTCACTAGCTTCGCGTATATCTTCTTGAATATGTGTCAATTTCATTTGTAATTGTTTAAATTGTTCAATCGTTGACCAATCTGTAATCGTTGTTCGTAGATCTTGAATTGTCTTGTTTATTTGTTCACAACGTTGTTTATGTTCGTCGATGAGCAATTCGAGTTCATTTTGACATATAATCGCTTGTCGTTCGACAATATCCTCATTTGTTAACTGTGCACAACGCAATTCATCTATTAAACGTGTATAATAAAGACGAATAGCTTCGATTGATTTCTGCTTGATCTCAATAACATGATGTCTTGCGTGATCGATTTGATCATTCATATTCAAATATTCTTGTTCAAGAGTGTTAATATTATTTGTCAATGTCGTTAATGCCTCACGTCGATGTTGATTTGCACATTCAAAACAAACAAATGAACAGCAATGCGAGCATTTAACGAACGATGGTGATTGATTACAAACTTGGCATTGCCCAGTTGCTTCAACGTGAAAATTACATGATTCAACTAGATCGAGAACAGTTTGATTTATAGGTAAATCTGCGTAGTTCTTTATTGTTGAACAAATTTCTTTTCGGCAATTCGGTACAGGACAATAGTGAGCTGTTTTATCATGGTTGCCATTACTTGTTAATGTTGATTCTTCAGCATTCCATTCGTTTTCAAGACATGTCACACCTAATTTCATGCATGAATAGCGAAGATTAGTAGTTTTTTTCCAATGTTTACTTACACACAGTATGTCCGCATGTTGGAAGAACTCGGGGCTCGGTGTAACGTTGTGAACAAGCTGGACAATTGACAAGCGTTTCGAGAAGATGTCGAGGTATTGCGGCTGCCATCTGATACTAAAATAAATCAGAATGAAATTGTACTCAATCTTGTACAATTTATTTGATATGATCATCCTTGGAATGTGTCTGTATGTGATTTTTACAAGGTCTGATAGTTAAATGAAAAGAAACACATTCATAAGACACAGAAGATCTCATGTTCACAGATATGTATAGATGTACATGATGAGGTAGGAGGTTAAGTGTTTGCCATCCTTCAGTATACACCTTTCTTACTTGTGAGAACGAAATGATCGTTGGTATAAAATAACCATTTCTTTCTTTCTATCTTACCTGTTCATCTCACTTATTCGTTCTCCTTTACTATACACTTTATAATTTTACATCGTACGAATATTTGTTCAAAGTGAAATTGAAGTAGAGAAAAGGAGAGAGAGAGAGAAGACATCGATGTGCTTGTGTGTGTGTAATTATCATTTATGATAGAATGTTCTCTTCTTCATCCGTGTAGAGAGCAAAACGTCGTAATAATTTCGTTGTCCACTCTACTACGCAAGTCACGCTTCATTTGTACATCGAAAAGAATGAGCGGATGAATACTGATAGTCAATCTGATACGATCGTAGGTGATAAAAAAAGAAAAAGAAAAAATGACAACGAAAGGATTTATTCTGTACGTATATATGCTCAATGAATTTAAATATGTCGGTATGTGTACCTATCATATCGACATCGAAACAAATTTTCGTGTGCTTCTCGATAGAGAATGCTAACCTTTTCAGCCTTAGAAGTTAGATTATTCATATAAATAATGAGCACGTTCACATCGTTTCGATACTGTTTCGTTTCATCTGTTGCATGTAACAACATCAAAATAGAAGTCGTATGAATGAAAAGAAATAATAAAGCGGTGATTTCTTTGTAGAATCTCTCTCCTTCTCCTTTCATTCATGGCCGTCGGTTGTTTTCATTTGATACGACTGATTTTTCAGAGTACTAAAGATGATAGTGTCTTCAAGCAGTAAATAGCACAATTGATCTAAATGGTACAGTATTATACGAATGCGAGAAGGCAAGTAAATAGACGTCTCTTGTCTTTCGAGCTTTTTTAACTCAGTATGGAGGAAAGAGAACGAGAGAAAATAAAACACTATAAACTCGAAATGTGTCAAATGTGCGAATACAGACAAAATGTACTACTCACGACTGAAAAAGGAGATTCTATTCATCCAGAAGTGATTTTAACGCATATTTTCAAGTGTACATGATGTTATAATAATTGATTTGGAAGATTTTTCTGCACATGCGTCATTAGCGATTTCTTTATGTTCTGTTTGTCTTTCGAAATCGATTGTTTAGATTAGAAAGTAGAAAATGATTCTATTGATAGCTTAGATATGTCTCTGAAGTGTTTTAATTGCAGTTTTTTTAAAATTTCAGTACATGGCCAATGATATTGATAAATGAAGCTGCTCAAGAAAAAGAAAGAGACGGAAGAAAGATATAATATGTTACGCAATAATTATCACATCAATCAGATATGGATAAAATTTCGCTTTTTTTTCTAGACGTTTACATGAAGTTTTGAATCGTTTTTTAATATTCAATGAACTGTATACATTAAATATACAATTAAAGTGATCTTAAATAAGAATATATTTGTTTAATTACTGTTTTGATACACATTGAACTTGGATGAATACAGTTGACACATCTTACAAATAACTGTAGAAGAGCGAACGATGATTAATTTCTGAATAATAGTTCTTTATTTAGGTAAGTGATAATTGATGTATCGAATAGGTAATGAAGTGTTGAAAGAATTGACTTCTGGATAAATAACCATGAAACTTGTTTATTACGCTTAGTTAAAATGATTTTCGAAACTCACTGACGAGACAAGAAGCGGGCGTTGGTTTGTTATTGATGATGTTGGTTGTAACTTGAAGGTTTTCATATCCTCTAGACAAGGGTGTTTATTAATTGATATTTTCATCGTTATCTATATCCTTGATTGATCTGTTACTTTTTCTTATATTCGTTAATGATTTCTTTTGGTTGCCGATCGAAAAACCAAATAAACATTTGCAGCTTTTTTCGTCAAAAATTTTATTTTATAAAAATGACGACGATTGTCAAGACGTTAAGTTAAGCTGAGGTATTAGACATAACAATCAAAATTTTAAAACACATGATTGATACGATAGCGTCTTATAGATTTTCCACGACTTTCTCACTCGATAGCTCGGTTTGACAATGTGGACGTCGTTGTGTCGCACTCGTGTTGCGTGTTCGTACATATTATGTATTCATTGGGAATGTTCTTGACAGCTGACTTGAATTTAGAACAGTCAGGATCATGACATCTTTGCCAATAAGTTCTTTTAGTAGGATCAACGATGAAATAAATTTGATTTTTCCTATGAGGCCTTCCAACATTTTCACAATCTCGATATGAACCGCTAATTTCGAATTTGTATTCCCCGTAAGCATTCGGTGGTGATATTTTACGAATATGCCCACCGTTCGATTTGACCATAGTTTCGATATATTCTTCGACACTAGTATATTCCTCAGGTAAATGATTTTTCACCGCATTATCTATTGCTTGCTCATACGAAGGGGTTGGATCGGGTTCTCCTTGAGGAATAATTTCAGGAGCCCTGGCTGTAAGATCTTCCCAAGCTACTTTAGCAGCACATTGTTCGGCTTCTTTTTTTGAAAGACAATCACCAACACTAGTATAAGACTGGTTATTCACTTCGACCTCAACCTGACAAAGGATAATGAAATCAGTAAAACAATAAAAATCGATTGTGATCAAAAAGATTCAATTGTTTGAAATGTTATTTCTAGTACACGCTGTAGTAATTAGAAGGTAGAATCGTACAACAGACTGTAAGACATTCGGTGATAGTAAATTTGACATAAATCTGATCTGCAATTCTATAAATACCTTAAATCTTTGATTATGCGGTGGACCGGATTGGTTTTGGATTCGATAACTGGGCAAAGAAATCTTCTGTTTTTGACAATACTCTTGAAGACGATTTTTCCATGCTGTATGCATTATGTTGCAATTGAGATTAGAGGAAATTTTCGAGAAACTGTGATCCTTAAATATTCGGCTTTTTAAAGTCCTCACAGAGCGCACGAAAAGTAAATGTGACAGACGTATTCAGCGAAAGCAAATCAACGTCTGCCTTTCCTCTGTACACCTGAGTTGTAAGCGGACGAGAAAAATGTGTTTGCCCAGTGGGAATGAGAGTCACGTGTTCTATTTACACAGAAAGTATGCAACTATGATATGAATAGATTTATACGAGAACTTCAGATATGAATTAGGGCATTTTTATTCGTACGGAAGATGGTCTTTCCATGAGAACTGTATCTATGTTGGAAACTGCCGATATTTGTGTCGTTCTTTTTAGAAACAACTAACATAGAACGTTCTTTTGTGCGAAATGTTATTTCAAATAGATCATAAATTCCAAGATAAGAATACACTAGTCAGATTTAAAAACGAACTGTAGGAAGTGTTTATTCACCACACGTGCAATCATTCGAAATATCACAAATTGTAAAATAAAAGTGCGAATGTTATAATTCTTCTAGATCAACTTCAGGAAAGTCACCAACTGTAACTGCGCTTGGCCGAACAAATGCTCCGTATTTGTCAGGACATTCGAAATACTTTTTACCTTCAACACTAAAACAAAAATCAGACTCTCTCAAATTCGTTTCGTCACGAACGAACTCACGATCCATTATTCTTGCCTAATGGTTCATCATATCGGATTCCAACCCAAACTCCCGGCTTAAAATGTACTTCACCTAAATATTGTAACATTTTTGCATTGTAGACAAATTGTTTTTAGGGAAAAGGTTGTTCGTTGCTCACCTTTAAACATCACGGTTCCTCGTTTTGTTGGTTGGGAAATAACCGACACTTCACATCTATGAGTCAACAGTACAATAAGACAAATTCATTTTCTAGACTATCTCGACTCACCGATCATTGATATTTATTTTACTGGCTGCTTCTTGTTCATGTGCTTCTTTTTCTTTTTCTTTTCGCGTATGTTCCTCTTGAGCTGTTGGATTGTATTTTCCTATCTTATGTTCTTGCATGAATTGTCTGGCTGTATTCTTTCTCGATTCATATTCTTCATTGGTTAATTCATATTTCGGTACGTCACCTGTATCATCAAACATATGCGCACGTTTCAAGTTTGTTTCTTCAACTTGTAGAATCATTTTCGATTGAACATTATAGGAACCTAGAGTACGCGAATCATCATCAATGTCAAATAATTTTGTACCACGTTCGTCATGAACATGAACTTTCATCGATTGACTTTGGGCGCCTGTAATCAGTTCTAGTTGATTCTACAGAGGAAAATAGGTGTTCTATCGAATTCAACGCTGTAGATAATACTTTTAGTTCGTGAATCGGAATGTTTCGTTTGAAACGACGTATTGCTTCACTTGACACCATATTATTCTTTATCGTGAACTCGATCATATCATCTCCAGTTGCCATGGTTATGATCTACAAGAGAAAGCGAATGAGTTTCTCGGCATTTCGTTTTCGATAAAACCAGTTTCTTGTTTGACGTTTCTTTATTATGTAAAAGTCTCGGTTGACTACAAGAAAAGCAAACGTTAATAGATGAATACAGTGAGAACAACAAGATAATACATCTAAGTATGCTATACAAGAAAACAGTAGGTACGGTTAAACAAAAAAAAAACACAAATCAATCATCGTTCAATCACAATCGAGAATTATCATCTAGAAAGAAAAAGAAAACACTCTTAGTTCTTTTCTGAAACGCGATAAATGATTCATTACCGTCTTGTGGCATTGCACGTTTACGACCGCGAGTACCAGTCGATGCTCGTGCCTTAACACTATGACCAGCGCCTGGCTCATCGTTGAGAATACGACGATAGTTCAGTAGTGGTTGCCATGCATCACTTTCAAGCGTTGCACTATGTACAAGTTTATCAATGTGATCAAAACTACAATGCACAAACACGAAAAAGAAATAGTGTCGTTAAATTTCAGAAAGTACAAACATTGCTTTTTTATCCGGTTTAAGCAGTTTTGAAGCAAATTCAGGTAATACTTCAAGAAAGAGTATATTTGGTCCCGGTTGTGTTGGATCATCATGATTAAACAATGGTGTCAAAGCAAAACGGATACATTCACTAAATTTCCAAAATAGATGTTCACAAGAAGAAAATACAAATACGATAGAAATACCGATGGAGAGCAGCCAGTGCCTCTCTTTGTTTAGACATATCCAATCCAAAGGATAAGTTAAAACGACGAGCCAGTTCCTATAAGGAAACAATGCTTTTTACATGATTATTCATTAAATTTCAATTACTCTTAGTGGTGATAGATCAACATTAGCTGTGTCTTCACTGCTACCAGACTGTGTGGTGTCGCGAGAAGCCATACAATCTTTAAATACAGCCATGAGACTATAAGCCATTGTTTTAGCTGTATGAATTTTCGATATATCTCGCGCTCGTGTAAAAGTATTTTTGATAATATCGCCAAAATCATTGCTATACTGGAATGACAAATAGAAGACATAAATAAACAGATTCGAAATTCTGTCTAGATGATTACTTTAACGTAATATTTGAGGATATTAGTTGCTGCTTGAATTGGTAATACATTGTGCACAATTAATTTGCAATAAGCAGCAAGAAGATTACGCTTTTTATGAAGTGTTTCAATTTTTGCTTGCTCATCTTGATCTATAGGTAAATAATCGATTGTATATTGATAATGAATGCCACTTTACTCACTTTTGGGATCTTCAGCAAAGAACACATAGGTGTTTAAAAATGTTAATAATGATTGAATAAGATTCTCATTAATTTCAACGACGAGAACTTGATAATCAGGATTTTTATCCACTAAATGCGGACTCATACTGATTAACAAGTCGCACAATGTTGAATACGCATATTGACATATTTGAGCATTGGCATGTAACATCAATTTTTGACATAATGTACACAATTTACGGCTTCGTTTGACAATTTTTTTCAGTAAATCCTAAATTACAGTGAAAGAATAAAACTAGGGTTTTCAATAAATAGCACCTGAGACAACTCGCGAAATTACATTTGACTTTATTGATAAGAAACGACTGTTTCACAGTATGCTCGATACATATGAGTGTTTTCAATCAATTCTACTACTAAAGAAAACATATAGCGTATTTACCTTGTCGAACTGCAGATCTAACTGATGTAATCCCCAAAGTAAACTACGATTAGCAATACCAAAGCATTTTTCGACGATCTAGAAAAGCAAAATGTATGCTTCGATAGAATTCGTTTTGAGTAGACGAACCTCGGGTGACATGTCTTCATTATCGATTGCTGCCTTGAATAACAAGTGTATTTTATCCCATAAATCAACGTTACCTAAATCGTGGCATCTGTAACAAAATAAAATTTTAAAATCTTGTCCAAAAAGGAAAAGTAATCAATCTCACTGATGGAAAGCGTCTAATTTTCTTAAATTGAGTAGTAACGGATATAAATCATCTTCATCTGCTTCGTCCTACAAATGTCCAACAAGACAATATGAACAATGTCGTCATTAACAACCTACCATCTCTTCGAAGATACCCATAGCAGCATTGAAATTAGCAATTATTTTATCAATAATATTTCCACGATGAGCAATGGCTCGATTGGATAGCGTGAAACTAACGTCGCATACGCATTCAAAGCATTTCGAAACAGCATCGAAAACCTACTCGAATGATAGAGATGGAAATGTGATTTCGAAAAATTTAATTAAACGCACTTCAGCTGTTGTGTGACGCTGAACAATGTCACTCAGGGCGTTCAAATAAGCATCGAGATCACGTTCACGTCGTGTCGTTGTATATACTTCATAATTGAAATGAAGTGGAATTTGCAATAAATTCAATAATTTATCCGCATCGGCAATATACTAAACATTCGCACGTTGAACAGACGAAAAGTCTTATGCATATGTAAGAGGAAAAACTCACTTTATTCAATAATGGTGGTAAAGCACCGATAAAATGATCGGTCAAGAGTTTCTTATCATCTTCCTTTTGTTTCTGTTCTTTCATTGTCAACTGAAACAAATGAAAGTAAAGCATTCAGCAAAAAAATCAACTGTTTTCGCGGCACTTTTCGATTTGGTTGTCCACGACCAATTGGATATTCTCCAGTTGCTGCTTCACGTACACAACAAACCATGATTTCAATCAAACAGTTTTCATGTTGATCGTCAAGAGCTAAATGATGAAATTAATTCTAGAAAGATATGAACTTGAAAGTACACAACACGTACGATCTTCGTCTTGTTCAGGTGCCTCGAGTAAGATATCAGTCATACACTCCCAATCTTTCATCATAGGATGTTGATCCCACATCGAATCAACTAGATACGTGGCGTGTTCATGAAGCTAGAAAGATGTATCCTCAGATGTATAAAATCATCTCTAAGTTGGTTGCAACGGTACTTACTTCACTTTCGATAAAGAATTGGACAAGTAAATGCATATAAGCAGTATTTTGACTGCGTTTTTTCGATGGATTTGATGGTTGTTCTGCTTTATGGAATAGTTTTTGATTGAGAAACTCTCCAGCCGCTTGCGAGATTTGTCGATGGGAATGGTACACAAGTTCATATATATTCTCACAGTCTTTATCTTCTAATATTCGATCATTGAATCTATACGAATGATAAATCAAACATGTCTATTTATTCTCTTCTTCTGCGAATCATACTTTAAGATTGCGGTTAAAAGTTTGATTGCTTGCACTGCTACTTCATATTCGCAATCAACAGTCATTTGCACAATCCGATCCTATAGCAAGATATACACAATCCATCAAATATACTTAGAATATTTCTTTACTTTGAATCGGTTGGTGAATAGTTCGAGTTTGCCAACAAGATCTGTCGTTTGAAATAAAGGTATTAATGCAAGTAAGCAGCGTAATCGACAATCACCAACCTAAACATGAAAACTGCTCATAAAACAAACTAAATCGGCTTTCTTCTCTCTTACTTTATCATAGAGAGTCCAACCGATATACTTAAGATAAATATCATCAAGAAAAACCATCGGATAGCTTTTCATCCATTCACCCAGTTCACTGATGCATAAGCAACGAATATCCGGTACGACATCTCTGTTTAAAAGAAATGCTTGATCACAAGATGATATTTGAGAAAAATGAACTCATACCGATAGCGATGAATGAAAACACCTTTGAAGATGAAATTCATAAAACTCTTGATTTCGTTTTCATTTCCTTCGAGCTAAAACATTCGGGTAAATTCAATCGATATATTCGAATCATCAAACCTCTTTTCGTTTTGCTGTTAACGTATCGAGTCGATCAGCAGCTCGTCGTGCGCTGGATTTTTGTCGTTCAGCTTCATATTGTCTTTGACACTGATCTTTTTGAATGCTAATCGTTAATGCAATGTCGACAAGTGCTGTCATTACTTTCAAGACTAAAACCAAACCAGATAAGCAATTGTTTCTCTCGGTCAATATTGTTTCTCACCTGCTAAAGTTCCTGTATGACGAAAAGCACGTACAGGCGAATCGGACAGAGCAGTTAATAACGTAACCAAGTTATCAATCATGTATTGATCGTATATAATTGAGTAGGATGATTGTTTTATTAATAATACAACGAATTCACTGAATGACGTACGAAATTTTTTATATTGTAAACCAGACATAATTATCGGATATTCCGATGTATCCTAATAGAAAATATAAATTAAAAAATTGAATTTACTTTTCTCTGTTGTAGCAAAATATATAGGTATACACTAACGCGTAAATAACTACAACTATTTTCCACAGTATTAATAATTTATATTATGTTAATCAGTTAACATGCTATGTTTGACTGATTGCTGAGTGTGAAAAACGCTACAGTAATGAAACTTATGTGCACTATGTACGAACAAATGATACAATACTCGTGGTAGATTCAACAATAGACACTTCCACGATAGATTATCTTCAGTAAAACTATTCATTCATTGCTGTCGACAAAAAAGACCACCACAGAGAATCTAACATCAGTGAAACTATCTGTATTCGATCTTAGTAATCGAAATCAGTCGAAATCTCGGTGAAATGAACGCTTATGGTCCAATGCTTACCTCATCGAAATGCTCGGTCATTGCGCGTAACATGTCGACATGCTCCATTTTCAAGTACATTGTCTGTGTTAACTTTCCTTTACAACCACTGGAATCCAAGAAAAATTGCATCAGTTCAATTAATGCTTCATCGCGATTCGCTTGATATGAATCGATCCATTGATCAACTAGGACTTGTATATTCGTTTTCCCAGTTAATAAATGATGAAAGTATCCTTTTTCTTCCGATTGATGATCGCCATAACTTGTATGCCGTCCTGTCATCGTACTAACTGAACTTGTTTCCATTAAATCATCGTCCGTTTGATTAATATTCGAGCCACCTTTGCGTCCTCCACGTGATTGTCTTCCACCACCACGCGACCGTGTTTTTGATGTTGTGCCTCGAGGATGAAAATCTTCCGTTCCGTCGTCATCATCGTCATCGTTCCCTACTGCAGACATGACGGAGGGTGGTTCGATGAAATCATCACCTAATGAACGCTGAACATGTTGTCTTAACGATCTTGTACTGATATTGGCTGACATCTTGTTTCGTTTCGTTTCCTTTTTCACTTATCTGAAATATAAATATAGACTGGTTTATTTGTAAGACATCAAAACCAAACTGAACACACATAAAATAAATGATGAAAATACAAAAACAAACTCAGTAGGTTGCACTAAAATACGATAAGCGGGTGAAAATGCAAAATATCACATAAAAGGTAAAGATTATTGGGTGTACAACATTAGTTTTGCATAGCAAACAAAGTAGTCCAGTCAGGATGACAGTAATAATCGTTTCAATCTCGTTTAGTCGCTGTCATCGGATTGTGAATTATTTTCTGCTTCACTCTGGGACATTGTTTGTTCTTTCATATCGATTTCGATTGGTGCAAATTCTTTCTTTTCCTCTTCTTTAAATGCATACTCAATATCGATGGTATAAGTAAATAAACTCTTCGGTCGAATCCATTTTTCAGGCGTTTCTTCAGCACTTGGTACAGCAACCGAACGAATCTGAAAGCAATCAAAACTGCTAGCTAATATAATTTCCTACAGTTTTTGCCCTACTTGACAATGTGACACAAATGCTTGTGACATGCAATATTCAACGTCAGCGATTGGTTCATATTTCTCCGGTACTGGGTCATGCGGAGCGACTGAAAAACTGCATTCGAATACATGTGTTTTATAAGCGCCTTGATCGCGTTTTGGTAATTGATCAATACGCCAAACAATCGATCGAAATGCTTGTTCGTATTTGGCTACACCCGCAGATGCTGCCATGAATGGCGTTAAAGCATCATTGCGATGTACCATTAAACGATCCAAGCCCTAGAATAAACAAAATGTCATACATTCTCTAGTCGAACTAGGTATTTTACCTTGATTTTGCCTGCCTTACGACGAACGCTATGTATAGCTCCATAACGAAAGCGTTTCTCCACTCGAAACATATACACCCATGGATCTGGTATCGGAAACCGTATTTGTATGTCTTCACATGGACACTGTTCGTCACTATTGTCATCTCGTACATTAGCTGTTTTATCATTCGTTGCCACTGATGATGCTTTTGACAAAATACTTATATTAAACGCATTTGATACAGTTGCTTCGATTCGTATGTTTACTTGGCGTTTAATAACTGACATGAAACAATAAACCTATAAAGAAATAGTTTCGATTAAAAAAACTTTTTTTCGCAAAAAAACAAGTCTCGTTTCATTACTTGTAAGGGTAATTCGATATTTTGTTTCGGTCTAGTACGAAAACGCATTATTTCAACTTTTTGACTATCTGGTGGGATTAGTTTGAGTAAATGAGTATTTTCGTATTCATTCGCATCAATAACCGATGCTAGTTCTACTTGTTCCGGTTTAATCCAATACTCTTGCAATGTTTTATTGATAATAATCTCGTTTCGTTTGTTAACTTCTTTTCCGTGACGAAACCAATCGTTCATCCCGATTTCGACAACAGGTTCTGTTCCGTTGAGAAAAGCGAGGAGAAATAAACGTGTACGCGATTTATGCTTGCAGATATGATGATATTTGTCGATATGTGCATAGTATTCATCGACGATTTTCACAGTAATCTCTTCTTTTAAATGCTTTTCTAATCGACTACGCGTAACAGGCATTGACCAGAATAAATCATCCAAGATAATGAAGAATTGTTTTAAATATGTATAATTCAATTGACCGAATTTAACAATTTCCTGTTGAACACAGTTAGCATGATCTAGTAAAACTTGTTGAGCTTTATTTGGTCGAGTAAATCGTCGAAATAGCTTTTCGGGCAATGTAACAAGTCGATCGATACGAACTTGAGGTATTTCACGATAATTAGCTTCGTAGATTTTGAATGTATGAATTTTGGAATATTGGTCCAGTTGCTGAAGATTAAATTTCGTACATTGATACCATGTTTGAAGTTCAATCTCTGCAAATGATTGTTCAATAGTTTGTGGAAGGTAAAAACGCAATTTTTTCTCGTCGAAAAATATTCGAACATAGCATTCTTGCCAAGTACCTATGAAAAAACAACAATGGATAGAACATCACAAGTTTTCACCAAAATATCTTACGTGTTTCACTAAATCGTTGAAAAGTACTTTTATACAGATCCTTCTGTCTTAATGGCACACGAATCTGTAATAGCCATCCATTAAGCTGCTGTAATTGTAATTCATTGATATCATTATGATAGGGCTCCAATGGTGCACTATCATCGTAATCGGGTTCATGTAAGTAATAATCTAATGGCGGTGGTGGTATTGATTGAATTTTTTCCTGCGACAAAAATGATGGATAAATAATTTCAACAGATAATTGTTAAACAAGAATCTTGAATAGATTTGTGGGTACAAACGCAGTTTAACGACCGTTTCTTTGTTATTCACGTATATATACATGACAGAACGGAAAAAAAATATATTGGTGCATCAGTCACCCAATGCATCATGAAATAGGCCATTTAGAGAAACAGATGTCATGAGAGAACAGAATTTTATTAGAAAAACAGACATATAAGAGAATTATTATACAGGATAAATAGATCTGATTTGTAATATAATATTTTTTAATGGCTCATCAAGGAAGCCCTGACGCCATACAAACTCGTCGACATAGACAGGAAGTGAAGATCTACACATTCTGTTTTGTTTTTTTTCTTTACTTTTTCCCGATCGTAGGACTGAAGATTATACTGCCTGAAAGCCGCCGATTTACCGCCTATATAATCATAGATAGATTTTCGCAAAAACGACTACATTTTTTAAGAGTCTGTTAAAAATCGTAAGTTTCTATTGATTTCGCTGTCTCACGGTAATGTCGAGGTGTCTGAGTCGCCTGAACCAGCTATAGACCCAAAAACGGTCTAGGTAACTGGATATAATTTTTATCGAAATGTAACTTTAGATGGTGCTGCAAACTTTTTAATTCTCTAATATAGCTCGCAACTAGTTTTTTGCTAAAACCACAAATTTGAGAGAAAAACGCCGGTACCGATCGGATTGGGCGAATTTCTTACCGCCGGATTCCGACTGGAACCCACCGAGCCACAATGACCTGGGATATAACATGGTTTACCAGCGGCTTTGAATGATCAAGCGAAGCATAAGTATAGTTGGAATTATCTCTTAGTGAACTGTATGCTTTCCATTCATCTGAATAAATTATCGAACCTATAGCATATCTTCTGTCAATATTAATTCATGAAGCCTTATTATAGTCAGTTTATCAATATTATTAACACTGATATTATTAATATCCATACTTTTCTTTTTGATAGATATATGAAAAAGTTTTCTCTTTTATATGGTTCTGCTATTGTAACAGATATTACAGGACTTATAATTAGATAGTCTTTTTTATCTTAATTAAAAGAACCTACTTTATGAAAAATATTCCATTTTCTTATGTCCTTAATTTTTTTAATTTTCTTTTAGAATGAAGTTTATTACATTATCGTCTGAGGTTAATCAATCTCCTATATACGGCGTTTATTCTACTATGACATCTGTTTGTATTAATGGCTTATTTCATGATGCGTTAGGTGACTGATGCACCAATATAATTTTTTCCAGCTCTGTCGTGTATATATACGTGAATAACAAAGAAGTGGTCGTTAAAGTGCAGTTGTACCGATTTGTGACATATACAAGACAACGATACATACACATATACACATATACATATTAAGCATACCGATTGCTGTGCTTGTTCATTCGTTGCTGTTGTCGTTTCATCATCCCAGTCAGTAAATAGACTTCTGCCCGGTTGCTGGTTTATGCTTTGGGTAGTAGGCTTCGATCGAAATATTGCAAGTGGATCATCTTCATCGGATTCAGATGAGGATGAACTGGCATCATCGCTAACTTCTTTGTATTTTTTGGATGATGATGGTGAAGGTGGTGGAGGTAATAATGGCAAGGGTATGTTCGAATCATGAGTTGACATATTTCCTTTTCTTTCGCCAATATGGAACACCATTTTCTTATCATCCTCGGAATCATCATCAGATTGGTTTTTCTTTTCGTTACCATAATATCCTTTTGACACAACATTGGTATTATTATGTCCTACTGTTAGTTCTTGTATGTGAATCGAAGGTACTACTTCATTTGATGGACGACGTACTGTTTGTTTTAAAAGAGTGATAGATGATGGTGAACTATGTCCGTCGTCAAATCCTTCTACAAGAAAATAATATGTCTATAATTAGACAACGAAGAACAAGACAATTATTACGACGTACGTATTGCCGATGATGATTGTGACTGTTGAATAGTCAATCCAAATGGATCTTCTGACTTACTGATAGTGTTAAACTCGTTTAATGGCGATGATTGGTTAGTTATTGAATTAATGCTAGCTGTTGCGCCAGATGATGGCGTTAGCCAGTCAAGAAATTGATCATTAAATCCAGTATTAAAAGTTACATTTGTACTTATCGTTGTTGATAGAGGCGTTTGTGTATGTGTGATATTTGATGAAGATGTTACTAATGGATTTGATTCTGTCGTCGATAATGATGGTTGAGATGTTTTGGTTGAATCCAATAGTGTTATGTCTGTCAGTGTGTCATCCTTTACGACTTGAAACGGTGACGATGCATTTGTTTGATTAAAATCAAGAAAAGCATAGGATGATTGATTAGAATCCGCTGTTGATACTTGATTGGAATCAGTATTTGTATCAAATAAAAAATCTGCTGGAAACGCTTGGAATGATGTTGCAGCCAGTGGAGTTGTTTCTGGAATTGTTGGGCTGTCAAATGGATTAAAACGATTGGCTTGATATGAATCTGTTGCTAATGATTTCTCCGATAAATCATCTGGTCCATCTAAATTTGCCTCATCCATCGAATGTTGATAAGCTAACCAATTAGACGATGATAATGCTTCTTTGCCGCTACGTGGTCGTATAGCCTTATTACCACTTGGTTTGACGGTAAATGGATTATCATCAAATTTTTCTGATGATTCAGATAACTTCATCGTATAAGATATTCCAAACGGATCTATCGTCGTCGTCGTTGCTGATGATGCCGGCAGGTCAAACGGATTCGTGCCGTTCATTTCTTTTATTTTATTTTCGTCAGCACTGAACACATTAGCAAACGAATTGAACATACCCTTCAGTTAATAAGCTAAATTGATTCGTACATCATGGCATACTACAAGCGAAGACAAAATATTAATTAGTATAAGAACATCTTCAGTATTCTACATGAATTCGGAAAATGAGAAGTAGAATCTCAGATAATAGTAATGACGAGAACGACAATGTCAACGCCCCCGTACCTTTCCTTTCTTTTCTCTTCTCTTTTTCATATCTTGCTCTGTTAAGCAAACAAAGATTACTGGAACGAAGAAAAAAAATGCAAGAAAAACTTAGAGACATTAATAGTCATAGAAAAACTGACAAACAAGGATCGAGTATACGATTGGTTCTGGATGTTATTCGAATAAAATGACATTTCTCGAGTATGACTCAAAAGTTATTTGTGAGATGAGTTTCGAGAAAATTTCTAATGACTCAAATTGTAACAAGTGACGATGATCAACAGATGTCGCCAGTTTACTTCCACTGAATCATGTGGATAACTATTCGCCGTTGTTAAGATAGCATGAAGTATTACTTGTCAGTTTTCTCTCCACCAGCACCGTACACAGCAAATTTGCTTCTTCTTCTTCTTTGTTCAACGAATAATTGCGAGTAGCATTTAACTATTTCCGATGGATTGAAAATACGGCCTCATTGCGGATTCTGCCTATTGATGAGGATTGCAATCAAAAATGTAAATTATACGATAGGCTTCTCAATACGTGTCATTTATTCTCTTCAACAATATTCTATAACACAACGCATTCATCAGCGGCAGCAAACGTCTGACATTCGGTGTTTCTGTTCGATAAAGTGATCTTGGGTGAACTTAATCTTTTCTTGAGAACTAGTGTGATTTGTAGCAGAATATCTACAAAGTTCTTTGAATGATTGCTGAAATGACAGTAATTAAACATTTTTACGTGACTTTCAAATAGGAAAACACAAGGATTAGCAGCATGTTAAATATATATGAATTCATTGTCATCAATTTAAATAACTATCATTAGTTTAGCAGTAAAGTGGTTTTAGTGTGTCAGAACACATTAATTGTGTTTGTCGTTTGAATTCCAAAGAGAAGCCAAATTAAAATAAAGTGTGGAAAGAAAATGAACAATGATTATCAGAATAAATAAAGAAAAAGAGTGATACATATTTAAATCAGCTTTTCAGGTCAGAAATTTGCTTCATGCAACATTTATCGCATGTTAATTTTTTATCAATAACGATGTCTTCACGATACTTCGATGTGGAAGACCGTTTCATCAGATTTCTTTTCATTTGTTTGCGCAGTCTTTCTAAGAAACTTCCGATATTATTCTAACTAAACCATAGACATCTACTAGTTCTATGCTGTAAACTAATACGAAACGAACCGATTTTGTTGCTCTTTCAATGTGTACTTTTTTTACAGAATAATTATAACAAGATATATGAATATGTATGACAAACACAGAAAAAATATTATCCGAATGGGTAAACAGATTGATAAGACATGAATTTTTCTAAAATTATGTACAAGGCAGATATGTCATTGTTCTTCAAACCAAATTCGATTGCGATTAAGCAAAGTTTTCTAAAATACAATAGGCAGTTATTCTCAGTTATGTCATTCAGAAAACAAAACAAAAGAACCTGTAATTTTTGTATTTTTTGCTCTAACAATTTAATTCGAGAATCTTTGCAGTCGTTTTCATTTTGTAAGTCAGAGATTTGGTCACGATATTTCTGTTCCACTGATTTCTTTTGAAAGTGCAAAAAACATTATACATACGAGCAATTCATCATGTGAAAAACTCACCAGCTGATTATTGATAACAGATTCAATATTACTCATTAGATCTGTTGAATGAATGCGTAAGGATCGAATTAAAGGGTTTTCTGTCGTCGGACATTGTGATTCTGAAGATTTCTCTTGATTATCACAGATTGAATTTTGTGCACGCGTTGTGCTGTATTTAGATTGTAATCTAATAATTATGAGAAAATATTAATACTAATTGTGCTATAAAGCATACTTCGCTCGGACTCCTGCTGTTCCTTTTCGATAAGTATGAGGTGATAGTGCGGGTTCTGCAGTAACTATTTCGTTTCCGTTCTCGTCATTAGTGTTGGGCGCATTCCTAACGAAAGTTTTTTTGTATCTAGTGTAGAGATCTTCAAAATATCACATACGTTTGTGCTACATTTGGTGATGTCGTTGATATCCGGTTCTGTGTTAAGCAGGATGCAATTGATGTCAATGTGTGAAGAGGATTTCTCATTCTCTCTGCTGCGGCTGCCTCCGCTTCCTTCTTCGACTTTTCAAGTTCAAGTCGGTTTTGTGCATATTCGTATAATTTACGCTCAGCTTCTGGATAATCTCGACAACCTTCTAACACATCTTCTTTCGATAAAGAAAACAATTCCGAATAACCAACACTTCGCACATCGGCAGTTCGTCGATTAGCACCATCGATGTTCAATATACCGATCTCGCCAAAAAAGTCGCCTGCGCCCATACGAGTCAATACTTCATTTTTTTCGCTAAATATAAATGACGGACATTTTTATTGAATTACTATAAGTAGATATATAGTTGTAATTGATTCTTACTTGACTACTTCTAGAACACCATCAGCTATAATGAACATTTCACGCGCTACTTCACCTTTCCGACAAATTATATCACCAGGTGTGAAAATGTAAGCGCGCATTTTCAGAACCAGATCATGAAGGAATTCAGGTTGGCACTCTTGGAATATAGTTACCTGAAAAACATAATAAGGAATTCAATGCATAACAAGAGAACAGAAATTAGATCTTTTTTCCTGTGATACTAGACTTACCTTTTTTAATGTTCCTAAATTAACGTGAAGTGCTAATTCAGTTTTGAGTTTATCTGGAAGAAGTTTTATTGAATGAACATCGCCAGCACCAGACATACGCCCACGTGACCATGAATAATCATACCAACGTTGAACACGCCGTTGCATCTCAGGTGGAACATTATGCGAACGCATATATTGCTTGGCACCATCCTATACAGAGAAGTTAACTGACTGTACGTAAAGAACTTGTCAAATCAAACCAATAAGCGCTCGAATTCTAAACGACTAGCATTACGATTTGCGATAACATTGCCAACTTGTCCTGTCATAAGAAAAACGATAGGTTCCTTCTTTATTTGATAAATGGCTTACCTATAATAGATGAGAAAACGAATATCCCAACCATATAGCTAGTAATAGCAAAAACAGCCCTCAAAAGAAAATATAGAACATGTGATATGTAACTGATGATATTTTCTTTTAAAAAAATATTTTCCTTTCAAGAGAATATATCACGTTTATAAGTGTATATTTTTGTTTGGTAATCTTTATTATTGCTTACCCACGATGATAGCTATGACAAAAACGGCGAACAAGTGAACGCTTATTAAAAAAGCGTAACTAAAAGCGGATTTCAAAGCATTTTTTTAAACACCAATATTCACATATACACTTACCGTTTGTTCGTGAAATTTTTCAACCATCTAGTTTTCGGAAGAAAAAAGAGAACAAGAAAAAAAACGAAGAAAATATCGATGGTATCTCATACTCAAGTCAAATTCTCCAGTGATATACTATACTGCAGTAAGAAAGTAAAGAAGATGAAAAATCTACTCACTGCCAGTTGGTTTCTGGTGGTGGTAAATCACCGATTGTTGTTAAAGTTAATGTTGACCAATACAGACAGCGTAAATACATTTTCGCTAGTTGCGAAAAATTTCCAACAGGCTTTGGATAGGACCAGTATCCAACAAAACCTTCTGCTTTTGATACCATGAAATAAAATGCAGCTAACCAATGGCCAAGCAGGAGAAGTATATGAAATAAATTAAGAACACGATAGGTATTTGGATAGACAGTGCGAGACTCTTGAAGATAGTAGAATTGAAACGTTCGATATATCTTTAAAAATCGCGGAAAACGAAGAATTGGTATGGGACCGAACTTCGTTTGTAATAATTCCAACGGCGTTAATGATACAATGTCGCAAATAAAGCGAGAAGAACGAATATAATGCATTGCTAATTTATAATGATCGTAAACAAGTAAACCTAAAACATTCGACATCCGAACACCATGTTCAGGAATAGATATTCAGTATGAACTGTACCTTGTTGTAAATAACCAGTTCGAAATTGGATACCGATATCGAGAAGATATATCGTATCAGCAAGATAGTCGACAAATTTCCAAAGATCGGCATAATCTCTTTGCAATGGTTCGAATGCTTGCCGCGCAATTGGAATCCACAGATTGTATAATACAAATATGTTCAGTAGAATCAACCAATAAAATAAAAATGATTCATCTGTAGATATAACAAAATAATTGCATGAGCGTAAAATTCGACGAATAAATAGATAACGGGATTTAATTGGCTCATCTTTTTCAATATTTGTTCGTAGATTTCGCTTGGACGATACTTGAGAACAAAAAAAGAGCAAGAAATAGAGTCTCCTCAAGTCAAATAAAAGATAGAAATTTTCTAGCGAAAAGAAAATATACCCATTGTTCCGAATCCACGATAACCATAGTGAACAGAGAATCTTCGCAAAAATGAATCTTCTCTTTTTAGGGAATTTTCATTCTTCACGAATTTGATTGTTTTAGTTACGTGAGAATTTTGCTAAATGGAGAAAAAAGTTTCAAAATTGTTAAACTAACCAAGAAATGGTCGAAAATAAGCGATTAAAGGATCTTCTCCATATGTTTGATGGCGCGTCATTCGTAGCAATCTTCTCTTGTTGACTATTGCATCTTAGAGTCAATGCAATTTTCTTCCGTCGTTAACAACTTCGTTTTTCTATATTTTAAGTGTAAGTAAATACAAGCAAGTAAGTGTCGATGATTTCTTCAAGAATTCTCTTTCTATCTATCATACTTAATTACATGAAGGGAAACGGAACTAGTGTCATGATGAGAAAAAGAAAAATATAAAAGAAAAACAATATTTTTCTCTTCTTTTTTTTCCTATCTATTTGATTGCCTCGAGTTTTTCGGACTTGATTGTCGACATAACGATTATTCATTCTCAAATAAATGACTTAAGCATCCGTTTTCGTTCGGACAAGAAATGTGATTATTAGCTACTCACATCTTCGATACATAAAGACGACGACGGCGATGCTGATGGATTGGCAATACCAGCCGAAAAGCCACCAGCAGTACCTTTGCACAGGTATTCTTTTGTTTCGAATGAATCATTTGATGAAATCGTCGACTGTTGCAAAGGTTGACTTCGTTGATTTGACATGGATTCGGTGTCTCTTTGATGAAGCAAATCATTTAATACAGGTGTTAAAGCAGCTAATGGCATATTGTTGCTGTCAATCCTATTGTCATCGACTCGTCCTAACCTAAAACAGCTTTGTTATGACATTAGATTTGAATACCGCTTCCTTAGATTTCATCCTTGAAAGAATCTCATCGTGCTATTCTATTCGTACCGGAAAATATTAATTTTGCATTTTTCTTTTTTTTCTCCCGTTGCCATCATCTTCGAGGTATTTACGTTTTCCAGATAGTATAAGATGATTGACGGAAAAATTTGATTAAGGATTGTTTTATTCGATTGTCCATATTATTCACGAACTAAAGCCGGAAGACGAGATTAGGAAGTTTTCTTTCACTTACTTTCTTTCACTACGCTAGAGTCACATTAAGAATGTAGAAAGAATTTGCATCATGTCAAAATCCAATTACTTATCTGTATGACTGGATTTTATTATATTTCGTTATTTTCATCGTTGATCATGACTGCATTCATCCAGTTTTTGAACTGTTTGAATTCTTCTTTTGCAGTAAACGCATAACGATCACCTCCTCACGTACTACGGTATGTGTTTTCTTGTTTTCTAGCATTCTAAGCAGGCACTGAGACTGATGGGAGAAGTATCTCTGATCATAATTTTTACATCCGAGCGACATTGTGTTTGCCGTTTTCCTGTTATTACGAACTGCTTCTCGCCAAGAGAGAAACGAAGAGTATGGAAGCTGTGTATTTATTTTACGAATGGAGGTTTTTTACACAATTAAACGCATTTCATGATATTCATTCGCATCAATTTTTTAAAATTAAAATTTCGTGTAAACAGATTTATTGCTGAATATCCTCTTCAGCTTATGTTGGAGGAATTGACTTTCTAACAGAAATAAAATTATATTGTCCAAAGGCAAAAAGATTATAAATAATAACAAATAATGGATCATTGCATGTATGCGAACAAATCAAATCAAATATATACTATTTTTTATCAAATTGTCGTATAGGAAATGTTTCGACTCGTTCCTCGATGTCATCATTTTGTATTTATATAATTCTCTTGTTGCCCTCTTTCATGAATAGATAATTATCATCGAGAATAAATATAGATGTTTTTTGATGAGTTGCACTTATCCTTGTAGCCTGCAGATGATTGATGAGTAAGTAACAATGGCGAGAAATATTCAAGACGATACTCTTCTTATATCTGTCGAATAACACAAGTTTGAACAGAAATCTATTCAGTTTTTCATATAGAGTAGGAAAAGGTTGGCTTTTCTTTTGTCACACGCTCCACATTACATTGTCATTATGAAGAAATTATGGCAACAGAGAACATAATACAACTATATATCGTATAATACATGAGATCGATGAATATAAAAACTGATTTTGTGCACGTATCAGTTTTGGTATATACTAATTTCGTGTATGTTTATTCGGGAAAACTCTCGCGTTTGTAGAATGGAGGAAGAATATAGATATTGATTTAAACATTGATGTTTTGTGAGAGCAATGATGTTTGTGAGATCCAAATACGACGAGTTCCTCGTGACGTTTGGCGAATTGTGACACAAATCGGGGTTGTTTCTGGGACATCGCTTTGAAGGAGAGAATGCTAAAATAATAGATTATCAATTCGCTAATTGAATACAATATCGGAAATATCGTACCTGATTATTTGGTTTTTCTATCGGCTTAATATACAAATCGAGATAGTCAGTTTCTTGCATAGGTGTGATATCCTCTTGATTACTTGATGGTTGTGTCGATGAAGATTGTCCTCGTCGACTTTCATCTCGTATGACAGACAATTCAGGATTTGTGCTATATATGATATCGTTCGGTTTCAAGCCATGTAACAATACTTTATACTGAGCCATGGAATCCTACAATATAAACGCAATATTTTCGGCGCACGACTATAAAGCAGTTTGTTAAATTGTGTATTTCTCACTTGTTAAATGAGAGAAGACCGTTTTTTCTTCGCAACTTATAAAAATCATTAAGAATGCAATACCTTCATGCCGGTATAGTAATGATAGCAATTAAGGTTGCGATAATGAAAAGAAAAAAAATTACGCTTCGAAGTATGTATTTAGATTCTAATACTAGCAGAAAGTAAGTGTTACAGAAGAAAGGGCATTTAATATGTCCACAGTAGGAGTGAACAGGGGAAAAAAATAACTGCAATAATTGGCTGGTATTTACCAAAAATACTATTGTCGAAATATCAAACTTACTCTCGTTTGGTCAACGATTGATTCACTAAGTTCCATTGTAACTGTATATGGTTTGTAGAATGATTGGACAAACCAAGAAACGCATTCATTATCTTTTCTCTTCAAAATGCAACAAACAACCAAAATTTCAAAGGATTGTATAAGTTCTGCCAAAAGTACTCACGGTCATTGGAATTATAAAAATTATCGAATGAAAGGTTAGCTAGATATGAGTCAAAACCTAAAGAATATGTCCATAACTTAATCCGTGCAATCTACTTCATTTGATAAAAATCAAGCAGCTTTGTACGCGCCCGCTCATAAAAAAAAATTAAACGTTCGTAAGCGTTTATAAACTATATGATAAGGCAGAATAAAAACGGCGGTGAGATAAGTCATTTTACACTGGTTAGTATCAACATCTCACTTGTTCGCCACAATCAGTATTCAATGAATGGATCGGCGATAACACTTGTTTATCTATAGGTAAACTGGTAAATGTTACATGCCTCATCAGTAGAACTTAAAAAGAGAATAGACAACTATAATTTGTAGACTGAAGATACACATGAATGTTCTTGTGCATGTTTTAGTGCACAAATCTATCAGCCATATCAAATACACGAGAACCTACACAACGTCTCTCAGTCTCCTAAAAGTGTAACAAACTGGACAAAGAATTCACTGTTACTCCCTAGAATCGCTGCTGGCGGTTCCGTATTTCATTCTGGCAAAATAATAATACGAGTCTTTAGCGAAAAATTCTATAAGCTCCCTTAAACAGCTATACGTCTCTTGGATCTTTCGATCAATCTGCATCTGGTGAAATATTTCACTATGACCCGCAACTTTTCGTTATGACTGCTCATAAAAGTGCAACCTCTCACGCGGCATAACCATCATGCAACTCAACCTAAATTTTTTCACTGAGACATCAACATCATTTCCCATTATCAAAAACTTACCTTTCACTGATGCATGTCATGAAAAACAGTTCCGAAAAGCAAACTTTACAGCCAGTTTCATCTTCTCATCATCATATACGAATTCTTCCCTCATATCCATACACATATTCAATTAAACAGATCCTATTCGATAGCACACCGTTCACATCCAGCCCTATATCACCTCAAATACACCATAACCATCCTCAGACGGTTACAAAGCATCGAACAGCACTCAAAAAGCGTAACAATTCAATAAGTATATATCTCGTCCAAAAAGTCAGTTTCCTCTCCGGCTACTGCCACTCAAACACAGCCCTACTAACAATTATCAACCGCGTCAGATAACCGCCACCATTCAATACGTCCCCATTATTTCAACTTCCTTCTTCTTATCTAATACTAATCATAGAAATGTCATTTCTTCATCGTGCACATCGAAGATCTATTCCATGCGTGACATGTTTTCTTTTTCAGCCATTTGAAGACGTTTGGCCTTTTCTCACTCTCGTGATCATATTATCTAGCGGTGCAT